CAAATCCTCAAGAAATTGCAAAATGTCGGTAATCCAATCATCATTAACATTGTTACAAACATGAAATTAGCAATAAACACTATCAATTTCCAAAGAAAAATGTTAAATTCCCTAAACCAAACCCTAGACAGGAGAGGACGCAGCAGTGACGAGATGCAAACCCTAGACAGGAGAGGCGACGGCGACGAAGCGGCGACGTGAGGCTGTGGAAGGCGATGAGGCGACAGCAACGAAGCGGCGACGTGAGGCGGCGACGAGCGGCGGCGACGAGCGCGGCGACTAGATGCAAACCCTAGACAGGAGAGGACGAGGCGACCAGAGACGAGGCTGCGGCGATCGTAGGGTGGGGGAGGGGCTGTGAGCGATGTGTGAGGATGACGGGAGAGAGGGCATAGTTGGAAAAATAAACATCTGAATGGTTTAGTGAGGTAGTAGATGCAAAATGGTTAAAAGGTTATTGTAACCATTAAGAGAGTTGTTTTTTTTTTTGTCAAATAGACCTAACCTCTTAGCGATTAAGAGGTTGGCTCTTAATGGTTACAAACAGCCCCTTAGTAGTTTTATTAAGGGAAAATTGTATTAAAATGGAACCAATTTTTACTTAATTTTTATTTTAGGGAACTAACTTTTAAAATTGTTATTTTGGAGAATCAACTTGCATTTGGTTCTTATTTTGAGGAACCAATTTGCACCTGGTTTTATTTTGAGGAACCAACTTTCAAAATCGTCATTTTGGGAAACCAACTTGCACCTGATTCCTACTTTAGGGAACCAACTTGCAAAATAATATAGAAAAATAATTAAAATTCGTTTTTTTTCAAAAATTAATGCAATAAAATATATTTTTCATTTCAAATCTCGTTTTTCTAATTCAGATATCAAATTGAACATTTTAAAAAAAATCTAAATTACCACAATAAAAATTGTTTTTACTAATGCAAAAATCAATTTAATAGAAAAAAATTAATTGATTCAATAAATATTAAATATCACATTTAAGATTTTTTTTATCTAACCAATCCGTATCAATTATTCTTTTCTATTAAATTGATTTTGTTTGCATCAATAAAAAATAATTTTTATTATGATAATTTGGATTTTTTTTAAATGTTCAATTTGATATCTGAATTTAAAAAACGAGATTTAAAATGAAAAATAGATTTTATTGCATTAATTTTTGGAAAAAAAAAAAACGAATTTTAGTTATTTTTTTATAATTATTTTGCAAGTTGGTTCCCCAAAATAAGAATCATTTGCAAGTTGGTTCCCCAAAATGACGATTTTGAAAGTTGGTTCCCCAAAATAGGAATCAGGTCCAAGTTGGTTCCCCAAAATGACGATTTTGAAAGTTGGTTCCCCAAAATATGAATTAGGTGAAAGTTGGTTCCATTTTGGTGCAATTTCCCCTTAACAAGTGTTTTTTTGAAACATTAAGAAAAAAAAAAATATGACTTTTAATGATTTTAAAACTTTCATAAATGATTTTGTATCTTGATCATTCATAAATCTTTCAGCGCCTTAATTTAACTTTGAATAATTATCAAAGAACTATATTACATTTTACATTATATCATAAGAGCTTCTTTATCATTCTAACAACTTAATCATCATAAATTAAACTATCTTGCAACTGTCAAACAACCGCAAATGTTCAAAAACAAAACTGAGGGATTTACGGTCGTTTACCAAGCGTTTACCTGTAAGGGTGTGCAAATAGTCAACCAATACAGTTGGAACCGACCGATCTAATTAAAACCAACCAACCATAATTAGATATCCACTTGTAATTGGATCGACTGGATTGAAAATTTCGACATCCAAATTTGATTGATTGGTTCTTGGATAGTTATCCATCCCAACCAACTATCATCCAATTAATTTATTTTCAATTTGCTTATATCTGGTTTTGTTTTTGTGTTGGTTTTTTAAAATTTTAGACTCACTTTTGTTGGTTTTATCACATATTAAAATTTGTTTTATTGTTAAAATTTTAGATTAAATTAATACATCGAATAGATCTGTTTCGATCTGGCCATCCATTGGATGTCAGATGGATCCACTTTAATCCATTGAAAGCTATATAGATCTGATCTAATCTAATAAACATTCTGGAACTGTACCGAACAAAATCGATACAATCATCCAATGGATTGTATTTGTTGTCCAATCAATCGGATTAGACCAGTTGACAAAATTCAACATCTAATGGATGATTGGATCGTTTGGTTCCCTTCACATCCAATGGATGTTAACCGATGAAAAAGTATCCAAGTAATCGGTAACCAAAGACTCGCACTTCGTCCTTCCCAAAACTTAAGTTACTTTATTACTGGCTACTAAGAATGATGTTCGTATAATATAGTCAGATATATCTCAATTTCAAGGCATCGTTTTGTTATTTATCTATGTCGATATAATACGGTTTTTAATGGTTTTAAGAAAGCGAAAATGTTTTTATTTTTAAATAAAATATAAGAAAATGTAACGGAAAATTTATTTGTAGTAATCAAAACAGTTAAAAGTAATTTTTTCCAAAATTGGATAAAAATTTAATATAAATTTGGTTATTTAAAGTAATAAATGAAAAATAATACTAAAAAGGTGTTTTTTCCTTAAGTGAAAGATATTTAGTTAAATATTTATTTGAAGTTAAAGACAAAATTTTGGTTTTAGTCCTTGACCTTTGTTGATTTTAACGTTTTCGTCTTCGAACTTCGTTTAATCCGTCTTTGATCCCTACGTTTTTCCATTTCCAATGAATTTTGTCTATAAATCTAACGAACTGTTAATTATTTCCGTTAAAATCTGATTAAATAAAAGGTTTTCTTATTTTGTATTAAAAATAGAATATATGTATATAGTAATACTGTAAATTATAAAAAGACAAAGGAAAACTAAACCCTGTATCCCACCATCCATCCCCGTTCATAGTTTCATCCTCGATGACCGACGTATTATTCCTCCTTGTGGTTGCACCAACGATCTTCTGTTATTTCCAACCTCCTCTTCTGACACCGATGACCCATATGGTTTGTGTTCGGTGTAACTTGTGTACGAATGGTTGATGTTTTTTTACTTGATGTAAAACACTTGATGACTCGGACGGTGGTCGCTGCTTTACAAATCTTTCATTTTAATGGACTTGGTATTCTACTACCAATGCTCATGTTATAGGTTTAATATAAGAGATTGTTTGTTTACCTCTTAATAGTTTCACTAAGAGGCAACATCTGAATAGTTAAGAGGTGAATCGTGTTTGGCAAAAAAACTCTGTCTCTTAATGATTCTAAAACCCTCTGAATGATTTTGTATCATGGATCTCCCTTAACCATTAAGAGCCATAATTTCATTGTACACAATTACCGAACAATTATATTTCATTTTGCATTATATATCATGAGAGTCTCTTAATCACATTGACCACTTAATCATTCTATATCAAACCATTCAGCAATTGACAAACAGCCTCTAAGTGTTTGATTTGATTTAGGGTTTGAATTTGTGTTTTTTGTTGGTGTTTGTGTGTTCGAGACTAAGTTTCTATTTTGACTTTCAGTTTATCTCTGTGTTCTATCTTTGATTTAGGGTTTGCATTTGTTTTTGTATTTGACTTTGAATATGTGTTTTCTCAGTCCGAGTCTGCGTTGGATGGCCAAGGAAGTAGGGTACGCTTCTTGCAAAGTGGGATGTTGAAAAATACTGTTCCAATGAAGAGGATGTCGGGGAAGAAGGGGAGGAGGAGGTGAGTTCCATTACTAGAAATAAAGAATTAAAATATTAAAATGACTAAAATACTATTTACTTAAATGAAATTGACTGAAAAAGTTAACAACTGTTAAAGTAAGGAAAAAACTCCATAAAAACATACAAATATTAATAACGATCAAAATAAACTTTAGAGACAAAGGTGAAGGACTAAAACCAAACTTAACTATACAAAAAGAACAAATTACATGAAAAGGTAGTGTATTTTAACTTGATTCTTGTTTTAGGTAACGTACTCTCAGAACTTTCATTTTGGTACTTAAGATGTAAAGTTTTAAACATTTAAATACCGGGTAATGGGTTGAAACATTAACCGGTTATCATACTGATGTGATGAGTGATGTAGTATCCAACTCAGTAGTATTTGTTGATTTTATTAGTGATATGAATTTTTTAATCTAAAATTAGTCTTCAACCGATTAGTTAAGTACTTAAATGTTTAAAATTTTATATTTTAAACATCAAAATATAAGTTTTAAAAATACATTACTCAAAATATAAATACGTTGATTTTTCATTCAAATTTATCTATAATCCAAATATGGAATTAAACGAAAAAAAAAAATATAATAATAAAGTATAAGCGCATTAAATAAAATAATTGTACCTCCCTCCCCATGTCTATATATATGGGAGGCATTAAAAGGATTGTACTTTAAGAGTAAAAAGCTGCAGAAGAGCGCGTGTGTTTCACACACATACCATCGCAAGTAGATTCGTAAAACCATCCCTCTCTCTCTTTCCCTCCTGTCTTGTCTTCTTTCCATACCGACCCTGCAAGTTAATACTACTCAAATCCATTGTTACATCCCTATCCACCTTCTCTCTCCCACCATCTCTCTCTCCCACCATCTCTCTCTCTCTCCCTCCCACCATCTCTCTCTCTCTCTCTCTCTCTCTCTCTCTCTCTCCCTCCCACCATCTCTCTCTCTCTCTCTCTCTCTCTCTCTCTCTCTCTCCCTCCCACCATCTCTCTCAGACACCCACCTGTTGGTTTTCTTTCATCTGCTCTCTCTCTCTCGTCAGTTCTTTTTCATCTCTCTCTATCTCTCTCACTTAAGAGAGACAGAGAGACCCACCAGAGACCCACCTGTTGGTTTTTTCTTCATCTTCTTGAGCCACTTCATTGTCGCTTATATTCTCTCTAAAAAAAACACTCCTTTTCCCACCATTTCTCTTTCTAAATACACCAAAGAAAGAACCGAGAGTTTGATTGAATTTGAGTCAAGAGAAAGATGAGCAAAGATAAGCTGGTAGTGGAAGTGTTAGGGGCCCACAACTTAATGCCTAAAGATGGAGAGGGTTCTTCTTCTGCCTTTGTTGAAGTTGAGTTTGAAGGTCAAAGACAAAGGACCCAAGTCAAATACAAAGACCTTAATCCCGTTTGGAATGAGAAGCTTGTGTTCCATGTAAACGACGTCGCTGACCTCCCTTACAGAACCATCGAAGTCAACGTCTTCAACGAGAAACGCTCCAACAACAGCCGCAATTTCTTGGGCAAAGTTAGGGTCTCCGGCACCAGCATTGCCCGTGAAGGCCAAGAAGAAGTCATCCCTCAACTCCACACGCTTGATAAAAGAAGCCTCTTTTCGCACGTGCGTGGGGAGATCACCTTCAAGTTATACTTGTCTGTCAAGGAGCATGTTAAAGGCGGCGGCGGTGGAGGAGCGGTGGTGGTTCCTGGTGGGGTTTCCAAGAAAAACAAGAAGTTCCAACAGCAACAACAGCAGAGCGCGAGCACAGTTGTTCAAAATCACCAGCAAATGGTTGGGGTTGGGGGTCAAGAAAACAAGAAAATGACTCATCCGAACCAGATGACAAACAAACCCGAGCCGAACCAGGGTGAACTAAAGCCTGTTGTCATCACTTCCATCCCGGGTCCACCCATGAACGTGGCGGCACCCGGCGGAGTTGGTGGTGGTCGCATGGGGTTGTTTTCCGGTGGGTCAAATGAATACTCTTTAAAAGAAACAAACCCGCATCTTGGTGGGGGTCTGTTAAACAAAGACAAAACAAGTTCAACCTATGACTTGGTGGAGCAAATGCAGTATCTTTACATAAAACTGGTGAAGGGTCGTGACATTCCGGTGGTCGGCGGTGGAGAGGTGGTGGCGGAGGTGAAACTTGGAAACTACAGAGGGATTACGAAGAGGGTTACTTTGAACAATGCAGAATGGGACCAAGTTTTTGCATTTTCCAAAGATACAATACAATCATCAATGGTGGAGATCTTTGTTAAAGAAAGGGACAAAGATGATTTCTTGGGTCGAATTTGGTTTGATTTGAATGAAGTTCCTAAAAGGGTCCCACCAGATAGTCAATTAGCACCACAGTGGTATAGAATGGATGATAAAAGAGGGGAAAGAGGGAAAGGTGGTGAAGTTATGGTGGCGATTTGGTTTGGGACACAAGCAGATGAAGCATTTTCAGAGGCATGGCATTCAAAGGCTGCAAATGTGCATTTAGATGGGCTTTGTTCGATTCAATCCAAGGTATATCTCTCACCTAAACTATGGTACTTAAGGGTTTCTGTGATTGAAGCACAAGATGTTGTTTTGGGTGAAAAGGGGACGTCCGTGATGAGGTATCCTGAGCTTCATGTCAAGGTGCAAGTGGGAAACCAGGTTTTGAAAACCCGAGTGGCTCCGGCCATGGCGAACCGTAGTCTTTCGAACCCGTTTTGGAATGAGGATTTGATGTTTGTGGTGGCAGAGCCGTTTGAGGATTATGTGATGCTTTCGGTGGAGGATTGGATTGGTCCAAGCCGTGAGGAGGTTGTGGGTCGGGTTGCTTTGCCGGTTTCGGTTGTTAGCCGGAGGTTGGATTCGAAGGAAGTGGCTTCGAGATGGTATAATCTCGATGGGCATTCGAATAACCCGAATGATGCCAAATCGGTTGTGAGGTTTGCTTCTCGGATCCATATACGTGCCACACTCGATGGCGGGTATCATGTGCTTGATGAAGCCACCATGTATAGTAGTGATGTTCGTCCTACAGCCAAACAGCTGTGGAAGCCTCATATCGGTGTTCTTGAGATGGGTATTTTGGGGGCTTCTAATCTTATGCCTATGAAGATCAAAGAAGGTAAAGGTGGATCCACTGATGCTTATTGTGTGGCGAAATACGGGCAGAAATGGGTCAGGACCCGAACAGTCGTGGATAGTTTGTCACCGAAGTGGAACGAGCAGTACACTTGGGAAGTTTTCGATCCTTGTACGGTTATCACAATTGGGGTTTTCGACAATTCACGGGTCGATAAGAACCCGGCTGGTGGGACCCGTGACTCGCGGGTCGGAAAGGTTCGGATCCGGTTGTCTACGCTGGAGTCGGATCGGGTTTATACCCATGCATACCCACTCCTTATGTTGCATCCTTCTGGTGTGAAGAAAATGGGTGAGCTTCATTTGGCTGTTAGATTCTCTTGTGCTAATATGCTCAATATGCTTCATATGTACACCATGCCGTTGCTACCAAAGATGCACTACGTACGACCCTTATCTGTGAACCAATTAGACAGCTTGAGGTACCAAGCCATGAATGTGGTGGCATCTCGGCTCAGCCGAGCCGAGCCGTCGTTGGGGAGGGAAGTGGTCGAGTACATGCTCGATCACGATTCTCATATGTGGAGCATGAGGAAGAGCAAAGCCAATTTCTTCCGGCTCACAAACGTGTTGGCTTGGCTTGTGTTCATGAACCGGGTGATCGACGCGATGCGGAACTGGAACATGCCGGTTTACTCAAGCATGTTCGTGCTCGCTTTTATGATCATGGTAATGATGCCGGAGCTCATCATACCGTCGATACTTCTCGGCTTCGCAGTAATCGGACTATGGAGATACCGATCACGCCCCCGTCACCCACCGCACATGGATACCCGTCTCTCGTATGCCGAAGGCGTTCACCCCGATGAGTTAGACGAAGAATTCGACTCGTTCCCGACCAGCAGAAGTGCCGAGGTCGTGAGGATTCGGTACGACCGGCTGCGGAGTGTGGCGGGGAGAATCCAGACGGTGGTTGGAGACATGGCGACTCAAGGCGAACGGTTCCAAGCGTTGTTGAGCTGGCGAGACCCGAGGGCCTCGTTCTTGTTTGTGGTGGTCTGTTTCTTTGCTGCATTTGGGTTTTATCTGGTGCCGGTTCGGTGGGTGGTGGCGATGTGGGGTTTGTATTTCTTGAGGCCGCCGAGGTTCAGGAACAAGTTGCCATCGAGTGCGGTTAGTTTCTTCAAGAGGCTGCCAACAATGGCTGATAGCATGTTGTAGTTCATGATTCTGGGGTTTAGAAGAGAAGCAATCTGTTGCTATATTTTGTGGTCATTAGATGTTGTTAGCTGGTTATTGTATTGTAGCCTCGGCTCTTTTGTTAAGGTAATTCAACACAATTTCCATCTGGGAAAACATTAAATCCTATTTTAGATCCATCTAATTTACCAAAATACTCGAATCTTCCAGGGCCAACTTTATTTTTATCATTTTTTCCTAACGAATTTGAGGGTTTGTTTAGTTAAAGATATTAAACAATAATAAATGAAAATAAAAATAAAAGATACTATTTGGTTTTCTATAATAAAATAGGTTCATTCGTTGAGAAGCTTAAAATTTCATTCATGATTAAATTGGAGAGATGAAAATTCATTTTTATTTTCATTCCTGTTATTTTCATTTTTATTTTCATTCTTCAATCTGCTTGTTTTTATAAAAAAATACACAAATTTACGCAAGGATTCTTGTTTGCACAAAAAATAATTTTTTAATATGAAAATAGATTTTAAGACATTTGTATAAACTTTGATTAAGATAGAAATTTGATTGAAAATATTGATTATTTTGGTCAAATTTCCTATGTGAAACTTTGTTAAATTACTTGAGATAAACCTTGAAATTACGAGAATACATAAAGAAAATGAGAAATGAACAATTTTTTGGAAATTAAGGGAAATAGCTATTTTTAGGGATAAAATTCATCTTTTAATCATTTTTCTAAAAACTTCTAAAATATCATTAACTCTACAAGTGACATCTCTATGACTTGCAGAGGTAACTAAAAGGCAAGAAAATCACTTTTCACCTGCATCTATAAGTGACACCTCTATAAGTGAATGGAAATTGCAGTGATTTACATGGATGTTTTTCATTACTTTGTTAAGCAAATGGGTCCTACATCTAATATTAATAGGAAAACCGCCGATGACAAATGCTTCTGGTCATCTCGTTATTTTTGGGAATGCCCCCAATTTACTTAACAAAATAGAAGTTTCATCGTATATTGAAAGGGTCCAAGTCAGCATGGTTTTCCTGTTCTTCTCGTTAACTTAAATTGTACGGTCACAAATGTATAAAATGCAATTCAAATTAACAATGAATTGCAGTAAAAACAAGAACATTAAGCTGGAAATAAGTTTTACGGTGAAGTCGTTAGGGGTGGTTATTGTGAAAATGGTATTAAACGAGGATCTGTGAGACATGGAAGACCAGCACGAGCTCCTAAAGCTCGACAACTGATTGCTGCCTGTGATGGTTTATAGATAGAAATCACAGATGAGAAAACATTCATCTTGCATTTCGACTCTTATTTTTTAGAAAAAAAAGATTATCATCAAACTTATCATTTTTTTTTTCACAAAAATAGCCATTTTGGGGGCATTAGAAATAACAAACTTTACAGGATATAAGTAACCATGGATTGCGCCTTTGCGAACTCCCTTTTTCCACGAGATGCACTTTTATCTATACGAATCTTGACTATTTTATTAAGAAAGAGTACTTTTTTCGCAAACTCCTTGCAAGATGTACATTTTTTTTGTTAACTCCTTATTTTGGACCATCTCGTAAAAAGGAAGTACGAACTCCGTGACATATTTGAACTCAACCATACTATTTTATTGGGAAAAATTACAAAAAAAAACATTATTATAAACTGTATGAAAAAGTGACATACTTTTACATGACTCCTATTTTGGATAACATACTTTTAAAACTTCAATTTCGGTATCTAAAATGTAAAATTTAAATATTTAAGTACCCGGGTAATCGATTGAAGCATTAACCGGTTACCATGTTGATGTGGCGAATGATGAGATGAAATTGGGTTGAATAGCACATCACTCGTCACATCAGCATGGTAAGTGGTTAATGCTTCAACCTGTTACCCGAGTACTTAAATGTTTAAAACTTACATCTTAGGTACCAAAATTGAAGTTTTGAAAGTACGTCACTCAAAATAGGAATCAAGTTAAAGTACGTAATTTTTTCATGCAATTTACCCTTGCAACTTCTTATTTTACAGACTCATTGTGCAAGATGGCCATATTTTGTTTTTCCAAACTCCTTATTCTGCCCATCTCACAAAAAAGGGAGTTCGAATTCCGTGGCTATTTTATAGTAAACCTGGAAAAGTTGGTTATTAGGAATATTAAGATATTTAATAAATTTGATGATAGTTTTTCATGTTTTTAAATTTGCTCTACCAGAAACTTGGAATGTACTTTGTGATACTAACCACTTGAGCTGCAAAAGGTAACATCTGTTCTGGAGGCTTGTTGGTGCAAATGGCTACAAATAAAATGTACAACAAGAGTTGTCAATTTGGTTAACTGTTTGGGGGGCACTTATTATTTGACTATGTGTCCCATCTTTTAGTTACTTCATTCCAACATTAAATTTTACTTTTGACCTATCTGAAATTAGATCTAAACTTTATGAAGTCAAGTTTGTTTCTAGCTATTTAGCTTTATAAAGCATTTGTCATAAATTTTATACTAAACCTAGCAGAAAAGAAATAATAAAGCAGAATAATGCAGATATAATGGACTCAACAAAGGACTATTGACCGAATATATCCGGTAACCCAACCTTCTTGGAGGTCAGGGTTTAAAACTCATCAAAGGTGAGTAGTGTGCGTGAGTTCTATCGTGTATAAATATTATATACTTCAAAAGAAATGGCTAAGGAAGACAAATAATAATGCAAAATAATGTTAGATATGATGGGCTGAACTGGCTATTGGCCAGCGGTATCCAGTAACCCAAAGGAGGTAAGAGGCTCAAATCTCACAAAAGGTGAGCAGTTGTGTGTGAGTTTTGCCGTATATAAATATTATATACTTCAAAAAGATGGTTAAAGGAAGACAAATAATAAAGCAGAATAATGCCATATATGATGGACTGAATTGGTTACCAAAGGGCTATTGGCCCAGTGGTATCTGGCAACCCAACCTTTATGAAGGTTGGGGATTCAAACCTCACCGTAGGTGAGTAGTGTGTGAGTTTTTCCGTGTATAAATATTATGTACTTCAAAAGAAATGGTTAGAAATACTTACAATATAGAACAGCTCCTATAAATGCGTCTCCAGCACCTGTTGTATCCACGAGCTCTGACTGTGGTATCTTCTCAGCTGTGCCAAACAATAGCTTCCCACACACAACCCCAATCCCCTTTGCCTGCAATCTTTTGACGTCCTGAAGAGCAAGGTAAAAATATGCAGCATTCATGTTACAAACATCATTGATCTAATAGTCTGATTGGGATTATATAATTTGTTATTTTGTAAGAAAATGGTTATGTAGTTACGTACAGTTTTCCTTCTTTCATGCTTATGAATTATGACATACTACGTGTTGTAATATAAATTTATATTACTTGTGGATGTTGCACTCAAAGAAGGAAGCTTCCTCACTACTCTTACCAAGCTTGTTCACTACTCATCCTCTAAAGCTTCTTCCCTACTCTTTGTTTGGTTATAAATAACCATTTGGCCCCAACATATTTATATATCCCTTGGTTTTCTATCTTCCTCTAGATACAACACTCTCTAGCTAGTATATCATATATGTGTGAGATACGAGAGTGTTCTTGAAGTTCTTGAAGGAAGACTTGCTAGTTGATTGTGGATTTAAAGATCCTTGTACAAGCACTTTGTAATCTTCTTGGTTGTAATAATATTCTTGCTCTCTCTCTTTGGTGGACGTACACTATCACACCGATAGTGGAACCACGTTAAATTCTTGTGTTGTTATTGTAAATTTGTCATTTACATAGATAATAACATATATTGTTATTATCTATATTTGGGTTATTTTCGATAGAGTCATTGTGCAACATCTAGATCATTGTTATCCGCATTTGTTGTCGGGTTTGTTGTGTCCTTGGATTTCTATTTCGTTTCGGGACCTTAGAAATCAATTGTTATCATTACTTTTGTGACACACATTTCCTTACACTACGGAATTCAGCATTAAAAAATTCTAACGACTGCGGATACATCCATATTATTTAATAATTTAAATACTATCTTCCTAAAAAAACCTGTGTGTGATTGTTGATGCTAACATGTATACTATTAACGGGATTCCTACAGCCGATTAGGGCCATATTTAGCAACCATAAGCTAGCTTGTTTTTTGAGCTTATTGAAAAACTCTGTTTGGTACTTTGGTTAACCATAAACAGGTAGACTACTTATAAGCTAATTTTTTGAATGCTACTTGAAGTAACATTTCAATAAGCTCCGGGGCTTTTTCCTCTTTTTTCCAACCATGCCTCTTATATTTTTCCAATTAATTTTTGACATGTACTTTTTAGGTCATTGTATATCGACCTTATCAACTAGTTTTTACCAAACATGATTATTTTATCAACTAACTTATTAGCCAACAACTAACTTTTCAGCTAACATTTAGCTTATCATCAACATAGCTTATTAACTAATTTGCCAAACACAGCCTACATACCATACCTCAAAGTAACTGTTTATCTAAATCAAAGTCCTATACTCATGACTTTTGCAAGAGATTGGTGGCAGAGGAAGATGAACATAAGATGCATACATTTCAAGAACATGTGTGATATGCAATATAATTTCAGTGTAGAAACTAAAACCAACATATGCAATGATACAAGTAAGCTTACTATATATATATATATATATATATATATATATAGACTTGGGATCATGTGAGACCAGCCTGTTTTCGTGAGACCAACATTTTACACTTGAAACTTCACAACAAAATGCTGTGAAGGTGACTTTTTAAAACCTTCACAGTATTTTTGCTGTGAAGGTTCGACTTTTTTTAAACCTTCACAATGTTTTTGTTGTGAAGGTTACGTGTAAAAATGTGGTCTCACGGGTCTCACGAAAACAGGCTGGTCTCACGTGAACCCAACCCTATATATATATATATATAGAGAGAGAGAGAGAGAGAGAGAGAGAGAGAGAGAGAGATAACATAGGGACATATAATGAGCACAAGTGGAACTACCGAGGAAATGCATGTTGGGTCAGCTGTACTACTGTCCGCTTTGCGCTTCAATTGCTCTAGTAAGTCATCTACATCCATTTCTTCAGCTCGATCATTCTCTGCTGGAAGTGAAGTTCATATTAGAGCTGCGTTATAAAGGCGGCTAGTAGCTACCAAATATACATAAAGGATGAAAAGCGAACGAGTCTGGGAACTAAATCATATACGCACCACCAATGCTTCTCTCAAGCATTATGCAACCATCAGCACCTAAAGTTACAATGACAAACTTGACTTTTGGCAACCTCAAGAGCATTGAAATAAGTGCACCTGGAACAGATGGAGCTCCAGTCCATGTCTATCAAGTATATACAAAAGTAAATACCTAGTGTTAGAACTTCGAATTGATCAGGGATGCAGCCATATTAGTTGTTAGATTCTCACATCGGCTAGACTTGGACATTTTCTCTTCAATATATATTAGAACCCCCCTTTTTTCTTTATTTAAGGGATCTTTTAGAGAGTAATGTGATGGGGATCCACGTATTCTTGCATGGTATCAGAGCCAAAGTCAATATGGGACATCTTTGCCCGTCTAACCTCCTTTGGAGGGGGCGTATTAAAAAGGGTAGATGCCACCCTTTGAGGTGCCCCCTCCAATGTCTCACATAGGCTAGACTTGAACATTTTCTCTTCAATATATGTTGGAAGACATAGAAAGGAAGCAACAGCAGGTAATCTAAAATAATAATCAGCTTGCCTCTGGAAGTTTTGCCGAGCACACCACGTAGTCTGATAAATTTAGAAGATCATCCAGGCCTTCTCTTGGCCGTTCAGCATCAACTAGAATCGGTATTCTCCTGCGATTTGCCTGCACTGGTGAGATTGAACAGAGATGGCTCATTTCCATTTTAGTATAAATTATTAACTGGCCTAAAGGAAAACTGATTGAAAGAACATTTGAGAGTTATGCAGGGTAATCTGGACGACAAATTCATAAATCACCTAATATTTACCTCATGTGCAACAACTAAGGCAGTTTGAGGTAACCGTACATCAAAATAAACAAGCTTCACTCCAGCCAATGCAGCTAACAATGTTGAATTGGAGATGTCATTGGGAATCATTGGAGGCGAGCCTGGAGTATGAATGCAAGTTCGAGTTTTCCTGGGTGCATCTAAACTTGTCAATAAGTTAAAAACACACTTTTATGTATGCAGGTTTCGATGCAACTCCCTAGAACTGTTGAAACATGTTATAAAGATCCCTTAGTTGTTTAGCACAAACTGCAAAAGTTTACAACTTTCAGTTGAAATGATGTTACTCAAAGTGGCTACGACTCCTTAACCCTCCCCTACCTACGGCTCTGGTTCATATCCGACCCTCCTGGTACATTGATACCCACCTTTCGACTCTCTAACCCATCCCTAAACCCTACACTTACCCTTGGCAAAATGCCTAAAGTTGTCATGTATGGTCTTAGTTGCTTGTCTCACATTACCCTTGGCATTTCCCTCTTCCTTAGACCCTCGACCCTTACAAATGCCGAAGACTGTCTCCTACGAACTTGCACAGTCGGAAGAAGTTCATAATTCAATGAAAAGACAGCGGTTTTCCAATAGCAAAAAACAGTTAATCATATAGTCAAGCCTGGCACCTTTCATAGAAGTAACAAAATGAGACGAAAAGGGCCGGGGCATGAAGAGACGCTTACGTTTGATTGTCCACAATGACATAGGTAAATGGTGAATTTCCTTCTTCAGAAACCTGTAACCAGGAAAAGTAAGTTAATATATGTAAAAAGAATGCCCAAAGGCAGATGCTACAGAGTAAAATTCAATAGAAAATTTTGTACAACCTATTCATAAAGAAAAGTGTATCAATAGAATTTAAAAAAATGAAATAAGGCAAGTCGAAGGAATGAAACTTGCAAAATCTAAAGAAGATACTACTCCATGCCACCAAAAATTGCAATATTTCCATTTCTGATCATTTTTAAAGTTGATATATCAATTGACTACATACCATGGTTCTCACTAAAACAACTGTTTTTCCTTTTAGAATAAAGGACAGATGTACGTACATACCACCTTGCCTAAACCCTACCTTCAAATGGAATATACGGGGTTAGTTTTGGCTTGGTTATATCCATTGACTACTTAATAACCACAGGAAAAGTAGTTGCCTCGTTTTAGCCCAAATTACATTCTCTAACTTGAATGTTCAAGGGTATTTGCTAGTATGAAATTCTGAATATCTTTCTGAGAACAAGATCGGTTCTATTGAGTTACACGAGAATATACAACAAAACAAACCAAATGAGCCCCGTATATCCCATCAGGATTTAGGGGGTGTGATGTACGCAGACATGTCCTCTACCTAAGGAGTAAAGTGTTGTTCCGTGAAGACCCCCAACTTGAAAGATAACAAAACTGTGTTCAATGATATTGGAAAACTTCACTTCTATACATTTTCATTACCACAGAGAAGGACACATCTACACTATCAGCTTCTAATTCCTCCAATATTCCTCTCCCTTGAGCATCATTGGCAACCTGAAAATGCAACATAGAACATTGAAATCACTTCAGAATAGCTCCGCAAAGGAATTTATAGAATATCCTAGTATGTGGACTAAATTTTATAAGAGAACAAACATAAGGCTGCATTTGGTACATGGGACAGGACGAGAGGAAACTCGATGACTCCCTTTCCCACGCTTGGCGCGACATGAGTCAGGGACAATAACCGGGACAAGATGGGACGACTTTGGGACAAAAAAGGTTTTTTTTGTTCCACCAAAATAGGTGAAACAAGATGGGACAAGAATGAGACATAAACTAATTAACCCTCGTTTGCTATATAACCTTAATATGAGTATTTGTTTTAGTGGTCACCTCCGCTAGTTGCGGATGCCGCCACCACTGACCGTCGGCCACCTCCACCTCCTCCTCCTCCACTACCTCCACAACCACCATCGGCTACCACTACCACTGCCCACCACCACCACCACCACCGGCTACAACTACCACCGTCGGCCACCACTATCGGCTACCACTACCATTATCTACTATATTCATGTCCTCTACAACCACCACCATCCATCTATCGTCGGCCACTACCACCTCCACCATAACCACCATCACTGCCCACCATCACACCTACCTCCAGCACATAGGCCACAACTACCTCTACCACCACTGTCGACAACCACCACTACTATCCACCATCTTCACGTCCTCCACAACCACCATTGTCCACCAATTACCAATGTTAATACCTCCACAACCTTTGTTGTTGCAACAATCTTCACCGTGTCTTCACCAATAAAAAATGATCTTTCAAACCGAATAAAACATAATTTCTCCTTTGCATGAAGTGGGTTTTTTCAAACTACCATCAATTATATAAAAAATATCATTCAAATTTGGTACTATTTTGTATTTATGTATATGAAAATTGTGTAAAAATGTTATAAATTAAATTATTCACTTTATTTGTGTTAATTATAACTATTATATGATATATAAAACCATAAAATAACTTTTGGGGGCAACTTGTATGGTTTTGTCTTGTCCAGTCCTAGCCATACCAAACACCAGACAAACACTTGTTCTGTCCAGTCTTGTCCCATCGAGTCATGTCCTGTCTAATCATGTCTGCATACCAAACGCTACCTAAAAGGAAGTGTATAATAATATACACACATAGCACCAAAGGGCCTTTGGCCCGGAGGTATCCGAACCTTTGGCCTCCCAAGAGGTGGGGGTTCAAACCTCACCAAAGGTGTAAAAAGTGTGAATTTATTTGTTACATTTTTCCGTATATGAATATCATATACTTCCAAAAGAAATACACACAGAGAGAAATATATATTGAGATTTGTACATTTAGATCTTAGAGTAAGGTGTTTTGCTCTCTTTCTTTCTCTCCTCTTCTTTCAATGAGCAAGATTAGTGAGACTCAAAACCGTGTCTTCGAGCATGAGAGGAAGAGGCATTTATCATTATGCTTTCATCCCTCACCCTTTTCTCTTAATGTTTTCGGTAGAAGCCATTAGCATATTGTATTCATACCTTGGATATTAACCTCGCATTCAATCCTAAACGAGCTGCACAAGTTAGAGCATTTCCTGCATTACCACCTCCTTGTACCTACCCAAAAAATATTGTGAATTGTGATGGTGAAATTATTTGAAGAGATACAAATAAAACAATGATAATAACAGGTCGTACAAAAACAAAAGATTGACTTTTTTCTTAACATGCTTGACATCCAAAAAAGTAACCCTTTCATTTGAGCAAGGGAGCACACAAACTACTAGTTTGACCGGTTCGAGCACCAAGTGGGGATCCACATTTCGGATCCATCACCCAGATCCGGGGGTTCAAGACAAGCCAAACGGAGTAGTGTTGGTTCTTCAAAATCTAGAATCTAAGTACATTTTTAGCATATTTTGGGAAATCGTCGGGTTCAAGTATTCAATTATCGAATGGTAGTTCGGTACTTTTCTGTTTGGTTGTTTAATCATAGTTAGGAGCAGTTAATGGTGGTTGGTAGAAATATTTATTGGGTATAAAATAATTGTACTTTGTTTCATTGATGAAATAATGATAATCTTTCCTCTCTCCCTCGAACACGTGTTATGATATCAGTGTGAATGTGCTCTCGCTGTGCCCTAATTTTCCGATCACCGGATTATTTCTACGATCATCCCTGATTTGATTCAATCAATTGATTCTTCTTTTTGTTTACTTCATCTTTATTACCAATTGTTGGACAGACTCTAACATAGAGTAATTCCATGGTGAAGAACAGCCAGGAATACCTAGTGGCCTTAGAAGAACTCGAACCGGTGACCTTGGTGAGAGTGTGAATTGAGCTAACCACCGAAGGTTAGTTCATTCTCTAATTGAAAACACCGAAATGGACATTATAAGATGGATAATCCAACTATAGAACCAAGCAAAGCATTACCTCCAAACATAAAAACATCTTCTAGAGTCAGTACCTTCAAGCTGGTGCTACGGATCTTGTCATCCGGGTTAGGGAACGCAGCCACAGTAGCCAAGAGATCCACCGCCACACCGCCAAATCCAAGCTGTGTTGTTAACACCATAAACATTCCACTTCCAATTGTAAAAATATCATCAATCGTAACACGTAATTAAGATCGCAATCAGTCTCTTTCGACACACTTCTGCAATCTCAATCTCAATTATGCAAATTAAGAGGACACAGAGAAACACGTACCACGATTGGAGTACTTTCCAGCGATGTAACCGTCACCGCCGACGACGACATTTTTGCCCTGAATCTGTGCACTTGAACACATACTCAAATGATTTGATAAGAAAAAAAAAACAAATGAATTTGAATAACGTAGAAGAAAGTCACCTGGATGTAGTGGTGGTTAACGGAGTGGAGGATTTACGCGATGAAGCGAAAATAAAGCTATGGAGCATAGCACTGGTGGAGAATATGGCCGCCATGTGTACGCCCTGATTCGGTGGCGCGTGGTGAACACTGCGGTGTTGCGTCTGGCGGTTGTAACCGATTTCGTCTGTGATAGATCTGGATAGGGAGCCGGATTGCATGCCATTGTTGTGACCGTTTATTCTGTTCGTGGAGGAGCACCGTGGGATCCACAATCAAAATTTACATTTGTCACCACTAGGTTTTACTTTTTACAGTTCAACCACCAAATATTTAGAAAATTTACCCAAATGACCATATTTCACTACCAAATTAACCTTTTAACCATTTCTCTCCGAACTTTACTCAAAAATCACCAGGTCTGTAATACCCAGGTCCACAATCATTGGTGGAAACAGTTAAAATAAAGTATTTCACTCCTCATTTTTAAGTTTAAAAGATTTCTTTGAATTTGGATATTCCTACATTTTCTCGATTCTTATTTATTTTAGCGTACATTTTAACATGATTATTTGAGCAAAAGAAATTCCAAATTCTTTAAAATGTCTAATTTAATATAGTTAGGGGTGTACACGAGTTGAGTTGGGCGGTTTTTTGACATTTCTTCAACCCAGTTTAATTATGACGTTTGGAAAATCTCAACTCAACCCAACCAAATCCAACTGTAGGTTAAGGCGGGTTGGGTTGGGTTGGGTTGGCGGGTTGGTAATATACAAAAAACTACTACCAATTCTCATACTATTATAAGCATAGTCTTTTCCACAGTAATTTCAAACACATCTAGCGTCCTTCTAAAAGTGATCCCAAACGATATGAGATTTTCTTTATGACAAAAACACAAAAGATTTAATGGGTTAGCGGGTTTCACAGGTTGGGTTTAATTAGGTTTTTAGCATGTTGGGTTGGACGGTTTTCAGGGATTGACGGTTTCTTTTACATCTCTAAATATAATTGTTGAATTTGGTCTTATTCAGGAGGTATCTTTATGACAAAAACACAAAAGATTTTAGAATTTACCTTCACATGAAACTTTTTGCCTTTATTGTCTTTCTTGGTTACTATGGATTTTTGGACACTGACTAATGTTACGGACGATCACGAACGGCCTAGAGTCATCGCATGTGAACCTCCGTGATCACAAAGGCTTTGGTAGCACCGAGATTCAAACCCATAGTAGATGAGATTTTTCACTACATCTATTTGAGGCTTAATCAGTGTATAGTGTGCCACAACCCACGTGGTTTTATTGCCTTTTTAGTACCGTATACTCTTGTAAATTTGCCAAAGTTTTGGGACTGTTTGGTTAGAGGTATTAAGAAGGTAATCAATAGAATCGGAAAAAAAAAAAAACCATTATGTTTTATATAATATAATAAGCTCAAATTTTTATTTCAAATTAAACTCGGAAAATGAAATTCATTTCTAGTTTCGTTACCTATCATTTTTTTAATTTTCATTCATCTGCTTGAATTAAACAGTCCCTTAATTTTGGTAAAAAGAAAATAATCGTTTAATTACATTTTTATTATTAGCAATCATCATAAAATATTAATAATCGTAAAATTCATTGTTTACGGTGGTGTCCGATTGGTTTGAGCTCGAGATCTAAAGGTTAAAAGTGTCTGGAGTTCTCAGGTTTGAATTCAAGGTGAAATTAAAATCCCCTTGTGGCCACGGATATTCAAATGCAGTGACTCCGGACTACCCGTGAAACAGGTGGTCGCGCTGAAATAGTCGGCTCACGTAACGGATTGGATATCCGGTTAATAAAAAAAATTCATTGTTTATTTAGTCATTTGGTCATTTTACGACATTACATTTTTCATATAAAATACAAATTACGCACTTCCAGAGTCTATTTAAAAAAATCAATTTTCAAAGAAATTGTAACTATCATATTACGATTTGGGATTACGTGAGATCAGCTTGTTTTCGTGAGACTCATAATATCACTTTTTTACAATTGAAACTTCACAACAAAATGCTGTGAAAATAACATTCACAATGTTTTTGCTGTGAACCTGTGAAAGTTCGGTTTTTTTTACTTTCACAATGTTTTACTGTGAAATTTCAAGTGTAAAAAAAGTGGTCTCACAAAAGCAGACTAGTCTCACATAAACCTAACCTATCATATTACATTATAGCTAAGAGATTCGAATTAAGCTACGAAGAGGAACATTAGATAATACCATATAAGGAGCAGATTCCGTTAAGAACCCCATTTTTATCATGAATTCGGGAATCATCTAGAACGCAATACGTATCTAAGACATTTATCATGAATGTTGTAAAAGAGTCGCATCCATTATTCATGATGAATATAAACCTATGGCCCGTTCTAGGTGTGTCATGGTTTGTAATGGAAATGGAAATGCGGTTCTCAACATCAAACTTTCCTCTACCATGGAAATGCGGTTCAAGTCATGGTGTGTGGAACAGGCGCCCCGTGTGGCAAACCAAGCCACGGTGCAAGGAAACCAAGCAACGTTGCGAGAAACCGGCTAGCCATGGTACAAGGGAATTTTCTCGTTTGATCCAAATGTGTATTGCCACAAACTGTGTGCATCCTGATAGCGTGTTGTTGATTACGCGCTTAAACGTCATTCATTTTTAGCACTAAATGATTTGACAGGTGAGTTGTTATACACTCCTTAGCAATACTGATTTCAAACAGTAAAAATTTAAAAGCCAAGACAAAGTAAAAATAGATTTAACCAAAATCAACCATGGTAAAAAAGGGTTTTAAACAAAGGGAAACAAAATTGATCAGAAATCAACATATACAGACAACACACCTACAATTGTATTGTAATTAAATCAAGATTGTCAAAAACTACAAATCTCCCTTCTTTTTTCTCCATATATAATATCATCAAACTCACATCATTTCATACAACCCGAAAGCAATCCCGAAACCCTATCGGTCATCGACCCACTTCCCACGATGGCGTTTCGGTTATGTACACTTAAAAAAAACAACGAACACTCTTTTCGGTTTCTAGAAAGAAGCTTCACTCCAAAACGGCTTCAAAAGGAGTCCACCATGTTCACTCATGCTTCCTTTTGATCTGTAAAACAACGGTTTGCTCCGAACCGTCCTTAGTGGGCCCGACCTGTTCCCATGACTGATGGGTAGACCGGCATCAAAGCTCGAAGCTGAAAACGGTCGGTTTTCTAAATCTTCAAGTGGGCCGGAGCTATAATCCATTGTTATGAATGAAGAAGCTTGACCGTAGGTCAAGCGTGGCGTTGCACCGCCACCTGCGTTCCACCAACTGCTGTCGGAAGGGGCGTGATCGTGATCTCCCTTGAAGTCCGACTCTACCACCGATGAATCTCGTTGAGTGGTGCTGTCCCCACATACCTCATCTTTATCGTTGTATATGAGCTTTAAGGCTTGGACCACTTCACCCATGAAAGGTCTTTGGGTTACCTCAGGGTGCACACACATGGAAGCTATCGCAGCCACTTTTGCCATGTCATCGAAGTCGTACATCCCGGACAAAGTGGGGTCCACCAACTGCTGCAGGCCTTCTCGGCTCATGAGAAGTGGGCGAGCCCACGTCACGAGGTTTTCTTCACCGGGAGGTTGTGACATGTCAACCGGCTTTCGTCCGGATAGAAGCTCCAACAACACGACCCCGTAACTATAAACGTCACTTTTGACTAGTAGATGCCCAGTCATGGCATATTCAGGGGCAACATAACTGCAAATACACAGTAAGTGATTTGTAAGATAACTAAAGATTTCCAGGAGGGTTGTTTAAATCTTTTTGGAGGCCCGGTTATACCTATACCAAGACTATAAATCGACTAGACGAGTAATAAATAAAACAAAATTATAAACGTTCATACCATATATTATATTAAGAGTCTCACAAATTAAAACAACAACAATGCCTTAAGATGACAATTTAATGTATGAAAATCACTTAAACACTTAAATAGAATCATTTTTCTACATTTTGCAAAACCTGGAATCGGGAATTGCAAAATTGGCTAAAAGAGTGAAAGCCTAAAACATTATAATGGGGTTGAAAGTTAAAACATATATAATCTGGTAAAGGCTAATGGGACTCGCAGCTTATTCAATCAACTGTACATGATTGTTTAGTTGTGACTTAATGATATAGAGAGTGGCTTATTCAGTAAGCTTYTAGGGGGAGCTTTATGCAAAAAGCCAAGTTTTTTTTTCCAAACTTCTATATAATCTGGTAAAGGCTAATGGGACTCGCAGCTTATTCAATCAACTGTACATGATTGTTTGGTTGTGACTTAATGATATAGAGAGTGGCTTATTCAGTAAGCTTCTAGGGGGAGCTTTATGCAAATAGCCAAGTTTTTTTTTCCAAACTTGCCCCTCCCAATTAAAAAACACGCTCCTTACATCTATTAAAAGATCCTCCAAACAAAAACCTTCCAAATCTATACAGACAGATTAATCCACACAGACAGCTTTATGCATACAGGTGTTGATGGAAAACTAACCAAACAGCCCTTTAACACATATAATTGGGCCCCAAAACTTTTGGGGTTTAGGGTTTTGGGGGCCCTTTCTCATATCTCAGATTGGAACACCCTCAGGCACGACCCTAATTTCCAAGGAGGTAAAAGACTATCAACAATCACACCACAATGTGGTCGGTCGTCACTCAAATGGTGCTGCTTTTTCTGGTAATTAGGGGTGTTCGGGCCAGCTTGCAGGCACCTAGACTAATCCCATCGGGCCACGGAATTTGCTTTAATTCCCATTTTCAGTTAGGCAAAATGCATTACACTGGGCCATATTTAGTTCCCTTTTTCACTTGGGAAAAATGCATTAAAATTTGCTTTAGTTCCCATTTAGTGTAACAAATAATTTTTTTCCTCAATGTAATAAAGTTCCACAATATCCTATTGAATGTAATAAAGTTTCAAAACCCTATTTAATGTAACGAAGTTTCAAATTTTCCTACTTTTTACCATTTTGCCTGATAACCTGCTAATCTTGTAAGTTGTAACATTTAACAACATGAATGTCAAGTTCATTATAACCCTTCCATAAACCTTTCATAAATGGGTGTTCACATCATCAAATCTTACGAGATCAGCATACTACCGGTTAAAATGGGTAAGAAATTGGAAATTTGAAACTTTGTTACTGAGAAAAAAATCTCTTCGTTGCATTGAATAGAAACTAAGGAACCGTTTACAAAATGCTTACCAGGTAAGTGCTTACCGTGTCACTTACCTTACGGGTAAGCATGACAATGACCTACAATCTTATCCGGTAAAGGCATAGCAAGAACTGAGAATCTTACCCAGTAAGTGAGGGAGGAGACTGCTTACCAGGTAAAAGACACTTATCAACAACTCGTTTTGATTACCAAGCATGTTACTCAATAAGGTAAGTGAGGGTGGAACATTTGCGGGTAAGCACTTACCCGATAAACATAGGTCTCATTTTAATATATGTTATCCTTTTCATTTTGATAAATAAACACAGGTCTCATTTCCAAGTGTGTATCAATAAGTTAATACAGTAGCATATTTGAAAGAAGACGTACCCGAAAGTTCCCATGACACGGGTAGAAATATGACTACTCCCTTCTGTAGCTTCTCTTGCTAACCCAAAATCTGATACCTTGGGAGTGAAGTCGTCTTCTAGCAAAACATTGCTTGCCTTAAAGTCACGATGAATTACACGGGGATTAGAATCTTCATGAAGATAAGCCAATCCTCTTGCTGCACCAAGAGCAATCTTCAACCGAGCATCCCAGTCAAGAGGTCCGTTCTCCTTATCCACATCTGCAAAATCCACATAATTGACGAAGTTTCTCAACCTCTTCCATTATATATTTGAAAGAATATGCCACACTGTTCAAATTTCAGAAGCAGGACGAATGCAAAACTCCTTGCGAAAACTAAATGACTTGGGCCTATCTGGTTGAAAACATTTAAAGTATTGGTTTTCAAACTTGTGATATTCCTATTACTCCCCGTTCCCAAAATAAGTGTCCATGTTTCTATTTTAGTTTGTCCCAAAATAAGCATCCACTTTCAAAAGTAGGGGGTCGTTTACTAAAAGCTTACCTGGTAAGCACTTACCATGTCACTTTACCTTACCGGATGGGCATTGCAATGACCAAGAATCTTACCCGGTAAGAGCGATGGCAAGGGAAGAGAGTCTTACCCAGTAAGCGAGTGTGACGACTCTTACCCAGTAAGCGCTTACCGGATAAATTGTTGCATATGAAGTTTTTACTTTTTAATGGATTAGAATCTTACCGAGTAAGGTAAGTGAGAGTGTTCTTTTACCTGTAAGCATTTAGATTAATGGCCCCTAAGTGCCTACTTTTCAATTCTACCCTTAACTATGAGATGGAGATATTCATTACTTCTGTTATTAAGGGTAAAATTGTCATCTAGTTAAGTAAAAAGTGTAAAAACTACATATTTTTCTAAAAATAAGCACCTTTTTCATTGTGGCATTTATTTTGGGAAAAAGTAAGTAAAATTTTTGAGAAAAACACACAGAGGATCATAAATACCACATGATAAACATCAGCATTTTGCCAAGTAACAAACATTTGATGAGCAAAAGTTGAAAATAATGCATGGCACCCTGAAGGATAGAAGCTCAAAATTTATTGAAGTTCAACAAGACAGGACTTTTGTGCTTTACAAGGTTTGCACCAAACACCCCCTTATCATGGAAGGGCAGTATAGTAATTTGATGATGCTTTCGTTTGCAGCATCCTTTACTTGTCTGGTCCATAATGAAACAACATTTGATTTCTGAGAGTTGTATGTGAATTGGTATATTTCTAAGAGCATCCTACAATAGGCTAGTTGGAATTTGTGAATATATGATTTTGAGGTTTGGGCATAAAAAAATTCTCATAAAGAAAACAAATACATAGAAACAAACAAAACTAGCCCAGCATATCACACCCGAAGGTGGCTCATTTTTTAATTGAGTAAATTACTATTTTCGACCTCTGGTTTGGTAATAATTTCCATTTTCGTCCATGTGGTTTAGAAATTGCGATTTTAGTCCCTATGGTTTGCAATTTATTGCTATTTTTGTCCCTGGACAAATTCCAACCTGTAAGTACAAGGGACCAAAACAATAAAGAATGGTAAACCACAGGGACCAAAACAATAAAGAATTGTAAATCATAAGAACGAAAATAGCAATGAATTACAAACCATAGGGATAAAAACCGTAATTTCTAAACCACAGGAACGAAAATCATAATTTTTTTAACAAACCACAGGGACAAAAAACGTAATTTACTCCTTTTTTTTGGGGGGGGGGGGGTATGCAGACCTGGTCTCTGCTCTTATAGTGTAGAGCAGTTGTTTCCGTGAAGACCCCGGGTTTGTGAGAAGGGTGCAAAATAAAAAGATAAAAACAGCGTAGAAACGGAACCATATATCGAAGGCATGCCGGCTACATTAATAGATTGTTTCGGGATAATTGACATACCATGCAAATGAGACTCAACACTGCCATTTGGAACAAGCTCATAAACTAAGCAGCGTGTGCGCCCTTCAATGCATATGCCAATCAATTTAACAAGGTTGCGATGATGCAACCGGCTTAGCATCTCAACTTCCGCAATGAACTCACGATCTCCGTTCTGATTATTATCTCTATTGAGCAATTTCACAGCAACTTCAGCTCCATCTTCCATGATCCCATGATAAACACATCCGAAACCTCCTTCACCCAAGATTTTTCTTGAGCTAAATCTTTCAGTGGCCTTGTCAAGCTCAGCTAGTGTGAACGTTTTCACAGAGAGGATGGAAGTAGGCATGCCAGAGCCTACAGACAATGTGGAGTTTGATGGATCACTTGACAACCTTGCTCCAATTCCTGCAAAAAAAATCATAAAAACTAGACGTTCATAAAAGTTACAACAAAATAACTTTAAGCTTGAGATTCATAGAAATCTAAAAACGCTAATTTGACACACTAACTCAAACTAGAACTGCAGTTTAAATCGACTTGTCTATCCGCCACTTCGCCCAACAAAGATTAACATAATAAAATTCAAAAAGAACAACCGGTGTTCAAATTGATCAGAAAGTACAACACTAGATAGTGTACATAGAATAATGGAAGAGGAACTAGAAAGTAAAAACGATTTCTACTGAAATCCAACAGATATAGACTTACCACGTCTCTTGGTAGTTGGGATAGTAAAAACAGGGCCAACGGCATTTGATTTACCAATTTTCCTGTACTTTAAGAAAACAGAGATTGCTGCACAGAAAACAACCAAGAGTACTACTGCAGACAAGGTAATTACGAAAATGGTTTTAGGGTTCATCTTCTGACTTTTTTCTACAAAAGTTGCAGTGATGGGATTTTGTCGATTTCCAGGACTCCCACTTGGTCCGCTCCCAGGGTGATCTCCATATGGTGGAGAAGAAGGAAGCCCTGACGATGATTTTATATAATTAGAACAAAGTTAAACCAAAACATTAAAACATGACAACAGGAACCGTAAAAGAGATTGCAGCTTTACCTGGATAAGTAATATATACCACCTCATAATCTCCAAAAAGGGTTCTATTCAAAGAGAGCTTCTTCCGCCAAAATCTATCATAAGTGAGTAAAGCCGTCATATTATCAAATTTCTCTCCCAGTGGAACCAAATTTATATCAACTGCAGTTCGTTCTTGATCTTGACTATCAGCACTGGCACCTGTTATGACCACTTGACTCTGTGTTAGGTATGTGCCTGTTGCAATCTCAATCTCTAGCTCACTCACAACGGGAAATACAGCGTAGACAGATACTTGTAAAAGCAATCTGACTTTCATTGGAAAAACACAACCGCAAGGTGACCCAATGGGAGTCGAAGTGAGTGGTTCCAAACAGGTTTGGTCACAACCTGTCAGATATAAAAATCAAAGACAGTTAGTTAAAAATTGGTAAGGATGTCCAAGGAAGATACAGAAAGTATGTAGCAATGCTGGACAAAGTTCCAGGCTGAGAAGTTCAGCAACTTTGTGATGATGAGTGGTGCTTAGTGACTCGGGTGTTGCATATTTGGGCTTCTACATGGTGTTGCATGACAAAAATGTAGCCTTCCAATTGATGCAGGCACAAAGCACTTAGCCATGGTTGTTTCCTTTTGCTTGGTCTTGTTTGCTCCAAATTCTGCCTTGGATTTCACATTAAGCATTGAAACGAATGTGCATCTAGTCTATGACAATTGATAATATCCATTACTTCAATGATAGATTCTTTTGATATTTTTATTTTCATTATCCAATTGCTGGCATTGCTTTTCTGGTCTGAGTTCATTTTCTCAGAGATTAATACATCTCTCTTTCTCTCATCAGTAGATCTCAATCTCATATGGATAAATATTGAAAGAACTGCTTTACAGCAATGGCATTGGATGGACTGTAGCTCATGGATGTTCAGGGACTAACCTTTGAGAATCTTGCAATAAGCTACAATACCAGGTCACCGAACAATTTTTCATCCTACATAAACTCGGACCTGGCATAGGTTGGGACTATAGTCCGCACATGTTGCTTCAGGATGGGATTTATTTTGATTTTTTCTTATTTGAAGTATATAATAATATTTATATACAGCAAAAGGAACTCACACACTCCCCACCTTTGGTGAGGTTGGAACCCTTGACCTCTAGGAAGGTTGAGTTACCGAATACCGCTAGGCCAGAAGCCCTTTGGTGAACGAGATTTTTCTCCAAAATCCCATATGCCTTTTTATGCATTTTTAGCAATGACAATGCTGTCTTGTGGCCACTAAATACACCAATGATACCTTGTCATATTGTTTTCACACCCAAATAGATCTATGTTAATTCTAGTCTCTAGAAGGTTTTTGGTTGCCTAAGCACTCGTGATTAATGTTAATGTTAGTGTGACTTCTTCCATTTTAGAAGTTAACAATTCTAATGCAAATATGTAACTGTGTTTTAGTTACCAACTTCTTCTGTTTTGATTTCAACAATTTAAACATGCTCCATACCAATCTTCCTTGGGAGCAAGCAATCTGTGTCGACTGCAGGGTGCAGCACATGTAGTTGTTTGTGATTGCTAGCGTCAAAATACTAGTTAGGGGCTGTTTGGTTGGTTTTCTATTAGGTTTTGCATGGATAAAGTTGTCTGTGTGGATTAGTCTGTCTGTATAGATTGGAAAGGTTTTTCTTGGAAGGGTTTTGTCATAGATTGGAGGAGCGTGTTCTTTAATTGGGATGGGCAGGTTCCGGAAAAACTCGGCTGCTCATTAAGCTGCTAAGTGCTAACAAAAAGTCCCTTAATCATGCTTGAATATCATTTACTTTCATATTTTAGTTTTCCATATTTTCTTCATCTCAAATTTGGAAATGGTGCACACTGCAGCAAGCACTGCACACCATGGGTCATTATTTGGGTTTACACCATTGTCTGTGGCATGCACCACTTGCAAGGATTAAGAGATCAACTCAGATGGTGAGAAATGCATAGAAATTAAAAAAGCAAGTTCCTAAAGGGGAAAGATTGAAGATGATCAACAGGAACAAATGTAGCCCCATAAATGTATGCCAAAAGTAATTGGGAATTACCATCTAGCCATGTCCATAATTGGTTTAGAATATAAATTATGTCTCATACTCTTATCATAAAACAGTTTCCAGATTGGTGATATATCTCCTGCAAGTAGACTCGATGGATTGCTAATTTATTTAGATTAAATTCCTCCTTCCTAATGTTACTTTTTCATTCTCTTGTGCTTCCTATGCCCTACTAAGTTCAATCATTCAACTAGATCTGCAATTGGCTTAATCATATTGTAGGTGATTGTGATTGCTCCATAGAACTTCTTTACTCTGGCCATCACTGGTGGTTAAGTGACTCAAATCAGATTTTACCCCAACTCATAAGTCATCCTGGTTAAGTTTCCCAGTTTGACAAGTTCATCCTATCCCATGATTATTAGATTTAATAATGTGAGTCAACAACCCCCTAAAATTTTGATACTAATGTAATGGTAGTAGTAACACACACACACACACATATATATACATATATATATATATGTGTGTGTGTTGGAAAATTCAACATTGATGTAGTTCACTCCAGCTGACAGTATTGTCCTGAAAGACGGTCCGTCCCACACCAAATCCTGAGAGTTTACGCGTCTCTCATGGTTCATCATCATATACAGATTTGTCTGCTTGCACATGCATACCCTTGTGCACAACTCCTGATGCCACATTCCATACTTGGATGTTATAGATAAAATATTGCCAACTGCTTCCTCCTTTTCCCCATTCAAATGATTTCCTTGGTGAAAAAATTTAAATACAAATGTGCTTGAAATATAAAGTTCGACTAATACATATAGATCAAATCCTACGCCCCTAATGATGTACAAATTATCGCACGTAAATAATGTATAAATAGTAATGTTTTTCCAAATACAACTCAACTGAAGTTAACAGTAAATCCACTAGGAGGAATTGGCTTCCATAATTGACTAATGGATATTAGTTAACATGTTACATTCCTTGTGATTTCAGAAACATATGATTTCGCGAAGCAAATGATGTGGTCCCTGCTAGTCGATTGGCATTCTGTTTGAAACTTAATCACCATCGTGTTAGGGAATCTCCTTTGTATAGGCAAATAGGATTTTACTTTTGATTATATAACTTTTACCCTAGACTTTTACCTTATTTTGTTTCCTTATGTGGAACTGTGTGTAAACTAATTAGTGGCCACATGGATAGAAAGGTTTCTTGTGGGTATTTAGTTAAGTCAATAACTAATGATTAATAAAACAACCCAACATTCTCTTGAGTGATACAAGTATATTGGTCTATCAATAACTAGAATGCTTACCTTTTCTGGTTTATATCTATACATGTACAAATTATTTTTAAAAAAGTTGAAACAAGTTTATGAGTCGAGTTCATTCAAGATTCAACAGATTAGTGATACTGATAATTTTGACAAATTGGCAACCATGATGATAACTAAGGGAATAAAACATTTGTCCAGCCAAATATTTGAAAGTACAAAGCTTGGACCCTAAAATAAGACTGGATGAGATCAAAAATAAATCCAGCATCCTTTAAAACATCACAGAGACACATGAAAACAATGGTAGAATTTAAAAAATAAAACCTTCAAAACATATATAAATGCAACATTCAGTGCTTGTGATGAAGGGCTTTTGCTCTTAACCTTTAGTATGGAAATGCATAGTTATACTCCAATAGTCTATCATTATGATATATGAATGATACATGCAAAATAATAGTTGCAGCGAGATGGGTAAATAATAGATACTCGTACCTGGTATGGGGGACGGGGATGGAGAAACTGCACGAGTGATCATCCCATGACGATAATGATGGCGATGTCGCCTAGAGCTGCCGACAGTAGGACTAGCAACAGGGCCTGGATGTTTTATATGATTAGAAGAGCATTCAACTACAATAGCTCATAATGCACATGCAACTTGCAAATACCTTGAATTGTTGGAGAAGGAGCAGGCACGATTGAAGGCTGCATGAAGGGCTCGCGTGGATGTGATGTTATAGATGGAATAACTGACGCACTCATTGACATTAACCTCACTGAAAACAGAAGAGAAGAGATATTTTCCACTAAGAGGTATATATATCCTAACACCAAATTTGTTCATGAAAACAACTTCACGGGGAAAAAACATTGTCAACGAAAATGCAACAAAGCTAAAAAAACGAACCGTCTTTCAGAAAATAACAAGCACGAAATCATAAAGCATCAGATGATATTCAGTACGAACAATAAAATTTGAACACAAAGTAGAAATATAAGTGCATAGCTATGAATCTTTATGATTGAATTGATCAAAATATAGAAATAGGCCAACTCTTTCAGTTGCACGCCTGACCTTACAATGCTACCCAGATAAAAGGTCAAATTCAGCAGGGCTTCAATATTTGTGAGCAAGTTTGGAGCAGAAGCACTAATCAACCATCTCAAAAAGGAGTATCCATCTTATTTGAATTTACATATAAAAAAATGGCAAGTTTTTGGTGATGCAAATGTACATCAGAATACTAGGGTGTCAGATACATACGGTAGCATGTACTCCTCAAGTCCAATGATTATCCWYGCTTTAAGAGAACAAAGACATGATTTTAAATTGATTCATTATTGAAACAAGCAGGCAGATACTTTGTTCACATCAAAAGATTGCAAATGCTCCATCACTTATGCTGAGCACATATCACTTGACTTTGGTAGCATGACAATTCCATTTTGCATTCTGATCTCTTGTGCTATTTTAGTTGATTTTTTATTTTAAGAAAATGTTCGCTCGTGTGAACATTTTACAAAGTACTATTATTAATTACACATGCACGTTACTGCTCTGAAAAGTTCAGTATATTAATCAGTGAAGCATACAGTTTGCAACACATACGGGTTCGAATACCTTGCTCAACAAGATAGCCAACATGTGGATTACGTAAATGTTATAAGTAAGTAATTACCCTAAAGGATAAAAATTGATTTTAAATTAGCAAGCATTCACAAATACAAACTATACCTTTGAGCCATTATGGAAAGCTAACAAATACCCAACACATCATTGGCTATTCTTCCGTATGCCATAATTAATATTGGCATAAAGTATCTAATGCAAACTTTACTTCATTCACCTTAAAGTTCTCCCCAATTTACACAACCAATAAATTGATAATTTGATATATGCATGTAATTCACTTTGCAATAAGAGGTGATTCAGCATCAGAGGTCCATTCGTTGAGCAGATTGATACAAGATGGAATAGATACAAAAATGAGCCAATGGTTACAGTTCCATTCTTGCAATCTTAATATCTCCATCTCCAAAGAAGACATGAAATCCATACCTTTGAGATGTTCAAAACCATTTTTCCTCACTAACAAAGGTTGGCTTGACAGCAGGGAAGGAGACAATTTGATATTCAGAAAAGAAATGCCTGGAGAGGAAGTAGACAAACTTCCGCAGTCAGAGGATATAACATACAAGCATCATCCTTGTGATCAAATCAAGAATAAGAAGGTCAAGCTACAAGAAATATCAAAATTTATCTTTCACAAAGATTGCTCATCAATATCAAGGCAGGTAGATAATTCAAAATAGTTAACAGGAATCCGTAATAGACAGCTTTTTGCATTCTTCATCAGAAAGGAAGTATTAATTTACAGGAACTAATTTTGACTCTTGTTTATACAACCTGTTTTAACTAATAGTTAGTGCAAGAATATTAGATAAGTAGCAACCAGAAAAAGCTGGCTGGAGGTGGATCTGGTTTTATGAAAATCTACGAGATCTGTTAAAACGTGAAAGGTAAGAGCCTTGACATGATTAGCAGACTGGTTTTCCTTTATAAATCTTCACCATAACACTTCTGAAGCCTGAATCATACGTGGAAAGGAGTGCGCAGAGTGGAAATACATCAAAACTTTCCTTTTATGTTTTCAACACATAATGGATTAGTAAACAATAATAATATTCAACACTAGTTTTATTATAGCAACCACGATATGCCCATAAATGGTTTCAACATATGAAGGGACATCATTGTAAATTGGTTTTACGTATATAAAATGGAAGAGAAGCGATTGATGATTGCTATTACAATGCAACTTCTTCAGGCTAGTGTGGGAAAAGTTAAGACTTCAAATTTCCCGTTAGCATGAGTCTGTACTCTGTAGCAGCAAAAGTTGCATAATATCCAGAAGTGAAAAAACTCGAAGAGAGAGACCTTGAATCAAACAGGGTAGTTTCATTGGGACCTGGATCAAAGTTGACTCTTTTGGTATTTTAGAGAGCTACCCGGCTCCGGTAAAAGATTATATGACTTTATGAGGTTAGAAGTTCAAGCCCTTTTGATTTTCCTTTCCTAGTTTGTGTAATATGTGCACACAACAAAGAAGCAAAAACGCACACATACATTAACTATTGTGGTATATCACCATGCATTCCACAGATGCATGGTGCACTTTTCTTTTAGTTATATGCATGCCAACATTTTATGCATAGTAAATTACTTTGGATTTCTAAGGTAACAAAATTTCGTCGCCATACCAAATTAACATACTCGCTGGATTCTGGATATTGCTATCATGCTGTGTAAAAAAGGATATGGCAGCAAGCACACATAAATTTGAGAGCATGGTTTGCATATAACAACCTTTTGGGACATCAAAAATTAAACATTCTCAAAGTGATTTTTTTCACTATCCCAAATCAAAAGCAATTCTTCAACATCAACATCCCTACATAAAAAGTACATTCTTAAGAACCTCCAAATTACTTTCAGTAATCCAACTCTCCAAGAATAAAAGACGGGTACAATAATATCACATGGCAATAGTGATGTTAATATACAATCAGTGGGTTAAGACGATGCTCTATATTCAATTGACAACACTGATCACCCTATAGTGGTATTTGACCATTAAAAAAATTAATATTCCTGTTCCAAGAAGCTGCACTTTGACTCTGAAAGTCAAAAGGGTTTCTGTTGCAATTCAAAATTGATATTAAATTTCAGACCACTGGAATCAGTTGCTAACTACATAAGTCCTCATAACAAGTCAAGTATCACAGCCTACGGTTATGATATTAGTAAATTACAAATGCAATAGATACCAATTTTGCATTCTAGCCATTAGGTTGACATCAAACTGCAGCCTTATTCTTGTTTAAGGAAAAGGGGTTTCGGAAGAGAATATACGATTTCCGTAATAAGCAGGTTCCCGCAAAACGTGCAATAAGGACATATAATTCTATGAAAACAAACAAGTCGCCATTTCTATTGAGAGATTATCAATCAACAAGTTCATAATTTTCTATACACACATTTAACAATTATTTTTTGCAATTTTCCATCAATGCAATTCATCTAAGGATGAGGCAAAGTATAAAACCCTAAACAATTTATTAAAAAAAAACACAAATCAACTTTAGCCTCATTACCGTAACAAACTGTAGGAGAGCCGAGAGTGAGAAGAGGAAACACAAACAACAGCATCAAAGTACTTGGCATCTTGGAAGCAAACACATAAACACCATTGTCAAAACATTAAAGCTTGAATTAACAATGCAACACTGGACTCCAAGCTAGGGTTTTGCTCCTGGAGTAATTTCCGCCGACAAAACTCTCCCTCAACTCCTTCAACGAAACGTAAATACACCATCATTAACTATCTCCCACAGCAAAAATCAACTAAAAAACAAGCTCAAATACCGCAATGTAGATCCATAAACTGCGGCGAAGATCAGCAGCAAAGGCGTTGTAGATACAGAAACCGAGTGAACTACAAGAATCTAGTGAGAGAAAACTGAAGTTAGAGTTAGATCTTGAAGGAACAAAAAAGAAGAGGGATTTCAAGTGTGTGTTTGTGTGTGAGAGAGAAAGATGAAGAACTTATGACAGCATTTGAGCTGCAAGAGGATGGAGAAGAAACAGGGGAGCTGGAAAGGGTGAAAGGGGTGGTCTGCGCGTGAAGTGGGGTCGTTTTATTATTGCACGCTCCAGCTTTAGAAGAGTACATAACGAGTGTTTGGTTCACGCGCTTTATATAGACGCGTGTAACATACTACTGAAAAAGAAAGAATAGAAGTCTCCTTTTTGTTTTTGGGATAAGTTGTTAATTCGCCTTTTACAATGTTTTTTTGTTTTTTCATGTATTTATATATATTATTTTGTCCACGTTTTATTTTATTTTTTTAAAAACAAAAAGTTTAGATAAATTTTTTAAGATAAACAGAAAAAAAAAATGTAAATTAAAAGACTGTTTGACAGTTGCTGAATAATTAAACAGTATTCGATAAAAAGATTTTTATAATATAATACAAAATAAAATATATGAGTTTGTTTATTAATTTCTTAACCGATTACCTGAATACTTAAATATTTATAATTTTACATTTTAGGTATTAAAATAAAAGTTTTGAAATTATGTTATTCAAAATAGGAATAAAGTTAAAATATTTTACCAAAAATAAAAATCAAATTAAAATACGTTACATTTTTATATAATTTATTTTTTTTCTTAATTGCATTGAATACCTTATACATCCTAAAAGATAAAAACATTAAAGAATAATTTTCCAAACAAAACAATGTAATTTAATATTAAAAATCCAAATAAAGTATTTGTTTTTCTTATAGAATATTTTTGGGATTTGGTACAGTTTTTAAATGAATTTTTAATACAACGTGACACGTCATAAATAAAATGTTTATTAGGAATGGAAAAAAATCGAAACCGATTGTGAAAATCGAAAATTGGAATTTTTGGGCCGGGCTTAGAAACATCTTATCAGGGACGAGGCGGAGATCAGGAACAAATTTGGGGATTTTAACAGGGACGGTGATCATAAGGCTCACGAAAAAATCTAGTTTATTTGTTTAATCATGAAATCGTGATAGTTGTATGATGTTTGAATTTCTGTTTATTTTTATATTATAATTTAATACATTGTTTGTAATTGATTCAATCATATTTAAGACATTTAAATTTTCATCTTTAAAAAATTGTAATTTACTTTTAGTTGTGACAATTAACATATTGTAATTTTTTTAAGTTGGTTCAGGTTGTAGATTTAGATCCGGTTATAACCAACGGTGATCGGAAAAAAGTGGATTGTTACCCTTAACGGGTTCCCCAACAGGGATCGGAGAAACCGCGGGGACCCGATGGGGATCCCCGCTAAGATCCTCGACGGGGATCGGGGCGGTTATGGGGACGGTTTTAGTTATCGGTTTCGGGGACGGGGATACCAATAACCGTCTCGTTGCCATTCCTAATGTTCATGTTCAGATGGTGACATTAACAAAATGTTTTATAAAAATCAGATATGTTAAGGTGTCAGATTTATAAAGAAAAAGTATGTTACCAACGTTAAGTATTGAGTTGATAATCAACAAGTTTATCAGTAATACACGTTAATTGCATATATTGGTACAATGGTACATAATTTTTTAATACCATACTAGTACCGTGTTAATTGTATATGATATTACCCTATTATTTCGATGGTCCGATACGCTTGTCAGTTTGTTGTCCATGGGCCATCATCAGGATCGTCAAGGGCCCAGTTATTGGTATCTATGTCCCTGAAACCGATAACCAAAATTGTCACTGTAACCACCCCAGTCCCCGTCGGGGATCTTATCGGGGATCCCCATCGGTCCTGCCGATTTCCTCGATCCCTGTTGAGAACCCGTTAAGGATTAAAAAAAACTTCCGTCCTCGATGGTTTCCCCATTCATCGTTGGTCATACCTGAACCCAAAACCAAAAACAGCCAAAAAAATTACAAAATATTAATTTTCACAACTAAAAATATACTTTTTTTTAAAATGCAAGTATAAATGTCTCAAACATAACCAAACTACTCGTCGGTCATCCCCGTCCCCACTCCCAATAAGAGGTCCCCGAACCCGGTCCGAAATTCCCGGTTTTCGGCTTTCAGCATTAGTTTCGGGTTTTTTATGCTATTCCTGGCCATCATATTGGTTCTGATCTCTAACGTTGTTGACGCGCTTTTGTTGCTTGTGTTACATAAAATGTGTTTAATCAAGTATGTGAGGCAGTAAGAAATACTACAAGTAATAACCATTTTTAATCTAATACATAACTCTTTAGCATTATGCATGCACTACATACTTCACATGTTAATGTTATCCAATAAGTGTTTACCGGTAAAATTCAACACTGCTACTTACTTACTGGGTAAGATTTTAGTCCACCAAAACAACACCGCATGCAATAATTTACCTGATAAGCTCTTATCGTGGTAAGAGTTGTCGTATTCACTTACCAGATTTTTTTTTTATTTGTCTCGCTCTTACCAGGTAAATTTTTTGGTCATTGTCATATTCATCCGGTAAGGTAATATGATTTGATAAGCGTTTATTCGGGTAAGTGTTTGATAAACAACCCATAAAACTCAAAGAATTAATCAAACACGTGAATTGGATTTTGTCAGTAGATTAACCATTCCAATTCATTCAGATTTCATCAAATTCTGACGAACAAAAATGCTACTTAAAACTCTTGAACAAACTATTTAAAAATACGAATGTCAACATAGAAAACGTCCATTTTTTATGTGAAAGTAACCTTCATGGTATTTTGCTGTGAATGTTCGGGTTTTTTTTACCATCATATCATTTTATTATGAAGTTTCAAGTAGAAAAATGTTAACAGACTGATGACTCCCAGTAGCTCTTATCGACGGAGTCGTTTGACACCTCGATGTGAACTTATCGTTGTCACGTGAACCAACCCTTCTTAAGGAAATGAATTAATACATTTTTTAAGGAAACAAATTAAATTTTTGCAGGAAAAGTTGTTAATATTTTAATTTATAAATCAATGATTTGTTTGCTTGCCGACCAGTGAGATTTGCATAGAAGTAGAACATCACTAACGGTGGGGCCCATATAAAATGGTCTCCAAATTTGATATTTTTTCGGTTTTGATTTATTTGGTGGTATGTCTAAGAGATTATTGTCTTATTTATCTATATTATATTTATAAAATATTTGATAATAATTTTTAAAAACAATTTTTTATGTATAAAATAATTTTTATTAATACATATTACTTAAAACATGATATTACAAATAAATTGTGCGTAAGTACAACTTGTTAAAGTTCTATATCTGAATTTGTGTAATTAACTGTAGATAAACATAATCAAATACATGATAAACATCTCATTTTAAATATAAAAAATTTAAAATATAATTAGGATAATCATTGAGTTTTAACAGAATACTTAATTATTATATTTATAAAATGTTATAGTATTAAACCAAAAATAAATTAAAGAAATTACATAAAAAATGATAACTTTTAAATAGTTGATTTGATATTAACATTGATATTTTTTTAAGATTTTATGATATCTTCAAGTTTATATTTTATTCAAAAATAAAATCATTATTGTTTTTTTAAAAAACACATAAAATCGTATTATAACATCGATAGAGACAAATAGTAAAATAAAACATTAAAATCGAGATGTTTCTCGCTGCATTGCGCGAGTACTCTTCTAGTCTTTATATATATATATATATATATGTAGAGAGGGTGAAGCGGGTTACGTTGCAAACCGCTTTCGAGCAATAGGAAAATTTCATTTTTTTTTCCTTTAATTTTAATCAGTAAGGGTGTAATAGTCATTTTCATTCTATATTGATTAATATTGGAAGGTAATAAATACTGTTAATTTTGGAAACGTAATAATTGAAACGTTTCATATAGAATGAGGTAAATCATTTCTTCTTAATATAACTTTTTTACCATTAATACGTTTTATTATTTTTTACCATTATATTTTATAAAAATATGAATTTTAAAAACAATAGAATATGAAATATGTGTTTCGTTTCATTGAAAAAAATATATGTACATTGAGTAATGAAACTAATTTCATGTTCAATAATGACTAGTAAACAATCTCATAATATTTCGGAACGTTTTATGCATGAATAATGTTCATTAAATAAAAAAATATTCAGTTTTCAAAATATATCATTAAATTTTTAAACATGTTTCAATCTTTATATGTTTTATCGTTCAACATTACATGACAATCGGTCTTTCATTAATGGCAGTCACGTGAGTTCGTTCTATAAACGGTGAAACAGTTTAAATTATTGATTTAATGATACAAAATATTTGCTTTAGTATTCAAAGTGTTTCATTGTTGTTAGTTAATTATAGTATGTTTTATATTTCATCTACCTAACTCACATGACTTCTTGTCACCTACAATGAATTAGTTATATCCTAATAAATTATGAAATATAAAACATACTATAATCAACTAAAAATAATGAAACACTTTGAATACTAAAGAAAATATTTTGTATTTAAATCTATAATGAAACATTTTTAATACTAAGGGGTTGTTTGTTTTTAATAAAAAAACTCTTAATGTCCTCTTAAGTCTGAATCAGTCAGACATAAGAGGATTCAGTGTGTTTGTTTTTTTTCAATTAAGAGCTTAAAAGCTCTTATTAGGTCTGAAAATTTAAGTGGTTGAGAAACCTCTTATTTCAAATCGTCGCCTACCTACTCTGATCTCTTTGCGTTCGATTTCTCTGGATCAACTATTCTGTCTCGATCTCTCATCTCTCAACTTTGTCAACTGTCGATCCATATCAACTCTCGATCTCTCATCTTCAAACTTCAGATTTCTGACGCAAAAAACAAACAGTCTGATTGATTCAAATTTCAGACTTCAGCAACACCTCTTAAAAATCAGAAGTGAATTCAGACTTCAGCACCTCTTAAAAAACAAACGTCACCTAAATAAACGTGCAATGCACACAAGCGCATCAATGTATCAACACAGTTAGAGTACACTACACAACAATATGTTGTTGATATTGCCTTATTGGTCACTTGTTTTGCAATGCACGGTAGCTTAGATTATGAATTTATCATTGTTCTTTTGATTTTTGTTTACTTCGAGTTTTGACATTACCGCATTAAACTAAGGGGTTGTTCGGTTATGGCTTAATGAGTTGTATAACCTATATGGATTATTCGCTCAACCATAAATAACTGTTCAGTTGTGGCTTATTTGCTCAGCCGATGCCTTATTTGGTCAGCTAAATAAGTAAAGTCCTTCGTATTCAGCCCTTTATAGTCCTCTTTTGCCTCTCACCCTCTTTCATCTTCATCCCCAAATCATAAAACCTTTTGTCTTGAACCTCTCCATCTTCGCATTCTGGCTGCACCACATCAAAGAAAAAACTCCAGCCACCAAAGAAAAAACATGGAAACTGAGGTTTGATTTATGATTTATTGTTTTGATTTTGTATATTTTTAGTTATTGATTTAGGTATTCTCTCCTCGTCTCCATTTGCCGTCTTCAAGAACTTCAACACCAATACTGTAGATATTGAAACACAAAACACCAACTTCAAATCTTTGATCTATCTCCATCTTCACATCAAGAGCCCGTGAGCCTTGAACTATCTGACCTGAATGTGTCGAACCCACAACCACGTTTTCCATGTTAGGTTCGTGAGGGAAGGTATCGGGTTCATGAGGGACTTCAACCCGCCACTAGTGGTTTCATATCCTAAAAGAGGGACGCCATTGTCAGAGGATAAGACTTAGGATGCTGATGGAGACCACCACGATGGCATATTTGATCTCATGTTTTCCCACCTGCAACTGTTCAGATTAACTGTTGTAAAAAAATATTTTGCAGTTTTTAGGTTCAGGGATGGTATGAATTATTGAGATTTTGTAGTTAGAATTTTAAAGGCATGTAATCTATTTGTAATTTGGTGGCACCGTGGAAAATTAGAGAAATAAATAAAATTGAAAGTAGGGTGATGGGTTGAAAAGGGAAGTGATATTTTTGGTGATTGTTTAATGGCAGGTGAGGGAGATGGGTTGCAACAAGGAATAAGGTACATATATTTCCAAGTAGAGATGGCTAAAAACCAGTCTCGAGCCGATCCCAATCGGTCCTCATCTTTCTCATAATCGGTCATAACCGGTTCCTGTCCCGGTCTCGGTCCCGGTCCCAACTGAAAATGATAGGACAGGTCAAGGTACTTCATAACCGATTATGGGCCGTCGGTCCCGGTCCCAACCGGTCCTTGCATTAAAAAAATAAGATTTTAATTTTTATTTTTTTAATGATATATATTTTTAATACATTATAAAATTTACAATTAGGTCACTCAAATACACTTTAAAAATGCGTTTTAATATAATTAAAATTACGTTTTCTTATAAAAATACATTATAAAATTATTTAAAAATACATTTATTTATAAAATTATTTGAATTTTCGGACCGGGCCGGTCCATAGTCGATCCCATAACCAGTCCCGGTCCCACGAAACTACCAAAAACCTCAACCGGTCCCCGTTTTCGGTCCCATAACCGGTCCTTACCGGTCCCGGGCCGGTCCTTTGTCGGTCCCGGTCCCGGTCCTCCGGCGGTCCGGGCCGAGCCGGGCCGATTTGAGCATCTCTAATAGAACATCACGAACGAGTGGAGATGAGTTTAATGAAACAAAATACAAACATTAATGGTAAAAATAGTCATTTCTGACATGTAAATTGTTTATTCAACATAACAACCGAACAACAACTTATTTGTTACCATACAGACAACTTTATTAATACAAACATATTTATCTATGCATGTCTTAATGATAAAGGAACCGAACAACCCCTTAAACATTATTGTTTAGGGGGTATTTGGTTCAGTCAGATAAATGAAAAATTTTATTCCCCACTTAAACTTGGAATCAAAATTTGGGCTTTTGGATGAATGAACCCATTATATTATATAAAACCAAAAAATTTCTTTTATTTTCATTCACATTGATTTATCAAATACATTTAACCAAACACTCCCTTCTATAAGTTTATGATTGCAGTACACTTAAAAAATCTTTTATATAAAATAATATTCATTCAATCTCATTGATGAGACGAATAAAAAACTCATTTCTCTTTTTTTTTAATAATTTTTTTTTTGAAGAATTCTCTGTATTTAGAGTTTTTTTTCATATTTTTTTATTTTAGAAAATAAAATAGACAATTTATTGAAATCGTATAAAAGACAAAAACTTAATTTTTTTTCTATTTTAAGTTTTTTTGTTAAAGATGTGCTAATATTTTAAACGTATATATCTATATTATTTTATAAAACATTTGATAAAGATTCTTAAAAATCATTTTTATGCATAAAATATTATTTATTGATGTATATTACTTAAAATTCAAGATTATAATTAAACTATGCGTAAGTACAACTTATTAAAGCTCCATGTTCGAATTCGTGTAACTAACAACAGATGAACATAATCAAATAAGAAAAAAACATCTCAGTTCAGATATTAAAAAACTAGAATATAATTAGGATAATCATTGAGTTATAACAAGATATTGTTTTTATAAAAACTCGTGTTATCAAAGCAAAAAAAAACTATTTCGTTATTAAGTCTAAATTAAGTTATAATAAAAAATTAAATTAAATAAACTATAAAAACGAGAATTTTTAAATAGTTAATTTGATACTAATATATATATATATATATATATTTAAAATTTTAAGATAACTTCAAATTTATATTTTATTAAAAAATAAAAACGTTATCGTTTTTCTATAATTACATAAAACCATTTTATAACACTGATAAAAACAAAAAATAAGACAAAACATTAAAATCAAAATTTAACGTGTTGTATTGCATGATTAGTCTTTTAATATATATATATATATATATATATATATATATAGTATATTTCAAATATAACTATGTCCATTTGTATAATTAATGCAATTCAATTAATTGAGATATTTATAGAAATGATAAAAGTTTATTTATTATGATTTGAATATTTATTGAAGACGAATATGATTTATTAATTATGATCAATTCTTTATATTAAGAAACAATCAAAATTTTTATAAAATCATATATTTATCAAATTAAATAAAATTAAATTGTATTGATTATACAAATATAAATAATAACCGTACTGTATATTAAACTAACTGTTTTGTAGGTTTGTCGAATGGTTGCTTATCCGAATAAAATAATAAAAACAAATCTGATAATTGAAGGGTTATGATTTATGAACAAAATTAGTTAACCCCCTTTTCGTCCCTATCCTCGACTGAAAACTGCACCGATCTCTCCATCTTCCACAGGATTTTCGTCTCTCTCAATCTCCAGTGTCACTTAGGGTTCTACTAATCTCATTGATCAAGTGTTAAAGTCATTGATTTGATCGAATTCATCGAGAATTTGTAATTTCGCACGTCGAACACAATTTTCAATCGACCACGAGGTACTTTAAATGAAATTAAGCTTCGTCTATCTTCACTTCGTTTCCTGATCGATGTATTTCTCAATTATTTGGTAGGTTATATCTAGTGTTAGTTATCAATTTGTTTGAATTTAAGTAGAATTGAGTTACTCAAATAGGAATTTGAAGTCAACGAACAATAGCCATCTCAAAGCTATATCAGAAGTCAACGAGCAGACTATAGGATGTCGATATATAATTAAGATATCTGTGTTTGTGGCATTGTTGTTTTGATGAGAATCTTGGACTTCATATGACAAGGCCCCCATACAGCATGACGACATAGAAATTTGAGCTTTATTCAATCGTCATAAAGCTTATGTTCCTTTTTGTTTCCATTTTTTACAGTTTCAACGTCACGATGACAGTTGGGTTGCTAAGTGCTTTGATAAATGGCAAGTGCAAGAGATGAGTATCTTGGAGCATAGAAAGAACTTGTTTATTTATGGAGAATTTATCGATGGTGATTGGCTCAAAAGGGTTAATAAAAAGGAACGAATTTGTAAGGATCCTTATTCAGTGTCTCTATTCGTTAGACTATGAGAAATCGGCAGCTTGTTTGGAATTAGAGTCAGGCATTTCGTTCAAATCGGCGGAGCTTAAGTTGCTTGAATCATTGGTCCTTAGTGCTGATTGGGAGGGCTGTATTGATAGCCTATATGGGATCAGGGACATGACAGATGAACAAAGGGATGCAGCTTTGTTTCTTGTTTCACAACAGTATTTGCTGGAGTCTTTGGGACGAGGGGATGATTCTTTAGCCTTGTCCCTTTTGCGTAAACAAATTTCCAAATTGCAAGTGGGTAGAGAGAAAGTGCACAAGCTTGCTTTTAGTTTATTTTCACCTGGGGAGCTGGGTTTGAATGAAGTTCATGAAGATGGTGATGTTTTTCAAAAATTGAGGAGAAATCTAATAAATGAATTGGAGAAATTGCTCCCACCACCAATCACTGTGCCTGATAGAAGATTGGAACATCTGGTCGAAAAGGTGGTTTGTTCCCAAATTGATTCATGCATCTATCATAATTCTCTCGATCCAGTGTCAATCTATGGGGACCATCGTTGTGGCCGGGATCAGATCCCTACAGAAACTGTCCAGGTGTGTAAGTTGACTTTTGAAGCCATGTATCTGTGTTGCCTACCTGAGCTAACTTTATGATGGAAAATTTTGCCATTTTCTTTTCATTTAATTTTTCTTGAACGGTCCCTATGTGACAAGAGTACCCTTGACTATCACAACTTTTGACTTCTTGGTGCTAGTTATTAACTAGCATACACATAATCAATTTACCGTCATTTGTAAATTGGTCAACTAGTGATTTCTCTTTATGGTGATTTTTTAGTGGACCAATGGATGGAGTAACCTCTTTTAAATTGTTGCAGATTCTGTCTGATCACAAGAACGAAGTTTGGTTTGTTCAGTTCTCTAACAATGGGAACTATTTAGCATCTTCATCAAGCGATTGTACAGCCATTATATGGAAGGTAATATTATGTTCTGGACAAAATTGATACTCCGGAGATTCTACTTGTAGAATATGTGGGAAATTTGTTGAATTATAGGTTCCATATAAAAGCAAGGAAAAATATAGTTTCTTATTCGCGCGCTATAAATTGGTTTTCTGAATGAACAGACAAACATTCTTATGTACTATTTTGTTGATATCATGGAGACAACCAATTGTCCTTGTTTGGTTATTATATATATATATATATAATGAGAAACTGTTATCCTTCTCACTTGGTACGCATGTGGCAATCAAGGACAATTTTTAAACACTAATTATCATCAATGTTAACTGAAACAAATTGCTTATATTTTCTGCTAACAAGTTGGTCAATGTTTGTTCTATCAAGGTTAAGAGAATCCCTAATGTTATTTACATAGTATCTAACCTTGGTAACTGTGGTCACTGGTTTCATTGATATTGAATTGGAAAGGTCTCAAGCAGCAGTTGATCACTGAACCATGGGTTTTTACATAGAGTCCATGGATCTCTGGTCATGGACTCTTTATTTTACACTACCTGTACGAACTCGGGAATGAAACAAGTGTAATCATAGAAACAACGCATTCCTCTCATTTAATTAGATATTAATTTTACGTAACATGTTAAAGTGAATAAGTATTAAATATTAATCCCAAAGAAGCCAACAGTAAGACGTTACAACATGAAAAGAGGTTAATGTTATGATGGTAAAGAAACACCCACAGTAAGTTGTTTTGTTAAATTCAAAATACGTGTTTCTTATTTGAATAATAAATGTGTTCCTACCTTTTCCTACATAATGCATCCATCTTACAAGGAGTTTCTCGAACACCCTCAATTGGATATATCAATGAGACAGTGATGGTATCAACAAAAGAGGATTAGGGTGAAATTGGGTCAAATGAGTACAGGCACTTCCTGTTTTGTCCTTACCAATGAATAGTGAACTGGCTTAGAACTCATAACAGTAATAAATGAACCTCGCTCGGAAATCACTTAGCTTGATTGCTTCATATAGATGATTCTCTGAATGAATAGGTAATGACCATTAGCAGTGCCAAAAGCAGGTAAAGCTGAATACGCCACTTATTGATTTAAATCCTTATATTTGCCTCCTGTTTGCTAACATCCCAGTTCACAGTGATCAAGATGACAAACCTAGGAGATGCGGTTTTCCTCTTCTGGATCCTTGTGGTGTCTATTTGCCTGTGTTATATCATCTGTTTGAGGGGTTTAGCTCTAGCCTGGAATCCGATGTTTATAATTATATCCTTGAAATAGGAATGCTCATGAGTAGGTGAAGTATCCAAGATTGAGCCGTTTGCTATTGACTAGTAGGTGTGCAGCATATGTTCAGTGTCATTTCTGTTATCCATATTATGTAGGCGAGGCCTGACCATGAGTTTCTTGTCTTTCTTGGGTAGGGATTTAAAGGCTATAACTGACTGAGATGTTTGGTAAACCAGAATGTTGCTTTTTTAATGTGCCCTAACTTTTTTTATGTTACTTTTGGATCAGTTTTGGCATTTATTTCTTACCACCAAAAACTTTATTTCCAACTCACATTAAGCCAAGCGTGTGGCCATTATTCCTATTGTCCTGAATAGTGGGCGAGTTTGTGGCCACATGACATTTGTAAGCTGTTCCTTTATCTTTTAAAAGTTGCCAATTACTTCACCTTCCAAAATGCTGATCTCCAAAACAGTAGTTTGAACGCGGCATATTATTACTTCTTCATGATTACTTGCTACTTTTGGAGCTGTTGCCTTGTTGGTGCACTTTAACAACATGCCTAAGCTGTCTATAAAGCACTGTAATCAAATGCTCTAACACTGGGATAAGATATGAATGCATGATATATTCTTTTATATTTTCTTCTGTCATGCACCGGAATTAGGAGACTGATTGTAATCCGTAACATTCACTTGTCTGTTCCATTGTTCAGGAAAGACAAACTTCTTAACTATGCACAACAGGGGAGTTGGGCACTTAATCTCATTGTGGCTTGAGTGCCTCCAACTGCCAATTCAGGTGAGACATATGTGTTCAGTTTCACAATTCAGACCAATCTGACAGAGTGTAGAATTGTTGATTTATAACAAGTTTTTGGACCTTCTACAACCAATGGGCACAAACATCCATGTTATAACCTAAAAAGCCTTTAGAAGAATTGAATTCCTAACACTGATTCCTGTGGTCTATCAACTATGATTACTTGATTTGAACCTTGAGCAGCTTCTCAATGTTTTATTTAGGAAAACTGAAATTTCATGTTCTTAAATCTCGAGTATATTGTTTCACTCTAACCTTCCATCTTCTGGTTGTACAAAGCACCGGGTCCCTGCACATTAAGGGGCTGTTTGGTTAGTTTTCCATTAAGTCTTCTACGGATAAAGCTGTATGTGTGAATTAATCTTTCTGTATAGATTGAGAAGGTTTTTGTTTGGGAGGGTTTTTTCATAGATGGAAGTAGCATGCTTTTTAATTGTGAGGGACAGGTTCAGAAAAAATCGTTGCTTTCTGCATAGAGCTCCCCCCTAGAAGCTTACTGAATTCATTAAGTCACTACCAAACAGTCATTTATAGCTAACCAAATAAGCTGCAAGTCTCATTAAGCTCATTAAGCTGCTAACAAACAGGCCCTAACTGCATTCTGGATCGATTTTTGTTATGCATGGATTATCTTTATATGTTGTGTTCACTTCTTACATTTGTCTAGTCATCTTGTTTTTTCTTTTCTTGATTTCATGTGGCAAATCTTGAAAGGTATATATTTGGGGAAAGAAGCAAGCAGAAAACAGAGAAGAGGGAGAACCGAAGATGCCCAGAAAGTACCCTTTTTTCTGAATCCTATTCTTGAAAGTTTTGCTGCAGGTACTAGAAGATTGCAAGTTGGTTCTGCAACATACATTAAGCAGTCACCAAAATCCAGTTTCTTTTGTAGCGTGGAGCCCTGATGACACGATGCTACTGACATGTGGCAGCTCAGAAGTCCTTAGGCTTTGGGATGTGGAAACAGGTACATGTAAGCACACTTTTGGTGATAGTGGCTTCCTTGTTAGCTCGTGTGCTTGGTTCCCGAGCTCAAAGCAACTCGTCTGTGGCAGTTCCGACCCCAAAAAGGGCATATGCATGTGGGATTGTGAAGGCAACGAGACCAAGGCATGGAGAGGAGTGAGGATGCCTAAGGTGTCAGATATCGCCGTTACTCCAAATGGAGAAAATCTCATCAGCATTTTCTCGGATAAGGATATTCGGATCCTAAATGTGGTCACAAATGTTGAGCGGGTTATCTCTGAGGAGCACCCTATCACGTCTCTTTCTGTTTCCGGGGATAGCAAGTATTTGATTGTTAACCTCAACAGCCAAAAGATTCACATGTGGGATATTGAAGGATCGTGGGAAAAGCCGTTGACGTATAAGGGTCATAAGCAACACAAGTATGTCATACGTTCTTGCTTCGGTGGAGTCAACAGCATGTTTATTGCCAGTGGCAGTGAGGATTCACAGGTATGCTACATCCGTACTCAAGTCAGGGGAAGTTCAAATAAAAACCGTAAATATTTTGAGAACATGAGGACCAACTTTTCGTGCTTTATTCACGACGAATGTCGTGATAGATTTTCATGATGAAAATTATTCATCATGAAACTACATGATATTCATTATGAATAGTACATGAAATAGTTGGTTTATAGGATCTCAAAATATTTATGGTTCTTGTTTAAACCTTCCCCTACTCAAGTCTATATTAACTTCTCTCCCTCTATTTTATATGGATGCTTGTGTTTCGTTGCAATGGCAAAATTGAGCTAGGCGGTTGAAAGAATCGTGAAAGGTTTTAGGGTTTTAATTTGATATGGGTAGTTTAGTAATTTACTAGACTTATCCTATCTCCCCGATTTTTGTTCTGCCTATTTTGGTGGGACAAAAAAAATGCATTTGTTCCACTCAGTCTTGCCCAGTCTCAATCTGATTGTCGCATCAAAGATGGGACATCAAGTTTTTGTTTTGTGTTCTGCCTATTTTGGTGGGACAAAAAAAATGCATTTGTTCCACTCAGTCTTGCCCAGTCTCAATCTGATTGTCGCATCAAAGATGGGACATCAAGTTTTTGTTTTGTGTTCTGCCTATTTTGGTGGGACAAAAAAAATGCATTTGTTCCACTCAGTCTTACCCAGTCTCAATCTGATTATCGCACCAAAGATGGGACATCAAATTTTTGTTTTGTTTTGTCCTGCATACCAAACAAGCTTGATTGTTCTTGTTTGGATTCTCCATTACCCAAAACAAGTGGATATTCAACTCCCTAGTGAAACCACAAAGAAACCTTTCGAACCACATGCATCAAGCATATGCTAATCTTTGTTCATGCTGCTTGCTTCCTCATGCTATTACACAAGCCGGGCAGGGGCGGACCTATGAAGGACCTAGGCGGTACCGTGCACCCGCTCTACCGATTTTTGCAAGTAGAATTTTTGTTTGGGTATGAAAGGTGCATGTTAAGCATTGAGGGGATGCTCCGGGATATTAGAAAATACAAGGGACATCAACCAAAAAACTGAAGAAGTCCGTTGAAATCAACCAAAAAAATGAAAAGTTCCTCAGTATCAACTAAATCCCCCAGAATTCCCTCGAATCAACAAAAAAACTGAAAAAATATCTTGAAAAATGGTGGAATTCGGCTAAAAACGCATCAGGTAAAACATAGAATTGCATTTTGCTCAAAAGGTCGATCCCATTTGGAAACTGTATTTTATTCTCCAAATCGACACAATTGACTTTGTCTCGGGTCAAACCGTGACTTTATGAACCTTTGATTCACTTTAAAGGTGCACCCACTCGACAAAAATCTTGGGTCTGTCTCTGAAGCCATAGAAACAACCACTCTATTTTTTGGAGCAGAGGCAAGTCTGCATAAACCTTCCCCCAACAAAACCACCTTTGAGTGGGATATACTATGCTCGTCTCATTTGGTTTTTTTTTTTTTAGTGAAACCGTAGAGAAAGTTATCCAGCCATGGGCATAAAGCATTCTCCTTTGTCGTAGCAGGTGTATATTTGGAATCGACGTAGTTCTGATCCAATCGAGGTGCTGTCCGGCCATTTAATGACTGTAAACAGCGTGAGCTGGAATCCCAAGAGACACCAAATGCTAGCTTCTGCTAGCGATGATCAAACCATTCGCATTTGGGGACCAAATCGATCAGAGAAGATGAAACTCGTATGATGTATGTAACCATTACCTGTAGTTAGTCAAACGTATTTTTTTCGATGCTTTCTGTCGATACGTAGTTTATATTGTGCATCCATCTGTTTTGACTTCCTGCACCACGGTTCTCGTGTTCGTTGTAAGTAGCCATTTCCGCTTCGGTTTCTAGTTCGATGCATCTTTCGGTTTGTTTTGTAGGTAAGAAATAATTGTATGGTTCTATAAAGTTGATGAATTAGGGGTTGTTTGGTTAGTTTTCCATTAAGTCGTGTATGGATAAGTCGTGTATGGATAAAGCTGTCAGCGTGGATTAATATGTCTGTATAGATTGGGAAGATTTTTGTTGGAAATGGTTTTTTTCATTTTGATGACATGATTAAATATATTTAAGAAAACATTTCAATTTTTTAACTTTTTCTTATTAAATTAAATACAAATTAAATATTTTAGAGTAAAGATTTTTTAAATAAATATGATATATTATTTTCGAGATTACTATTTTGTTTGTAAAATAAGGTAACACTTCTTATTTTATTTTGTTCAAAAAAATACATATCTTTAAAAAAAATGTTAGAGAGATAAATTGTGCTTTACAAGTTTTTTTTTTTAAATATTGTTATAATAAATAATTCAAAAAATTTAATTAATTTAATATATTTACATGTGAAGTAATTGTTTTTACACAAATATGATATATTCTTTAAAAAATAAATATTTTTTGGTAAGAAAATAGTAAAAAATATTTTTTATTTTTTTCAAAAAAGACATTTTTTAAAAAAATGTTAGGGAGATAAATTGTGTTCTAACAGTTTTCTTAATATTGATATATTTATGAATAATTTAGAAATTTTCTAATTCATTTAATATATTTATTAAATAATATGTAAAATCAATTTCTTTTTCCAAATTATAATTTTGTAATAAGAAATCTCACATCAGCAAAATTTTACACGTGAACATCTCATGTAGACAATGAGATGACATGAAAACCTGGTAAATTGTATCAACTAATAAAATATTATAAACAGATACTAAATTTAGATAAACGTGTTTGATTAAATGTACAATGTCTAAAAAATAAAATATTAAGGGGGTGTTTGGGATTGCTTATTTAAAACAACTTATGCTTTTTTGTAAAAGTGCTTATTAACTTATGCGGTATCAAACTGGAGTTTTGTAAAAAGTGTTTGGATTAGCTTATAGCGGTACCAAACTGCAATAAGCTGATAAGTTTTTTTTAGTGTTTGGCAAATTTTGCTTATATATGTAAAATGACCAAAAAGGACAGGGTTATCGATCTCTAGGGTTAATGTATGCAGGCGGGAGAGCGATTGTATGGTGAGGAGCAAGAGATGCACCTGTATTTTATGGCTACTGATACAGATGTGGGTTATCGATCTCTAGGGTTAGTGTATCGATTTGTTCATCGTATAGGGTTATCGATCTCTASGGTTAGRGTATCGATTTGTTCATCGTATAGGGTAGACGATGATGTATATATGGAGGGGAAGAGATATCGATTGGAGAAGAGGAGATGATGATCGGAGAAGATATCGATTGGAGAAGAGGAGATGATGATCGGAGAAGATATCGATTGGAGAAGAGGAGATGATGATCGGAGAAGAGATCGATAAGAGATCGATTTGGAGAAGACGTACCTGGAGAAGAGATCGATGAGAAGAGATCGATTTTGGAGAAACGTAACCTGGATATCTGATCGATTTTGGAGAAGACGTGATTTGGAGACGTGATCGATTGGGGGTGTTTAGACAAGCTTAAAATGGTAAATCGGTAATAAGTCAATTTTCATAAGTCAGTATGGATTAACTTATAAAAAACGACTTATTACCGGTTTGGTACCGGTATAAGCACTTTTTTTTTTATTACCCAAACACTCCAAAATGACTTATCTCCGGTACCAAACTGAAATAAGTCAATAAGTGAGTTTGAAAAGCTTTCCCAAACACCCCCTAAAAGTAAAAATACAATGTTGTAATAAGAACTGATTATGTTATAATAAAATATTTTTGAAAGTACAGTGATGTAATAAGAAATGTCATGTCAACATTATAGTACATGTAAACAATATACGTGTAGAGTGAGGTAGCATTGAAACCTGATATAATTGATAAATTTAAATAAAAAAGTTATCCTATGCTATAATAGGTAAATTTTTTAAAGTACAATATATTAATAAAAAATAATTTGAAAATATATTGTTATAATAAGAATAACTGAAAATACAATTATGTCAGATTGAACTCATGTTTGTTTGTTTTCTCATCTCATAAATTGCTGTAAACCAAAAATATTGTTTGCTTATCTCCTTCTCTGTTTTATTTGTTTTCGTGCTTCCCTTGATTTTAACATATTAGGTTTCTTAAGAGATCGTTTGACAATTGCTTAATGGTTTGATGCAATATGATTAAATGGTCAGAATGATTAAGAGGGTCTTATGATATAATGCAAAATAAAATATGGTTATTTAGCAAATTGTTCAAAATGAAATTAGGGTGGTTAATCGTTTGGGGAGACTCAAGATACAAAATCATTCAGATGGTTGAAGAACCATTAAGAGGCAGACAATTTTTTGTCAAATAAGATTCACTTCTTAGCGATTCAGGTTTTGCCTTTTAATGAAACTATTAAGTGGTAAACAAACAAACATTTAATCGTTTAAAATCAGAAAGTTTTTTTCCTAATTAATTGTATAGGGGGGCTTTATGTAAGAATCTATAAAGTTGTGACAACCTTGATAACCAGTGCCATCGTATGCTATTTCACATGATTTTTACATCTACGACTTTTATTTAGTGTATTAATTAACATATATTTGTTTCATAATATGAACACTTTTTTATGTGTTTGTGAACAAAAAAAAAAAATTTAAAAATACAACTAGAAAGTTTTACATTGTGAACCAAATATGTATAAAACAAACACATAAAGAACACGAATATATGTTAATTAATATATATTAAATTATAGTCTTAGATGGAAAAAATCATGTCAAAACAACACCTTATGTAATAGTTTGTATGTAATAACAGTGACATTTATCAAAATACATGAATAAATTGAGGTTCAAAGGAAGATCCCCCAAAAAATGAAAAACTAAGGAACATCCGGGTAACCATTTTTTCGGATGATATGAACACATGCATACAAATAATTAAAATTGTTTCCCTGTTTTTATGCACGTGCATGTTATGCAAATGTGCATAGCGGACAAATTGCTTAGACTTTACTTGTATGCACATGTTCATACAGTCTAGATGAACAATTACCCGAGTGTTTATCTGGTTTTTTTTATTGTTTTCCATAAACCTGACCCTACATGAATATATGTACATATATTTCGTATGTAATAATAGTCACATTTATCAAAATTCAGAATAAAAAGAGGTTCAAGGAAACCCCTAAAATTAAAAATTGAGGAACAACTTAGTAACCATTCGTTTGGATGAAATGCATGTATATAAAGGTACATACAAGAATCGAGAAACGTTCAAACGAGAACGCTAATTATTTAAGAAAATAAGAAAAAAAGTCGTTAATGTACAAAATCACATGTCTTTTACATTCACGTCAATAAATGGAATCAAACGACTTATGACGTGACTTGAGTCGTCAGCCAAATCACGCCGAATCATATATAATTTTGTACGTAAATCATATATGATTTTGTATATTTAATAATATTTTTATTTTTTTCTTATATTTAATAATATTTTTATTGTTTGTTTTGGTTTATAATTTACAAGAATATACGAACATATGTTTTGTATCTAATAATATTAGAGGGGAGTGAGCGAGAGAGAGAGAGATTTGTTCCCTTTGCTTGCACATCAATCAGACATCATCCCGGTTTTACCTCGCTCGCTAGGGTTTCTCTAATCAAAATTTCACTTCCTAAATCCAATCATAGAGAGAAACCGAGGAAGATCGATAGTTAAAACCAGGGTTTCTATGTGTTGGATGTCTCTTCTCCCTCTCTGTCAAGTTTGATTTACGTGAATGGATATCATGAAGACAACTTCATACACAGATGATCTTTCCTCTTCACCTTCACCAACCTATCGAAAGTGAGATTGAATTATCTGCTCCTCGTGATTATTTACAATTTTAATTCAATGATTTTTCTCTCTTGATAGAATCTGGATTGATCTATGTTATTTACGGATGCTGAATTTGGATATTTTAATCGAACAGTTGATGGTAGGATATGGAAAATGGATATGTTGATATAATTTGGTGGTCGGATTTGGTTTTATCTTCTGCAATTAGGGAAAGTAGTAATTTTCGCTAGTTGGATCATGTACTTCCGTAATAATTCTTAAAAATTCTGCTAGATCTTTGTAATGATTGATTCCACATCTTAGATCACTGTGCTATTAGCGATCGTTAGTTTTGTCCATAGGAATTTTTGAAAGGCAACCATAAATAAAACCAAACAAGAAACAACCCAGTTACCGAAATCAAAACAACGGAACTAAAGCACACCCACCATGGGTTGGTGAAGATGAAGGTGAAGATGAAAGATGATATGTGTATGAACTTGTCTTTATGACATCCATTCACATAAATCAAACTTGAAGAGGTATCTTTAAGAAGTAAAGTGAGGGAGCGGAGAAATACAACACATAGAAACTCTGGTTTTACGTGTTTGATCTCTCTCGGTTTCTTAAAGATACCTTTTCAAGTTTGATTTATATGAATGGATATCATGAAGACAAGTTCACACGCAGATGATCTTTCATCTTCACCTTCACGAAACCCATAGGAATTTTCTTGTCCATAAGTGATGCATAAGATATATTAGACTTAGCATATCCTGACCATGTTTTAATTTACGAAAATTGCAATCCCTGCCCGGATTGTTGCTTCATATTTTGGTTGTCTTGCACTTCTAGTTTATTTATTTGCCGGAATAGTCTCTGTGAATTTATTCAATTGCAACTACAAGGGTTGTGGCATATTGATTGAGGCCCAGGGGGATGTGGTGGAATATCCCATCTGCCCTGGGTTATTCCAGACGTTCACAACAACTGTGGCCACTGAGTTTATCAGGGTTGATCTCTTGCAGTCACAATTTGTCGGGATTAGTCTGGGCATAGCCGGGGACACCCTTCCAATTTTTTTTTGTTCAATTGCATTGTCAAGTCAGCCAATTGAATCCTTCTTTTATTTCTAATAGGTCTTGCTTGTTGGTATTTTTATAGTTTTTCTTCTTCTTTCGTCTAGGGTTTGCATGTTGTTGTTTTTATATGTTTTTATTTCTTTTAGGTTCGCATATAGTATGTTTTAAATGAATTATAATAGTATTGATGTTCAAATCTAGTACAATTATGCCAGAGATTTTAGAGGTGAGAATTGTTGGATACTAGCCATCTAACAGGTAAATTTTATCCGTAGTAGGAACGTGTTCCTAATGTTGGCCAGGAGAGAGATAGCTCCGAGAATTAGAAAGGGTTTACAGCGAAGGCAAGGGAGTGGAACTTCTGAGCATGACCATCGGTCGTTTGTTAAACCCAAAAGTGAAAGTGCTCGGGATTCAAGGCGGGAACTTCTTTCATGGTACTTACGTAAAGCTGAGTTTTATTTAATCCCCTCGTATATTTGTCAATTTAATCCAACTTCCAAGCTAAAATAAGTAAAAGTGCAGCTATATCGTTTTTCCAAATTACGTGTTCTTATAGGGTGGAGGCTGAGTCCTTGCGGTGTTTATCAGCCAAGTATTGTCCATTAATGCCTTCACCGAGATCAACTATTGCAGCAGCATTTAGTCCAGATGGGAAAATTCTTGCGTCTACTCAGTACGTCGTTGGTTGTTTTTGTTTTGTTGTTACAAGCTTTTCTTATTATATTAATTGAAGTAGCTCAATTCGGGGTTGACAGCGGTGACCATACCGTCAAAATAATTGACTGCCAAACTGGGAAATGTCTGAAGGTTTTGAGTGGACATCGAAGGACACCTTGGGTGGTAAGATACCGATGCATTAATTTCTTTCATGGTCAATTTTGATGCTAGCATTTTCTTTGAATGTGACGTAATTAGTTTTAACAAATATCTTCGTCATCTAACTATGCACATAGCTTGTGTCCTGATTCCTGAATAACCAAACCAAACCAAAAAACCCAGTAAGGGCCTGTTTGTTAGCAGCTTAATGACCTTAGTGGGACTTGCAACTTATTTGGTCAGTTATACATGACTGTTTGGTAGTGGCTTAATGATATAGAAAGTTGCTAATTTAGTAAACTTCTAGGAGAGAGCTTTATGCAGAAAGCCAAGTATTTTCCAAACTTGTTCCTCCCAATTAAAAATCACGCTCCTTCCATCTATGAGAAAACCCTCCCAAACGAAAACCTTCTCAATCTATATAGACAGATTAATCCACACATACAACTTTATCCATACAATACTTAATGGAAACCAACCAAACGGACCCTAAGCCCACCAGGAGGTGGGGTTTGGGTTTGGGTCTGGGAGGGGTGGGTTGTACGCAGACCCAACCTCTACCTCGAGAGTGGATCGGCTGTTTCCGTGAAGACTCGCGACTTGCGTAATTAGAGTCTTTGAACCAAACCGAACTTGAGCAATCAGAGTCTTTTATCACCTAGAGTTCCATTAAAGCTGCTATTTTTTCTATATTTTCTATGTTTGGTGCTTAACTTTTTTGTAGGCTTGTATTTCCATGGAAATATGACGTGGACTTAGTTGTCGTATTTGAAATGGGATAATTGCGATTCTTTGAATTGATATAAGATATCAGGTATCTCATGGTTTAAACATGTGTTGACCTGTTTATCTGTTTACGTGTTGGTGTTCATTTAACAGGTTAGATTTCACCCGTTGCGTCCAGACATACTTGCCAGTGGAAGCTTGGACCATGAAGTTCGCTTATGGAATGCAAATACTTCAGAATGCATAGGATCCCGTGATTTTTGTAATTACTAAACATTCTTTTCCCTTACTTCATCAATCATCAATAAAAAGAATATTGATGGGATTCCTTGGTAATCAATCAATCAAGCAAATAGAAAATATTAAATGGTTTACCATTTAGGATATGTTGATACATAGTTACATACTTTTTCCATCCCAAAAAATAAGTGTCTACATTCCTATTTTAGTCTGTTTCAGAATAAGTGTCCACTTTCAAAAGTATGTGCCTACTTTCCAGTTCTACCATCAATTATGAGATGGAGAAAGTCATTACTCCGTCTATTATTAAGGGTAAAGTTGTCATTTAATTTCATAAAAAGTGTAATAATTACACATTTCTAGAACTCTGTGCCTTTTCCGTTGTGGACATTTATTTTGGGACGGAGTGAGTACAATGTTTGCATGAAGATGAAAGCTAGCACATGAAAACATGCTTGTACATATACATACGTATATTTTGTATGCCTATGTATTTGTGTTCATCTTATGTCTGCATATTTGTGTTTATTACAGACCGGCCTATTGCTTCCATTGCATTCCATTCTGAAGGAGAACTGCTTGCAGTTGCTGCAGGCCATAAGGTGTTAATACTAACTTAGCTATAGTCATGTCTCTGGGGTCAAAATAAAAAACAAGAAAACGGCCAAATCACATGTGATTATGGATCAGGGTCAACGTGAATCACATGTGATTTTACACGTGATTTTAGTGTAAAATCACATGATTTAGTCGCTCTCGTGTTCTCTTATTTGGTCACTGCTCTCTTTTGAACCCGACTCTTGTCTAGATATTTTGTTTTTGTAAAGTTAGAGCCTAGGCCTCGGAGTGAGGGATAGTTCACTATATTGACAGTAGCTTTTCAATTTCAGCTGTACTTATGGCAGTACAGTGGCAAAGGAGAGACCTCCTCACCTGCTATCGTATTGAGGACAAGGCGTTCTCTTCGTGCCGTGCATTTCCATCCACATTCATCTCCACTTTTATTAACCGCTGAGGTAGCATTCTTTTCACCGGTTTGGAATTACTAGAGCATCTCCAACAGATACTCCAAATGGAGAAAATGGAGATTTGGAGTTTTTAACCTCCTCTTTTTGCTCCAACATATCTTCCAAAACTTTCTCCAAAATGGAAAAAGTAGTAGAGAGGATAAAAATCTCCAATTTTGGAGAACTCTTCAAAATTAAATGCTGAATACAGAAATATTTTTAAGGAAATTGACCGAAATAGCCAATCAGGCCTTCTCTTTTCACTTGTAGCCATTTTCTCAACAAATTGACCAAAATAGCCGGAGATTACACAAGTAGCACTTACCCAACTTGCGTGATCTACTTTTGCAATATAATATTCAGGAAAATTTAACATTACGCAAGTTGCAAAGTGCTACTTGTGCAAGTCTACTTTTTGTTTCTCCATGTAAACATTACACAAGTAGCAGTTATGCAACTTGCATATGTCTACTTTTTTTGAATATTATATTGAAAAAGTGGGTCATGCAAGTTGCACAAGTGCCACTTGTGTAATTTTTGGCTATTTCGGTCAAAAAGTTGAAAAGGTGGCTATAAAGTGAAGACCGTGGGTCTAATTGGCTATTTTGGACAATTTCCCTTTTTTAATTGTTCCCACATGCATTATCAATTTTGTATAAAGTTTATCTGAAAGTTTCTTGGGATATTAAGTCTATTGAATATTTTAATAATAATGTTATGTTGAAATCACCAAAATGGAGAAACTGTTGGAGATGAATGTTGTTTTTTGGGAGAATTCAACTTTTGCTTCTCCATTTTGGAGAAATTATAGAGAATCTGTTGGAGATACTCTTAAAAACCATTCTCTTGTTCTAAATAATTGAATGGGTTTTCAGGTCAATGATCTTGACTCTTCGGATTCTAAAATGGCACCTGCAACATCTCTTGGTTATCTGCATTATCCCCCTCCTGCTGTATATATGGGCAATATGCATCGGATAGATCGTCTAAGTTTAGCAGCAGAACTACCGTTGATGCCCTTACCTCTCTACTCTCCTTCAATTCTAAGAGTTGATTCAAGGCCACAACCGCAGAACGGCAGTAGACCTGTTGGCTCGAATACCAGACTGTTAGAATCTTCTGATCAACATATATTTCATGCAAATTCAACCGAACAATATGAACATCTGATGGCTTCTTCTATGCCTACTTCTAACACCCATAATCCCGTAAATGATAGTTTAGCTAATCAAAATCGTAGCTCGTTGCAACTTTCAGATGGATCCCATCAAGATGGTCCTTCAAACATGGATATCTCTGGTGTTGAAGGTGTTCATGAATCAAGACCTAGTTCGTTGGCTCAGGCGTCGGACGAGATTAGGCAAGACCTATCAAGAGATCGGGTACGTTGGGAATTACCCTTCATGCAAGGATGGTTAATGGGTCATAATCAAGTTGGCACGCCATCAACATTTCCTCTTAGGGGTAGTCCACATAGATATTCAGTTGGTGACAGGAGGCCAGGTTTAACATCTTTGACACCTGAATCGACAAATACTAGTAGGGAAGTTGCGGAGGCTTCTTTGGTCATGCCATACAATATGAATAGGGTGAATCCTGAAAGACCGGGATTATGGGATTTTTATCCACATGCTACTTTGACTTCTGCATCGGAATACAGGCAAAGTGCTCCAACCAATGAGCCAAACGACGGTGGTGACTCGTTTCCCATTATAAGTCGAATAGAGTCTCAGCTGTCGGCATCACTGGCTGCCACAGCGGCTGCTGAGTTGCCGTGCACCGTGAAGCTAAGAATATGGCCTCATGATTTGAAAAATCCAAGTGCCTCACTCAAGGTTGAACGATGCCGTCTAGTTATTCCACATGCTGTCCTTTGCAGGTAATATTTCAGAGGCACTTTCAATTTTTTAAGCGAAGTCGCATTTCGTGAAATGCAATACTCCCTCTGGCCCAAAATAAGAGTTCATGTTTCTATTTTAGTTTGTCCCAAAAATAAGTTACCACTTTCAAAAGTGAGTGCTCACTTTCCAATTCTGTTATTAATTATGACATGGAGAAATTCATTACTCCCTCTATTTATTAAGGATGAAATTGTCATTTAGTTAATTTAAAAGTGTAACACTTCTACATATTTCTAAAAGTGCCTTTTCCATTGTGGACATTTATTTTGGGATAGAGGCAGTATCTTTGTTTTTGTCTCGTTAAAGCACAAAATATTATGTTTCATTTGCATTGTAGTATGGAACCTATATACACAAATTTGAACCCAGATTCTTGAACCATGCACCCTGAATCATCTGACCCAAAAAGTGCACTTGTTCTAATTATGATTGGTAGGAAGGTTCAGGGGAAAACCCCCAAGAAAATGAAAAACTGAGGAACACCCACAGTATGCACATGTGCATACAAGTAATTGAAACCGTTTCTTGTTTTTTTATGCACATGTGCATACTGGACAAATTGCTAAAAGATTACTTGCATGAACATGTGCACACCGACAAGATGAACAGTTGCCGGGGTTGTTTCTTAGTTTTTCAATTTTTTGCAGTTTTCCCCTGAACCTGACCCCTATGATTCGAGCTTCATGTGTGTATATATGTATTTATTCTATGCTATATATGCTTAGATACGGTTTTTTAAGGTCTGGGGTGATCATATGTTGGTTGTTCATTTGCGTATGCTGTTGCAGCGAAATGGGTGCCCATTTTTCACCTTGTGGAAGATATCTAGCTGCTTGTGTTGCATGTGTGCTTCCTCAGTTTGAAGCCGATTCTGGGATGCCAACCCAACTCCATCAAGAGGCCAGGGGGGCTGGAACATCTCCTACACGACATCCTATTTCTGCTCGTCAAGTGATCTATGAACTTCGAATATATTCACTCGAGGAGGCAACGTAGGGATTCATTTCTTCTTACCAATAACTTCTGCCTAGGTGCCTTTATGTTAACTACTTTATTTCGTGTATTAAGTTGTAAATCTGACAATTATCGTGCTTGTGTAGCTTCGGTTCGGTACTTATCTCATGGCCAATTAGAGCTGCTCACTGTTTGACGTCAATCCAGGTAAACTTCTTTCTAGTCTATCTAAACATTTCATGTTGCTCATTGATTCTGCATTAGTTTTCCATATGCTGTTTGCGTATGTTCACTTAATTCAGTTAGGGTTCGTCTGGTTTAACGGAATGTTTTTGAGGGATTTGAATTTCATGGAAGGATTTGGAATTGGAGGGTTTTGGAATGGAATTGAACTCCATTCTTTATTTAAAACAATTATGAAAGTAATTAAATTACCCTTTTATTGATTGATTATTACAAAACAAGTGTTTTTAACATCATTACAAACAAATGCTATGAAATCCTGCGAAATACCAACTACCCTCATGGCATTTCTAAATCTCATGTTTGTGGGATTTCATTGAAATCCCGGGATTTCAATTTCAGATTTTCCTTTAAACCAAACACGGGATTGGAATGGAATCCAATTCCAAATCCCACCAAATCCTGCAAACCAAACGGGGCTTAGAGTTATTTGCCAACAAAAACACGGGACCTTTGGTCCAACATCTAATTTAGTCCTTAAATTACAAAAATCCCATCATATATGATTCCTTAAACTAATTTTCCGCGTCTTTTTTCTCCAAAAACCTTGGTTAAAGACCCATGTGGATTTTTTTCCCATTTTTTAAAACATAAACTCTATCCTAGGTGGAAATTACAAGTGCAAGATTCGAGTGCCATCAATTGTTTGAAGGTTTTATAATAATCTCTCTTTTCTGCTATCCTGCAGTTTTCACCTACTTCTGAGCACATACTGCTTGCTTATGGTCGACGCCATAGTTCCCTTCTCAAAAGCATTGATATAAATGGGGAGACTTCTTTATCTATTTACACGGTTTTGGAGGTAATATTCCGTATTTTCTCTTGGTTGTACCCAGTTTTCTAAATTTATACCCGCTTCGTTCCTACAAAAGATAAGACAACCATGTTGAAAGCTTGATATATTGAACAATCTTTATCCTCTTTAGCAATAAATATGTGCTTTTTTGGCACATGACAGACTAAATCAGAGCTACGTGGATACCCCCTCCAGCGCAAAAACATTTTTTAGAAATGTGTCATTATTACACTTTTAATTGATTAAATGACAACTTTACCCTTAACAGTAGAGGGAATAATGAATTCTCCATCTCATAATAATGGGTAGAATTGAAAAGTAGGCACTTTGAAGGTGGACACTTATTTTGGGACGAACAAAAATAGCAATGTGGACACTTATTTTCGAGTGCAGGGAGTAATAATTTGCGCAAAATTAACATTGAGCCTCCCGTAAATAGTAAGTACAGCTTCTTCTGTTTACCAATTGTTGCCAGTAGAGAATATCTATTTCTGGAGTCCTTTCATAGGGAGAATTAATTTCATTTTTGCCATCATGATGGACAACAGGCACCAGGATGGAATTAGTGGGAATACGAAAAAATTGATCTAGGAACTCTGGTTCATAATATAGTTTCTTCCAAAACCTAGCTTCGTGAATTTCATTGATTTGAACATTATATTTTCTAAAAAGTGTACGCTCCCTAAACGAGCATAAGGTGTTGTTTGTTTTTTAAGAGGTGTTGAACTCTTAAGTCTTATTTCACTTCTTATTGATAATAGGTGGTGCTGAAGTCTGAAAGTAGAATCAATAAGATTGTTCATTTTTGTAAACTGATAAATGTTTGAATGTGTTTTCACAAGTAGGGTGGTATACTGACACTAATTTATGCAGATAGGATAGTCCTTTGCAGAGGCGGACCTAGAAATTTTAGGTGGTGGCACCGTTTGACTATAAGAAACAAAGATATGGATATTTTTCACAAAATTATCATTGGTCTATTGGTTAGTTCTTTGCTTTTCATATGTGAGGTCCTGTGTTCAATCCTTTTATTGTACATTTTTTCATAAACATAATAAATCTGAAATTAAAAGCTAAAAGTAAGGAAAATGATACAAACGGATTCGAACCTGGGTCTAGGGTGGGAGAAGAGTCGTGCAAACCAACTCTATCAAGGGAAACTTGTGTTATCATTGTAGCTTCAAAATATATACGGTTGCACAAAACAAAATGATACGGTGGCACCTTTCTCGACCCTATAATTTTTTACACTACAATGAAGGAACGAAGTGGTGGCCCGTGCCACCATATCCAATAGAGTGGGTCCGCCCCTGGACCTTTGCTTGCTAGAAAGATTCCTAGGATAAAATCACAACTTAAGGTATTAGTGTTGGTTTCGAAATATTTACTATTTCGACGTGTTTTGTTTGAAGTTGTTGCAATCAAATAGCCAAAAACTAAATGAGAGCTAATGTCATTGTACTATATGGCATGCATGTATCATAAGGCTTGGGCATGATGGTGACGAAGTTTAGATGTTATTTCAAAGTTAGGTTAGGGGGAAAACCTCTAAATAATGAAAAACTGATGAACTCCCTGGTGATCATTCATCTGGACTTTATGCACATGTGCATACAATTAATTGAAGTTGTTTCTTAGTATTCATGCACGTGTTGTTATGAGATCATGAAGATCCACTTTACATTCTCTTGATGAGCTCGGTTTTTGTATATGGGGATTTAGGTATATAGAGTTTCGGATATGAAACTCGTGAGTGTGCTTCCTAGCGCAGAAGATGAGGTGAATGTAGCATGTTTTCACCCTTTCTCGGGGGGAGGTATTGTCTATGGAACAAAGGTTTGTACTCGACTATTTACGCATTCTTTAACTTCATATTTTTGTTCGACATTTTTATCCTTGAAGTTTTCATTTAAACAACATTAATTCACTTGCAATATTATGTGTGTTTGCAGGAAGGCAAGCTTAGAGTCCTTCAATTTAATGGTGCTCACGGGATGACTTTCACTAGACCCGATCACTTTCTTGAAACACAAATGGATGTAGAACGATAGTACAGGTTGTTACTCGTTTACATACAATTTCCGTTCTAAGATGTCCCAAATTTACATGCAACATCCACAACAATTGTGGCCACCGAGTTTATCAGTAGCAATTTGCCGGGATTGGTCTGGGCATAGCTTAGGACACCTTTCCAAAAAAATGCAACAAATCTTGAGACCTAACCGGCAAATAAAGGCCGGGTCTTCGTGCTCTTGCCCATAGGTTGCCGGTTTGAGCCTCAAACCATTGAGGATTTTTCTGATTGTTATCTTCACGACCCCAATGTATTAGTCAAGGTGTGTTCAAGATGGCCTAGACACCCATGGTTACAAAAAAAACATAAATGCAACATGATATATTGACGAAGTTTCAATCCAAGATTACCTCCTTTTGCTCATTAACGATCTTTTATATAATATGGATTATGGTCGATGTGTCATCTTATTTTGTCAGACGTCTATTTGGATTTATTTGACTAGGGGCGGTTCTGTTAGGAACCTCATTTTCACTAAGAACCGGGGGACGACTCACAATACTACACTTGGCATATTCATCAAGGATATGGACGTGTTATTCATCATGAATGTTCATACGAATGTTGTACATATTCATATGAATGCGATTCATGATGAATAACACGTTCATATTAATCATGAATGTGTTATTCATGATGAATATCATCCTGAAGAGGGATATGTGGCATTCTGTGGACAGTTCTCGGGTTCTCAAGGAAAAACAAGTTCTCACCTGAACTTTCCTATATTTGACTAATAACCAAACATTTCTATTAAACTATATGTTGCATTATTTGGTTCAGCAAGTGCTTCATTTTAATGACATTATAGGGCTGTTTGGTTGGTTTTCCATTAAGTCTTGTATAAGATAAAGCTGTTTATGTGGATTACTTTCTCTCTATGGATTTAAAAGACTTTTGTTTGGGAGGGTTTTCTCATAGATGGAAGGTGCGTGTTTTTTGATTGGGAGGAGCAAGTTTGGAAAAAACGTCTGCATACAACTCCTTATATAAGCTTACTCAATAAGTCACTTTTTATATCATTAAGCCACTACCGATCAGCCTCGTGGAGCTGACTGAATAACCTGTGAGTCTATTTCCTTGTATTGCAGGGTCAGGCTTTATGCTTTAGAATGTTAAAACACAGCCATGATGTTTCACATCTAGGTATGTATCTCCGCTCATGAAATTTGCAACAATTAACCTCGTAGATGCGTTTTAATATCCTTTTTGACCATTGATCAAGGAGTGGTCAACTCATGAACCATTGTATTTGACTTCTAGTTGAAAACAGTCATCAATCTTGCAAAAATGCCGAAAGAAGCCGAATGAACGATTTTGGACTAATTGTGAAGGATTTCTTGAAATATATAATATTTATATATGGCAAACTGGGAAGGTTTTAATGTAAAAGAAGTCGTAATTGGCACCTTGTCCAAAATAACTCGTTTTTTAAGTACTCTCTGCGTCCTAAAATAAATGTCGATGAAAAAGACATGGTTTTAGGAACGTGTAATTTTTACACCTTTTTAATTAAATGACTATTTACCCTTAACCTCCATCTCATAATTAAGGGTAGAATGGGAAAAGTAGACACTTGATATGGTCCTTCTATTCAATATTAAAATAATTAAATATTCAAATTGTTCTAATTGGAGATACCGTTGTTTCTGGTACAGAAGTTCCTATAAAAATGTGGACACCTATTTTCGGACAAAGTAAAATAGAAATGTGGACACTTAAATGACTATTTTACCCTTAATATAACGGGGAAACTATCACACACTCCTCATCTTTGAACCCATGTCCTCCAGGGAGGTCGGGATCTATTGGTAACCCATTTACCACTCGGCTGATACCCTTTGGTCCAAAACCGCTCATTATTGGAGACTGTAATTTCTTTTTTTCTTTCATGTTTTAACAAGGAGGTGCTTTTAGCTTTAAAATATCTGAAAAATAAGAAACTGAAAGTTGTTGTAATTTCAGTGGGACGATTAAACGACCAATTGTGTTACAGGAACTTGCACCAGCTCTCCTAACCGATGCTGCTAGCTGGAATTGGTTCCGTGGCCTTCTGCTCGGGTGTTTTCTTTTTCTCTCTCACTTTTGACCGTTTTCTTGTATGTTTACCCATGTACAATGTGTTTGTTAACAAGTTGTAGTACACCTCAAGAAGTCGCCATTTCCCGTGGCCATATTCGGTTGTATGTAGGGTTTTAGGGATCCAACAAATATTGTATATCGAGACGAGATTGTTTCCCCATCATAGACGTTTTCTCCATAGCTTTCTTGGTAAAATGGTGTCGGTTTTGTTCTTCTTCACTTTTTTTCCGTTTAATCGTATAGTTTCATACTTGTATACATGATAATACAAGTTTTACCATTTTTTTTGGCCAATTATAAATGTGGATTTTGTTGGGGGTAGAGTTCATATTGTTATCCTTGTTTCTCTAATTTTGTAACCCTCTTTTCCTTGGGATTTTATGACCATTTTCTGATGATTTTGTTATGTGGACTCTTTTAGATTTGTGTACATCTCACCTATCCGGATTCCACTTATGGATGGGAGATACTGGATTTGTTTGATTCAGTTATTAGTACTCTTTCAACAGGTATGTTGACCCTGATCAAGACCCAAGCGGCAACTAGCCTCCTATAAACCATGGAGTAACCGAAGATTGTCGTGGACCACCCAATTCGGCTGTTGTGAACATCGGTCAAGTGTAGTCGATGCTGCAACACAGTGGCAAGAGTGCTGGTGATGACGATTCCGTCTTAGGTCTGGATTCTCCATGTTCTTTGAGTTCTAGCTTAGAATCCAGACCTAGCAAAACTGCTCGGGTCCATACCACCTCAAGTCCTGGACAACTTTTGCCATTGCTAATGTGTTGTGAAATAAGGTTCGCTGATCACAAATTGGCCTTATATCAGAAAGTCAAACTAAAAGGTCAACTCTCTCGATATTCGTTTAAAACAATCGTCAATATCGATTCAACACGAAAGCCGAAAGGGGTAGCATCTAATGGTACATCTTATTACTTAACAAACATGTAACACCACCATTCAATCACAATAATAGGCACAAGGCCGGATCTATGGAGGACCCAGCGGGTCCGTGCACTTGATCAAACTGAATCTTTTGCAAATGGAATTTTTTGAGAGATGAAAGGCGTATATGCTAAACTTTGAGGGGTGCTCTGTGTATCAGTAAATACAAGGGACATAAACCTAAAAAGCGAAAAAGTCCCTAAAATCAATCAAAAACCCTTGAAAAATCTTTAGGAATTAACCAAACAAGTATATGGAAATCAACAAAAAAAAACCCTTTAAAAATCCCTCGAAATCAACCAAAACAACGTTATAAAACTCTTATCAGTAAAATTCAACTAAAAATACATCAAGCCTTTGATGCTTTTGAAAGTTACACCCCACTCGACCAAAATCTTGGGTCACAAACAAATTAATGTTTCACATGAAAATTCAAATCTGTATAAATCATAAAATTAAAATGCAAAAATTACGATTTTTTCGAATCAAACATATCCATATATTCATAAATCATAAAATCGAAATACAAAAATTACCGAGTTCAAATCAATATCGACTTCGAAATCATAAAGAGTCTTTCAAAGCTTGAATTTTAGATATAAAGTACATAACTCGAACAATGAAAATGTATCTTGAGATTATTCACCGAACGTCCATCAAGAACGGAAATTTGAACTTGCATGCTAAATAAACATAACCTACCTAGACTTGTTGATTTAAATGGATATTAATGTACATACATTACAATAAATCGACAATCTTAGCCTAACCGGATAGCAAAACGCACTTCCAAATGTTTTTCTCGTCTAGAAGCCATAGCAGTGTTCACGGTATAGGGTTTCGGGTTCATGTAATGAATACGGGATTACAGTAAATCGACAATCTTGGTCTCACTGCATAACGAAACGCACTACCAAATGTTTCTCTCTTCTCTTCCATAAGCCATTATTAGATGCAACTTGATTCAGAATGGAAGAGACCAGTTCCCAGATTTGAACTCTTTATAGAAGCTGCTTCTCTTTGAAACAACAAAAAACACTGCACCCACCAAATTGAATTTAAGAAAATGAACATATAAACCATTAGTGCCAAAGTTTATTTAGGAACCAAATATTAATAATGAATATACATGAATGTGTGTGTGTGTGTAGGGGCAGGTTCTGCTAATTTTCATCAAGTAAAGGGAGACCGTCCACAGCACGACACGTGTGATTCATGATGAATGACACGTCCATATTCATTAGGAATGTGTTAGTTATGATGAATATTCATCCCGAAAAGAGATGTGACATGCTGTGGACGGTTCCCGGTTCTCAACTGGACATTCCTTCTATGTGTGTATGTAAGTATATTCATCAAGAATACATGAATATTCATCATGAATATTATGAATATTTGGTTCTTGCAGATATCGAAATATTATGGTTCTTATATAAACCTGCCCCTAGACCATAGATGCATGTTGTTCAAATACGGAAGAACACAAAACAAGCTGATTACAAACCAGGAATTCCAGGAATAATGAGATTCGGTTCTTTGAGAACTGCATGAAGGGTTCTTCTTTCGTTCACTTTCACCCATTTGGAACGACCTTCTCCTAAAGTGCATTACAACAAAAGGAAGTAAGAAACATAAAAGAGCTCGGCAGTCGGTGCATCAATCAAATCCGACATCAGATGATTGCAACATGGGAAAGAAACGTGCGTTTTTGGGGTGTCCAGGCCAGCTTCTGCACACCTCACTTTGGACTAATCCCATGGGACCCTGAAAATAACAGCCACAAGAATCCTCGGTGGCCCTAAGGATACATTTGGTACATGGGCGGTACAGAACAAGACTGAACGGGAATGGACAGGTACGGGTGAGAGCGAGGTAGACGGATTAAAGAATCTTGGAAGGTTTTAGGATTTCAATTTGACATGGATAGTTTATTAATTTACCAATCTTGTTTCATCTCCCTGATATTCATTCCACCTATTTTGGTGGGACACAACAAATGCATTTTTTGTACCACACAATCCCGTCATGTCCCAGTCTAATGTCGCGCCAAATGTGGGATACGAAGTTTTTGTTACGTCATGCCGCGTCCTGTTCTGCATACCAAACAACACCCCGAGGAAACTTGAACTAGCGACCTACGGGGGAGTTAACTGACCCTCAAGGTTAGAAACATGCTTTACAAGGTCGGGTGCTTCATGCTGAAACTTTGTACTTTTTCCTCACGAAAATTCAAAAGCAAACAATTGCGAATATTTTTATATACATTCTCATCTCTAAATAACACATATAAGTCAAAGAAACATACCAATTGAAGAGATTCCTTTCGGAGAAGATTTAACCCCATCTATCTCATCATCACCAAAAGATTCGAGATGGGAAGCAACTGTACCCTGTAAGAAAGTGCTAATAATTTCCCTCTTCGACAAACGGACCCCGGATCCTGCCTGGTGATCGGAAGTTGACACGAAACATTAAGAATAATTGTGACTTAAAAAGCAAGCCATAAGATAACATACATCCATGTATGTTAATAAAGGGGAAATTGACAGAAATATGCGCAAGGACTGTTTTTTTCTTTTTTTTTCCAGAAAAGCAAACCTTACGCATATGCGTAAGAAACAGCTAAAAGTCGAAATGAGATACAAAAGTAGCTAAAAAGTGAAACCCCTTGATGGGATTGGCTATTTCAGTCAATTTCCCGTTAATAAAGTGATTCTTTGTTTATTTCTGCAACAGATTATTGAATTGTAGAATGAGAAGTTAATAATATAAATTATCATGAATCTCACCTCGTAGTACAACTCAATAGCATCACGAGTGTAAGCATTTTCTTTATCCCACGGCAACGGTGCAGAACTGTCTGAAAACATGTTTGAAGCTAAGGATTTCAAGATTCCACTGCGAATACGATTAGTCTTCCCTAAAAAAAATTCAAGGGTATCGGTGGGAAAAAGAACATTTGTTTGGTCGTTCTACCATCGAGTAAAACATATTTTGCCACTCTTATCATTAAATTTATAACCAAATTAACGTGGTAGACATGGGGTCTGTGAAGGGTGGGGTGTGTACAGACCTGATCTCTACCCCAAATGGTTGTTTCTGTGAAGACCTCCGGTTTGTGAAAGTTATCATACCTCGTTGTTTTCTACTTAACCATCATTAGAACCTATCTTTTGTCTTTTCCTTATAAGCTATGTTCGGCAAACTAACTGAAAAGCTAGTTATTGGCTAATAAGCTAGTTGTTAGCTGATAAGCTAGCTAATAAACTAATCATGTTTAGTAAAAATTGGCTGATAAGCTTAAGAACAATGTAAGATGACCTAAAAAGGACAAATATAAGGGGCATAATTGAAGAAAAAAAAACCAGCTTATGGCTAACCAAAAGGGGATGTAATAGCTTCTGTGATCTAAGAAATGAGTGAGAAAGGATATCAAGTCAAGATGAGCCGAAAACATATCAGTCTCGCAGAAGTCCTCAATGAAATCGCTAGACATAACTTCTGCATAAAGAAGAAGAACAGGCCAGTGAAGTATATGATCTTTATCCAAAATCGGCTTTTTCAATCCAGTTAATTCTTGAAACATTGCCTTTCCAATATTCAATGCTCTGTCTTCTATTGCTGACACTAAGCCCTGCATAAATTCGGATTAGGAAGCCTTCACACCATTAAGATGAGTGTTATTTTCACCCTACCCCTCTAAACCCTAAACGCTAAAACATCAATCAAGATGCAAAACCTTAGCTGATGTCAGAGCTTTGGAAACTTGAGCCTCGTGTTGTTGATGTTCGGATATTTGTGAATCAATTTGCTTTAGTAGCTTCTTTAATTCTTCGTTATCTGGATTCTGATCAAGTCCGTTTTCACAAAAAGTCTTTGCTTCAACCAACTTATTCAGAGATAATGATGCTTTGGCCGCTCTATAAAAAGCCTAGGAATTTGACAAACACGTATATCTATTAACGATAATTTGAGAAAAGAACCGTACGGAAAATCTTAACATTTGAACACAAAAGAAAACCTTGACATTTGTTGGAGACAGCTTCATGGCTTCCTCTGAATCCGAAAGAGCTCGCCCATAATTTCCAAGGAGTAAGTTTACATGTGCTCTGTTAGAAAAGATTATTGAAGTCTCAGTGTCACTTAAGGCATTTTGATTTATTGCTCGAGTGTAGCAGTTGATAGCCTCCGAGTAATGCTTCTTTCCCATCTTGACATACTTGTTACCTTCTTCCTACATTCCCAAAATGAACATCAATAAACACCATTATAATATGTGGAAAATGGAACCCTTAAGATACTTTATAAAAAGATCCCTCATAGAAAGAAGGGGAATTCCTACATACATATAGACGAAGGATCATGTGAGAATAGGAGTTTAAGTAAGAAGCATAAGAAGGGAACTGGACCCTTGATCACTTTTAATCTCACCCCCACACCATGAATTGCGCTTGATGCGGGAACTGATGCATCTCATTAGTGTTGGTCTTCAATTAGGATTGATCCAATGGTGGAGATCCTTTTTACCCTTCTCATCGTAACTTTCATTCTCACCGGTACTCAACCCTTATATATATATATATATATATATATATATATATATATACAAGTTTGATGGTCCGTGTGTAGCCGATGTGGGACTCTAACACGGCCCTTCAAATGGAGACTAGAAGGTGCCCCTGGAACGGAGGCGAAAGAGTATGTTGAGTCCCTAGATGTGATAGACCCCGACTTGTATGCATGGAACCCCAAGATAGCCCTTATGGGCAGGTTCCTATCTATATACATGTCTGTTGGTTCGTGATTTGCAGCTTTTGGATTCCAAAAGAATTGTAGAAGGTCTTAGGATTTTATTTGACATGGGCAATTTAGTAATTTACCAATATGGTCCGTTTACCTAATTTTTGTTCTCCCAGAACAACTGAATCATCTAATATCACATCAAATGTGTGATAACAAGTTTTTCTTCTATCATGTTCCGTTTCTGTTCTATCCTCCGTAGTCCGTACCAATTGCAGAGAGGGTTCATTGATATACACACACACACACACATATATATATAGAGAGAGAGAGTATACTATCTTCCGTTTCTGTTCTATCCTCCGTAGTCCGTACCAATTGCAGAGAGGGTTCATTGATATACACACACACACACACATATATATATAGAGAGAGAGAGTATACTATCTTCCGTTTCTGTTCTATCCTCCGTACCAGTTGCATAGAGGGTGCATTGATATATGTTCTCTTTTTCCGTTAGTGACTGGTATCATAGTGCTCAAAACTCCATCTCATCTTTGTAGGTTAAATGCCTTTATGGCGATATACGTTTATCCAATTGACATACAAACACAATAAACTTTAGGAATGAAGAACTGAAAACCTAAACGATAACTTTGATCTAACAAAGTAATTCATTTGAATTACTAGGGATTCAAGTGATTGTATCATTTTCTCCATTACAAGCTTAGGATCGATGAAAACATACAATCAGTCGATAATCAAGTCATTAAATCACGATAATAAGAAACCAAATGATGAAATTAGACCTAACTTTGTTGCGTGTATGTAAGTAGAGAGAGAGAGAGAGAGAGAGAGATTACTTTGAGTTCAATGGCAGCGGACTCCTTGAGAGCAGCGATAGCATCAAGGTCTGCTAATTCTTTCTCAGTTTGAGGTTCTGCACCTTTCTCCATCAACAACGCCATGCTTTCTTCCTCACAGAAACACTCACCGGCGGTTAACCGATTGAACGGAGAAAATGGCGCTTGTTAAATTTAGTGTGCAGTGAGCTGAGAGTCATCAAGATTCTACAACATTATTATTGGGCTAATTGGCCCACCAGTCATGGGCTCATACATTTTTATTCAACGTATTTATACAGATGACAAAAAAAACTCGAAACCGATGGTGAAAAACGAAAATCGAAACTTTCGGATCGGGTTTAGAGACATCTTAATAGGGACGGGGCGGGGATCGAGGATATATTCGGGGATTTTAACGGGGAAATTTGTATCAAATTTGAATTAGTAAGGTGATCACTAGCCCGGCCCGGCCGATATGTGTGTATATATAGGGGCACGTTCAAATGAAAACTGTGTATTTCTAAGAAACCGTGTAAATCAATTTCGACCAATAGGAAAATTCTAACTTTTTCTAATTAAAATTAATCAATAAGAGTATTTCAGTCATTTACAATATTTTCAATTAAATATAAAAGTTATTAATAAATCTTAATTAAGAAACGTAATAAAAAAATTGTATAAATGGTAACATTTAAATATTTAATTATATTATAATATTAAAAATTTGAATTTCATATATTATAATCTTTAAGAATCAACAAACGGGTCTTGATGAAACAATTGAAGTGTATAATGAAATCATCAAATCGTAGATGAACATAAAAAAATCCATAAATGAAACAGGTTTTATGAACGTGAAACTGGTTCATGTTGCAAATAAATTATGTTAACCGAAACATTTTCATGATGCACCCATTGCATTGATTGTGTAGTTGATCCATTTAGTTGATGAAGAGGAAAATGAAACCGGTGCATTTTGTATTTGATGTGTCATGAACTAAGTGCATGATGAAACGAGGAAATGATTTTAATCTGCTACAGAATCTTGAAGATTGTAACCTGTTATAGAATCTTGAAGATTGTAAAACTTAAAAGAATGAATCCATCAAATCAGTGGTGAAATAAGAAAATTAATGTACATGAAATAATTTTCATGAAAGTGAAACTGGTTCATGGCGTTCTTAAGCATGACTAGTGAAACGGTTGCATAATGTATTTGGTTCGTCATGAAATAATTGAATGATGAAACGGGTACATGAAGAAACTGCTTCAGAATCTTGAAAATTGTAATACGCTTTAGAATCTTTAAAATTGCAAGGCTTAAATGAATTAATGTATCAAACCAGAAACAAAAGGAAGAAAATAATTTTGCATGAAAAAATATTCATGAAAGTAAACTAATCTTGGAAGAAAATAATTTTGCATGAAAAAATATTCATGAAAGATCGAGTAGGATGTTACCAAATATTAAATTTTGTTTACCATTTATGCCCTTACTGTTGAAATAAAATAAATTTTTAATATATATTTTATTTAATTTCCTAAATTAAAGTAAATTAATTTTGGCCATTGATCAAAAAATGGATGGATGAGATTGGTTTACACGGTTTACACAAATGGGGCCGGTTTTTAAAAATTGAAAGAATTTGTATAGCTTATTGATTTGTATATCTATACTATATTATAAAGCATTTGATAAAAACTATTAAAAATAATTTTTTATGCATAAAATATTGTTTATTGATGCATATTACTTAAAATTTAAGATTACAAGTATAATGTGCATGAGTACATTTTATTAAAGCTCTATGTTTGAATTCGTATAACTAACTGCATATAAACATAATCAAATACGTGATAAACATAATTTTAAATATAAAAAATCTAAAATATAATTAAAATAATTATTGAATTATAACAGAATACTTAATTATGATCTTAAAAAAATTATTTTATTAAACCAAAAATAAACTAGTTCATTTTTAAAATTTAATTAAATCATAATAAAAAAAAATGAATTAAAGAAAATTATACAAAAAAATAGAACTTTTAAATAGTTATCTTGATATTAATATCGTTTTTTTTATCAAAATTTTATAATATCTTCAAATTTATATTTTATTAAAAAATAAAAACATTTTTTTTCCTCAAAACCACATAATTTTGCATTACCAACATATAAAACGAAACATTAAAATCAAGATGTATCTCGCTGCATTGTTCGAGTACCCTTCTAGTAATATTCTAACGTTTATAGCTCTAAAAAGGTATAAGAGTTTTTTTAGGTAAAGCCCTAACGTAGATATGATGGGTATTTGAGTACATCTACATAACAAAGTTAGAGCATCTTCAACAGATTCTTCAAATTGCAGAAAATTAAGATTTTGAACAAGTTTTTTTAGCTTCGACGGATTCTTTAAAATCTTTTTTCTAAAACTGATAAAATAGGAAAGAATGTGTGAAATTATTACAGTATTTTAAATGTATATCTGATTGGTCATATTCTTGTGAAACTTATGTCGTCCAAATACAGTTACATCTTATATTTGCATTCAGTTTTATAAGTTATTTTTAAAAAATCAAAAAAGACGAGGGTTGGCATTGCTTATTAAATATATTAAGGCAAATTGCATGAAAATGTAACGTACTTTAATTTATTCATATTTTGGGTAACGTACTTTCAGAACTTTCTTTTTGGTATCTAAGATGTAAAGTTTTAGAACATTTAAGTACCCGGGTAATGGGTTTAAGTATTAACCGGTTATCATGTTGATTGTGGCAAGTGATGTGGTATCCGGTTAATGATTCAGCAAATAATACTGAGTTGGATACCGCATCACTCGACACATCAGCATGATAACCGGTTATCCAAATACTTAAATGTTTAAAAATTTACATCTTATGTACCAAAATGTAAGTGTTAAAAGTATATTACCCAAAATAAAAATCAAATTAAAATAGATTACTTTTTCATACAACTTACTAATTAAAAATCAAATAACTTCCGTAAGTTTAAAAATTTGGATATGGTTTTTTTAGGACCAAAGTTCAAGAGTAATTGAGTAAATATAAAGTTACCGAATAGACCCTTAACTTTGTAAATGTCTCACTAATTCTCCTTTTATAAAAGTAAAAGGAACTACAAAACATCAAAGTCAAGATGGCCGAGTTGGTCTAAGGCGCCAGTTTCAGGTACTGGTCCGAAAGGGCATGGGTTCGAATCCCATTCTTGACAATTTTATATAATTTTTTATTTGTTTATATTTACTCCCCTAAACTATATGATAATGACATTTTCAGTCCCTTAATTTTGGACACTGCAACATGGCAAATCCATATATCTGTTTACACCCAAAATCAACCACTAATAATACTTTATGTGAAAAAAATATATTAAAATGTAGCAGACTTTGTCTTTAATAGATTTAAATTCAACTTAGAGATATAAAATAATTCGCATCATATAAAAACTACAACCTCCGAGAAGACAAAAAACGGTTTTTACAGCTTTCAATTGGGATGATAAAGTTAAGGATGGTGATTTGTTCCGATTCAATGAGGAACCCGACTCACCGACCCGAACAGGGACAGGGATTCCTGTTAAAACGGGTCATAGAGTCGGGGTCAGGGATCCCTGGTAGACTCAAAAAGGGGCCAGGTGTTGTTACTCAAACGGGGCCAGAGGCTGTTACTAAAAAACATGGTTGAGGCCAAGGATTACAAAACGCGCCCCATCCTCGCCCCCATTGTCATGCCTAGATAGAGTAGAGCATGGAACCCTCTAGATGATATCTATATTTGCCCATCATCGTGAACTAAAATCGTCGATTAAAATAATTAACTTTCTAAAAAAATTATTTTGGAGACAAAATTAACCGTTGAGTTAACAACCTTATCGGTTAGTATAACACATGGTTGCTATTAGATATGAATTTTAGAAAGTTTGTTACATTAATTGACGTCAGATATGTCGAAGTGAGAAATCAAATCCTAAATAAAATGCATAACTCAAGGGTTGATCTGTAAAAAATATCTCCAACAGATTTTTCAAAAGATATGGTCAAAAGTAAAAATCTCCAAAAGAAATTTACCTTAAGCTTCAGCAACTTCTCTGTTTTTTACGAAAGGGCCTTTAGCCTAGCGGTATATGAGTCTTTGACCTCCTAGGAGGTCAGGGGTTCAAACTTCACCAAATGTGAGAAGGGTGTTGAGTTTATTTATTTTATTTGTCGTATATAAAAATATTATATACTTCAAAAAATTTCTCTATTTTGGATATTATAATATAAATTATATTACTAAAATATTATGTATAATTCATGAACTGTTATTCTCTCGTGACTATTTAATTTAAAAAATTCTTACCGATGGAAATAATAATAAAATAAATTATCTTTCTTATGCAATCATTTTTTGAGAGTTTTTCAAATTTTGGGATCAAGTGACACCAGTTTGTTTTTGTGAGACTTATGAGACCATTTTTTTATATTTGAAACTTCACAGCAAAACGCTGTGAATGTAACCTTCACTGTGTTTTTGCTGTAAAGGTTTTACTTTTTTTTTACCTTGACAGAGTTTTGTTGTGAGATTTCAAGTGTAAAAAAATGGTCTCACGGAGCTTATGGATGCAGGATGGTTTTAGATGAACCTAACCCTATAAATATATATACATATATCAGATAAATTGAATAAAAATTTAAAAATATTTAATATTTAACTCATTTTAAAGATACCGATAAATTTTTTCAAAGGTATAATTTATAAAACAAAATACCTTTTTAATGTATTTTTAGTTAAAGTCATCATTAATTAATATAATAAAGAGTATAAAATGGAAAACAAAATAGTAAGAAACACAAATCACAGGGACTAAAATTGTAATTTACTCTATGATCAAAAAGAAAAAAACAAAAGAAACTTAACTAATCTTTTTAACTATAGTTAGTCAGAGACTAAATGTGAAACAAAATGCAAATATAATGATCAAAACTGTAATTAATTTAAAAAGAGGGATCAAACTTGAAAATGAGTGACAACCACAAGGATAAAACTGTAATTTACTCTATCTAAAGTAAACCAGAGAAAAAAGGGTAGAAAATCGACTCTGCTGGGGATCGAACCCAGAATCTCTGGTTTCGTAGACCAGCGCCTTATCCATTGGGCCACAGAGTCACTTGTTTGTTATCTTTATGCCAGAGTCTATTTGTGCATTTAATTGGATTTCATCGAACCGCTAAAAGCGACCCGTTACGAACTTGTTTTCGGCATTTGACTTTCATAAGTTCTAATATATGAATGAAGGGTAGTTTACTAAATACTTATTTGGTAAATATTTACGTGCAAGAGTCACCACCTTGACTTACTTTATCGGGTAACATTTTCATATATCAAAATGGATTGTTGGTAACGTCTTTTACGTGGTAAGAGTTTTACCGGGTAAATGTTTTCTCTGTTACTTACCGAGTAAGGGTCTGTTTACCAAACACTTATTCGGTAATCGCTTATCGATAAAATTCAACACTATTACATACTTATCGGGTAAGATTTTAGTCCACCATCACGACATTATATACAACAATTTACCCGGTAAGCGCTAACCGTGGTAAGAGTCGTCACCATCACTTACCGGGTAAGACTCCCGGTTCTTGCCTTCGTTTTTACCGGGTAAGATTCTTAGTCCTTGTCATATTCATCCGGTAAGGTAATGTGACTTGGTAAGTGCTTACTCGAGTAAGCATTTCGTAAACGGCCCCTAAGATTACTCGAGTAAGCATTTCGTAAACGGCCCCTAAGATTATTGATACTTCTCGTGTTCACCATGTAAGGAAGTGATACTGGGTAATGGTTTGGTAAACATTTTTATTCTTAACTTTTAATTAGACATCAACAAAGGACTCTACATATGAAAAGTAACGAACTAATCAACAGATCAATGATGATTTTGTGAAAAATATATTTATATTTGTTTCTTATAGTCAAATGGTGTCATCAAGTTTTTTTTTTTCTTTTTCTGAATCACCTACCAAAACAAAAAACACGATTATTCCATATATAAAACAAATCCTCTCAAATAAAAATCTTTTAAACCTCTTTTTTATTATTAACCTGTATATCTAACCCACTATGCGAGCCGGTTAATCCTAGAGCAACCATCCGTTTTACGGGTAGCCCGGAGTTACCGCATTTGAACTTCTGTGGTCATAATAGGATTTTCATTTCCCCTTGAATTCGAACATGAGGCCTCCAAACACTTTTGACCTTTGGAGGTCAAGTTTAAATCAATCGAACATCACCCTTATGATTAACCTTTTAAATCTTTACAGATGGACTAATCCACACAGAAAACTTTATTTGTAAAATCAATCAAGGGTTTGTTTGTTTACCTCTTGTTAGTTTCATTAAGAGTCAACTCATGATGAATCTTATTTGACAAATATAACATCTGTTTTTTCATGGTTTTAAAACCCTTTTAATGATTTTGTATATTGAGCCTATCTTAACCATTCAGCGCCTTAATTTCATTGTTACCGATTATCAAACAATTATATTTTATTTTGTACTATATCATAAGACCTCTTAATTATTTTAACCATTTAATTACTCTATATCAAATAATTCAACAACTATCAAACAATTTTAAAATTTTTTTTTATTATAAATTCGATCAATAAATTATTGAAATGTATCTTAATATTCGTCCTTCCAACGTTTTTTCGACTCCACGTAGCAACATTGGTCACGTGAAAGACGACGGTGGATGCGAGAATCCGCGACTCAAATCTCGATGCCACGTGGCCATATGTGGATCCCACTTTTAGATAATATTTTATTCCATTTTATTTTATTAAAATCTATTTTTTATATTTAAGTGCAATAAATTTCTGTATTAGAAAGTTATTTTTTAAATATTATATTTTGTTTTTTATACTTTTGTGTGTATCGAAAATCATTTTATAAAAATAAATTAAGGTTGTTGTAAACTAAGAATCGTCCTTACAGGAGATTTTTCCTTTCAATTACAATGGGTCCCTGATAATTGCGTTGTTGTGCCTGGGCTGTGAGGGCTCTCAGCCACATGGATAGTTCAATGTGCTCATTTTGACAACGAGAGGTCGTATTCTCTGATAGACAAACGCAATTATGAGGAAGTAAATAAGACACAAGAATTTGATAATGTGGAAAACACCTACCGAGAGTAAACCCTATGAAGGTAAATTTTACAATGTTTTTTATGTGAAAGTTCAATTTTTTACCTTCATAATTATTATGTTATAAAAATTTCAAGTGTAAAAAATTAAATTTATATATATCTCACAAAAACAGACTGATCTGACATGAATCTCGTACCCTCAAATTCAATGTTAGAAACACCTTTCCCGTTAATGTAGGTTTTACGGCAGAATACGCGGGGTCTTGATTTGATCAAATACTCCAATGATTTACGGGAAAACAACATTACACGTGGCATAAAATTACAGGCTACCGACACAACCTTCACGAAAAGTCTTTAAACACCCTGTGCTTATATTGCGCCCATCACGCTAACTTACCGTCGTCTTCTTCATTGGACTACTCTACTGCTCATATACATATATTGCATTATCATCACCCTCCTCAAATTGGTCACCTAAAAATCATCCACTCATCAATTGATCATCCAACTTTTCAATTCAATCAACTTCGAATCATATTCACTTCAATTTGCACGTTAAATCGATCTAATTTCACTTCAATCGCATCGCGTCTAGTTCTTTAGGGAATTGAAGGTGTTTAATTTGATTTGCATTCGTTTCATCATGTTCATGTGTATGGGTGTCGATTATTTGTGTATTTGAAATCCATCGAGACGCCGTTCACCGGCGGGAATCACGCCGTCGCCGACGTTTCGATGGAGAAGGGGAATTACATTTTCCAACAGTCTCGGATTTGTGTATTAGGGATACTTTGTGCCCTAATTTGGTTTTGCTTATTGTTCTTCCATTTTGGTTTTCTCGAAAGTAGAACTTTTGAAGTTCAAATTAATCCAATTGCAAATCACTCTAGGTATCCTGAATCCACACCTGTTGTTCATCCAATCACAACCAGTCCTCCTGCTCCGCCGATTGATGTTAATCGCGAACCAGAGAATCCCCAATCCTCCATTTCTCGATCGGAAAACCCTAAATTTTTCCCTTTTATGAAAGCAATGAGAACTGTGGATAACAAGAGTGATCCATGTGGTGGGAGATATGTTTTTGTTCATGATCTTCCTCCGAGATTCAATGAAGATATGGTTAAGGAATGCAAGAGTATTAATAAATGGTTCGATATGTGTAAGTTTGTTACGAATTATGGGCTTGGTCCGCCATTAGAGAACAGTGAAGGTGTGTTTTCCGATAATGGATGGTATGCCACAAATCAGTTTTCAGTTGATGTCATCTTCAACAATCGGATGAAACAGTATGAATGCTTAACCAATGATTCCTCCATTGCTGCCGCCATTTTTGTACCATTTTATGCAGGTTTTGATGCTGCAAGATATCTTTGGGGATACAATATCTCCATGAGAGATGCTGCTTCTCTTGATCTTGTTAATTGGCTTCAAAAGAGACCCGAATGGAGGTTCATGGGTGGAAAAGATCATTTTCTTGTTGGAGGAAGAATCACTTGGGATTTCAGAAGATTAAGCGAAGAAGAAACCGATTGGGGGAACAAGTTTTTGTTCTTACCGGCTGCGAAAAACATGTCGATGCTTCTTATAGAATCGAGCCCGTGGAATGCAAACGATTTCGCGATTCCGTATCCGACTTACTTTCATCCGTCGAAAGATTCGGACGTGTTTTCTTGGCAGGACCGGATGAAGAATCTTGAACGAAAATGGTTGTTTTGTTTCGCGGGCGCTCCACGCCCGGATAACCCTAAATCAATCAGGAGTCTTTTGATCGATCAATGCAAGAATTCGGAAGTTGGGAAGCTTTTGGAATGTGGGTTTGGTGAAAGCAAGTGTCATTCGCCGAGTAGTGTGATGAAAATGTTTCAAAATTCGGTTTTCTGCTTACAGCCTCAAGGTGATTCGTACACAAGACGATCGGCTTTTGATTCGATCTTGGCGGGTTGTATCCCGGTTTTCTTTCATCCGGGTTCGGCGTACACACAATACACTTGGCATCTCCCAAAAAACTATACAAAATACTCAGTTTTCATTCCAGAAGATGATATCCGTAAGAACGCAAGTATAGAACAAATTCTCAGTCGAATTCCTTCAGAAACGATCAAGAAAATGAGGGATGAGGTTGTAAATCTGATCCCGAGATTGATATACGCAGACCCGCGATCCAAATTGGAGACTCTAAAAGATGCTTTTGATGTATCCGTGGAATCGATCATCAAGAAGGTGAAAAGGGTTCGAGAAGATATGATTAACAATAGAACGAACGATGATTTCATCGAAGAATTGAGTTGGAAGTATGCGTTGTTAGAAGAAGGCGAGTATATCGGTGTTCATGAATGGGATCCGTTTTTCTCGAAACCGAAACCGAAAGGTTCGAAGAATTCTTGAAACAATGAGCCATTACAAGTTACAAATTGGTTTATGGTTTGTTCATCGTTCTATTAAAACTTCATACATTTTGTAATTTAGACTATTTGTTTTTTTATTCAAAAATACTAAAAGCTAGTGTTTTGAACCACAAAGATGTTGTCTGATTGGTTTGAGCTTGACTCCAAAAATCAAAAGTGCATGTTAGGTCCTAGGTTCAAATCCAATGACAAATAAAAATCTACTTATAGCCACATAAGTTCAAATGTGGTGACTCCGGGCTACCCACAAAACAGATGGTCGTCCTAAGACTAGTCGATTCGCATAACAGATTGAATATCCATGTTAATAAAAAAACACAAAAGTATGATATATAGTTTTGCCTTTAAATATGAGATGATTGTTCATATATGAATATTGGTTATTGATTCTTTAAATTAGAAGCTTGCATATGCTAATGAATTGCTTTAATCTTAATTATCATGTTTTTTTGTTACATTTTAATCTTTTGGATTTTTGAAACCAAACTAAGGAGCCGTTTATCAAACGCTTACTTGAATAAGTGTTTACCAAGTCACATTATCTAACCGGATGAATATGGTAAAAACCAAGAATCTTACCCGATAAGAGCGAGACAAGAACCAAGAGTCTTACCCGATAAGACGAGACAAGAACCAAAAGTCTTAGCCGGTAAGTGAGAAGGACGACTCTTACCACGGTAAGCGATTACCGGATAAATTGTTGCATGCGATGTCGTTTTCATAGACTAAAATCTTACTCGATAAGTAAATAATAATGTTAAATTTTACTTGTAAGCACTTACTGGGTAAGTAATTGGTAAACGACTCCTAAGTTAGGTCTTGTTTGTTTTTTCATTTTATGTTATTATTTATCACTTATGTCTGATTACTTCAGATATTTTGTAATTCAAACTGTTTGTTTTTTTTTATTAAAAATATTAAAAGGCCAATGTTTTGTGAAAAAAAAGGTGATGGGGTAAGTGAGGATGTGGTCCATGTCTAAATTTCTCCCAACAATTGGGTAGGTGTTAGATTTGGTGTTGTACTTGTAGTGTTAATATATGGGAAAGAGTACAAGTCCTTATTATGTGATGATGACGTCACATAGTAAAAAACATTTTTTTAAGGTTCTAAAACATGAAATTCATTAATTATGTGTGGTCATTTTAGTTATCAATTCATGGTTCATTTCTTTATTGTTTATATGAATTTAAATTGTTAATAATTTAATCATTATTGTTTAAGACACTGACATAAACACACATATATATATATATATATATATATATGTATATAGGGGTTCAATCAAATGAATACCATTAAAACGGTTGAGAACCATGATGACCAATCTAAACCTTGATTTGGTTTTGTTCATATAATTTTAATTTGAAAACTGCTTTTAATTTAAAAAATGATGTAATCGTCATTTTGGTAACAAGAATCACTAGATGAAACATAGAGATTCATTCACAAGATGAAACACATAAATTCATCAGATGAAACACATACTCACCATGTTATTTCACCTCATGAAACAAAACACAATTTTCATAAATATGTCATTTCACCTCATGAATTCCAAACATACTGTTCATATATATGTTATTTCACCAAATGAAACCAAACGCAAATTTCATCTCTAATCTATTTCAGCCCGTGAAATCAAACGAAATCGACATCAGAATTTTGGAATTGAGAATTGATTCAAAACTTATCACTGATATCAAACAACAAATCGAAATCGAAATTGATTCAAACCCTCTTTCTCTCTATCGAATTCAATCCCTAATTCGATAATATGAGATTCTTCAAATCAAATTTCTAACCCTAACCATCCTTCTAGTTGGAAAAGAAATTTGATGTGATCTGATTCAAAAAATATCTGAAACTGAAGCTGAAAATGTGTTTTCTTATCTCTCTAATGATGTTGTTCTCAACATTTTCTTCAAGCTCATCGACGATCCACGACACTGGTCGTGTCTCGCCTGTGTTTGCACCGAATTTTCGTTTCTGATTCGAACGATTTGCTGCAAGACGAAATGCCATCAAGCGATCCCCGCCATGGTCTATGATATTCTCCGTTGAACGCCTCCATATCGACAGTTTCTCCTCCTGGCGGTAAGAAGCCTTTCGCTCAACAACTTTCCTTTCTTTGAGATTTCCAAAAAGGTGAGATTTCGCAACAAAAATTGTCTTTCTCTTCGGTCTTTACTGAAACAGATACACGAGCTTCATCTCATGCATGATCTTCTGCGAACTTCAGTGTATAGGTACTTACCGTGTCAACTGAACCATCAAATTTTCCATTTCGATTTCCGATTCCGAATTGGAGGGTGAAGATGATGCTGACAAGGATCAAGTGGTCGTTCATTTGTAATCCGATAGACACGTGGAAATTGGAGGATTTCAGTGGTTATATGGGATCGACTTTGGATGAATTAGGTGTAGATTCAACAACGGAGTAGAAAAGTCAAATGAAGTGGGTTGTACCCAAAAACCCAATATGCCCTTTCATTTCTAAATTAAATAAGAGATTAGACAAAACTTTTACTAATATTACAAAAATGCCACCATGTTTAATGACCTTTGATTAAAACCCTTTAATGAATGAGATTAGTCCGCACCGTCCTCAATGAACCTACATTTTCTTTGTGTACAAGTGATTTAAAAGTGTTGTCCATCGTTTGATTCACTGTATACATATAACAGAAAAGAATATCACAAAGGCCTTTGGTTTTTCAAGCTGACTTCTATTTTTTTCAAAAAAATTATTTCAAAGTCCTCACAATATTGTGGTAATTTCATTATTTATACGTTTAGCAACGAGTTGACGAGTTAGATTAAGTTAAGTTTGTGACAAACCTAACTTAAATATATTATATATTAATTAAAAGTTTGACAAATTGATAATCTAACAATTTTATATAATCAGACTATTTATGAGATTGGATTAAACATGTTGATGGTTTGGTAAACCATCATATATAATCATACACCAATCAAATAACATATATATATATATATATATATAAATGCAATGCTATTATATGAATTACATATCACCAATGAGAATCTTTAAAACTAAGTGTATAGAAGTAGAGATGGTGTTGCCCCGACCCGGTAGGAAATCCGACTCACCCAACCCGAACAGGGACTCCTGCTAAAACGGGTCTTGGGACCGGGGGAGGACTCAAAGCAGGTTGGGCCCAGGTGACTTGTCCCCCGTCCGCCTCGTATGCGGTGTAAATTTTATATAATATATGTATATATGTATATATATACATATATTATTTTCTAAAATGAGGTCTTGACCGAGGATGATGATCGGAGTTTGACCAAAAAATAATCCGGAAACGGGATATTAATCCCCGTACCCGCCGGGGACCGGGGCGGGGGCCGTTCATAGAAACCGGGGTCGAGGCCACGGCCAGATATTAGAAAACTCTCCCCATCCCTGTCCCGTTGTCATGCCTACATAGGAGAGAGAAATAATAGTTCATTAAATGTATTAATTATCTTTTTATTTATTTATTATTAATTATCTATTTAAATTAAAGTGAATTACAATCGTAGTCCATCAAAATGCGTTTGATACACTGAACAATACATAACAAAAAAGAATAAAGATCACTGATCCAGGTTTTGCAGGAATTTTATATGGAACTAATAGAAACACACTGGAACAAAAAGGTTGAGGCGTTAGGCGTGTTCCACATTCACCACGTGGAACAAGATGGAACAAACTTATATTTTACCAATGTAATATCAAAATTACACATAATTATCATCTAAAAAATCAAATACACCTCTGTTCTTACATTTTTTTTATTGTATAAATTTTATTAGTTGTATTTTACGTTATTCATATTTTCACTTTATCTTCCTCAAATTTTTATTTTTATACAAATTTTATATTTTGGTTGATTTATATAATTTATTAAATATTGATAAAAATAATATAGAAAAAGCATAAAATAAAAACTGAAAACTACATCAACTTTTTATTTTTGTGTGTTTAATCGTTTTGATGAAAACATTTTAATGAGATATTCTATTACAAAAATATTTTTAATTATAATTTAATAAATTACATGAATTAATCAAAATATATAAAAGATATAAACAACTCATTAGAGTAAACTGGTCATTTTATATATGATCTTTTGTTCAGTAATGTCTTACCAAATGCTGAATAGTTGTTCTGTTATGTTATATCCTATTTTGTTTGAAGACTAAAAGCACCCTTATTTGCTTTTTGATTGGGACCCTAAAATTCAATATAATTTTTATTTATAGAAAAGTCCAAAAAACACAATGGATTTTTCTGTATAGAGTCATTAAGTCCTTGGACTTTTTGAATAAATAAGTCTTTGAATTTTTTTTTGAAGTATATAATATTTATATACAACAAATGCAACAAATAAACTCACACACTATTCTCACCTATGGTGAGGTTTGAACCCCTGACCTCCTAGAAGGCTAAGGGCTACGATACCGCTAGGCCAAAAGCCCTTTGGTTATTTGGACTTCTTGAAACTTGTTAAATAAATTCTTAGACTTTAAAAAAAAAAAAACCTGCAACCTGTATAGGAGGTAAAACTACAAAATAAAAAAACCATTCTTGAAATTTTCTTAAGGATTAGGGGACGAAGAAGGTTCGATGATGGGGGTGGAGATGGTCTTCGAGCGACGACTGCTGGTGGTTTTCGAGAGGGAAAACAAAAGAGAGATAGAGGGGCATCCTAAACCTGATACGGTTTCAAATGGTGGTAAGGAGTAGAGATGGAGGCGGTTCGTGGTGAAGAATCGAGAGACGAGTAGGCCAAGGTGTTTAGCATCGATCGAGAACAAGGATCAACCGAAGGAGGGAGGAGGTCGTGAATGGAGCGGATGAGACGTCGTCGATGAAGCCGTTGGTGGAAGATGGTGGTCGCAGGGAAGGGTAGACCCTGGTGGTCCGATAGCAGGTGGTGGCTTGAGACTGGAGATAGTCATCGGTGGTGAATGTAATCGAGGGAGCCAACGATGATGAAACACAGTGGGAAGGAAAATAGACTGTTGAAGAAGACACTTAAAAGATGGGATGGTGAAACTAGAGTTTTGCCTTTCTTTACATTCCTAAAATAAAAGGAAAAAAAACTCTTTTCGGGGTTTCGAAATCTTTGAAATTGATAAAACGATATTAAAAAAAAAATAAACATATAAACACAGATATAATAAAACAAATTAATAACAAAAACTCGTTTTTTATTTAAAAAAGTTATATTTTTTTAAGAGAAACAAATTAATAAATAAACACAGATAAAATTATTGATTTTTAAAATATTTATGGTTTCTAAAAAGGCAACATTTGAATCGTTAAGAGATGAATATTGTTTAACAAAAAAAGTCTATCTCTTAATGGTTCTAAAATCATTTGAATGATTTTATATATTGTGCTTCCCTTAACCATTCAACGTCTTAATTTCATTGTAAATAATTATATTTGATTTTACACTATATCATAAGTGCTTCTTAATTATTCTAACCATTTAATCATTTCACACCAAACCATTCGGTGCTACCAAACATTATTTGTTTGATTTTGATTTCGGGTACTGGATTTCAGAATTGGGCCCATTAAACAAGTCGTACGGACGAACCCATCCCGTCGTCGGTCGGAGGTGACGGCTAATTCTCGTTCAAAAGTCAAAATCATTGACTTCAATGTTTCCTCATTAACAACGACGACGACTACCTCAATTTCACGAGTCCTCCATGTCGGCACTTGACCCACTCATCGGCCCTTCATCCACTTTTTTCTTCTCCGGAGACCTAATCAATTTCCCCACAAAATTATAAATGCAACTCATGAATTTTGTGTGAAAGGTTGAGCCAATCGTGGATTGGAAGCCATCTCTGTTGAATTTGAATGTATCTCGGCCCCAATTAGTCAGTTGGATTTAAGGGAGGTGTTATTTGTTGTGGGGTTTTATACAATTCTTTCAATTTTGAATTAAGAAAAATCAAGTTTCTTGACCTAAAATCTTTCAATTTTTGAGATGGGGGGTTTAGCGATTAGAGATGAAGGAGGGATCGCGAAAAGTTTATGGAAGAAATCGAGAAATGAATCGATATTTGCTATTTATACTCCTTATATATTATCACTAGCATCTGGGAAATTGGATTCTGCTTCTTTCCTTCATTGTATCTCTCAGGATCTTCGTTTTCTTCAAGCTTCTGCTGAGGCGTAAGTTCTCTCTCTGTCCGTCTTTTATTATGGCAACTGATTCCTGTTTATAAATTATTTATCGAAATCCTTGATGTTGCTCTTTATATGTGTATTTAATTGTTTTGAATTTGGGGGTTTTTAGGTTTGAGATGGCTGAAGAATGCTCAGATGATGATGATGATAAGGCTGTAATTCGTAAAGTTAGAAAACGGGTGTTGAAGAAGATGGCAATGTTTCGATTGATCGTCCAAGTAAGCTCCCCAATTCCCTTTGTAACATCCGAGATCAACCGTAGCAGATATTGCCTGCTTTATCCGTACTTGGATTCACGGTTTTAAAACGCTTCTGATAAAGTTATGTATCCAATCCCTTATAAGGCAACCTTAGTTCTAGATCTTACAATCCACACAAATCTTAGGCCAACTATACAGATATTGTCCGCTTTGTTCACACCTGAACTCACGGTTTTAGAACGCATTTGATAGAGGAGCTATCTAGGCCCTAACAATGTGGGATCTTACAATGAGTGTGTTATATTTCAGACTACAATATCGGATGTGATAAATATTAATATTTCGGTCGCAAATTCCCAATTGAATTATATATTCTTTTTGGGAAGTTGAAACTTGCAGATAAGATGAATCCTACCGTCAGGGATCATTACAGTCACCACCATAAATTAAGTAATATTCGAGTCTGCATCGATGGTCCAATCCTCCTCAAAAGTCATTTTGCCGATAGATATATCCGGGATGCTAACAGCTAAATCATGTTGTTAGAGAGTCCCACATTGGCTAGATTTGGACCATTTATCCTCTATATATGTTTGGAATCTCTCTTGTCTCCTCGAGGGATCTTTTGGAGAGTATTCTAATGAGGTTCCACATATTCTTACATGGTACTGGAGTCGAGGTCTACCACTTTAGGGACCTGGAGCAATATGTACTCGTCTAGCCCACTCTCGACACTCTGGGGCAATTTGTGCTTGTTTAGCCTTCAGTGGAGGGGTGTTTAGGAGTTCCACTAGGGAAATCTATACTCGTCTAGCCCCTCTCGACACGTTGGGACAATATGTGTCTGACTGGCTATCTAGCCTCTGTTGTAGGGGCGTGTTAGATTCCCACATCAGCTAGACGTGTTGGAGTCCCACGCCAGCTCTTTTGTATAGTATTCAAATTGGGTTCCACATATTCTCACACGGTATCAACGCCAAGGTCTACCACTTTAAGTGCTATGGGGCTGGGCAATCTGTATTCGTCTATCCCACTCTCGACATTCTTGGACAAATTGTGCCTGTCTAGCCTTTGTTGATGGGGTGTGTTAGAGTCCCACTAGGGATCCTACACTAGGGATCTGTACTCGTCTAGTCTCCTCTCGACATTTTGGGACAATTTGTGCCTGTGTAGCTTCCGTTGGAGGGGCTTGTGACTGTTAAGAGTCCCACATCGGCTAAACTTGGACCATTCTTCTATTTATAATATCGAACCAGAAGCCTGAAAGGCTCTTTTGGAGAGTAGTCTGATGTGGTTCCACATATCTCACACATGTAAAGTTGGAGAATAGATCATAATCGAACAAATCATTCTTGGTTCTTGGGATTGATAATTCCCCTTTGTTTGTTTTCCGCGTACCTCATACTCTATCCAAAAATGCAATATTTGAGTTTCCAATTAAAATTGTCGGTTTGCTTAATACTTATAAATGCAGGAATGGGGATTTGAACTTCCAGCAGGGAACATTTCAGATCGTGCAATGGTCAAATGTACGGATTTCTTGCTGGCAACGGCCTCCGGTAAAGCAGTTGGCGAGAGATTTCCGGGTAAGGTTGCAACTCCTTTCGAGAAAACTAAGTTTAGCGCGTATGCACTTGCTGCTATGTCCCCTTCCATGAGGATTCAATCGTTTTTGAGTAAGGAGATACAAGCAGTTCTCGAACCAGATGAAAACATTCATCTCTACAAAAAGTGGATTGATAGTCTCGCTTCTCAAAAATACGAGGTTTGTCTGATTATTCATGGAAATCGGGGATAGTTGGGGTGCGTCTGGTACATGGGACAGGACAAAACATAACAGAATAGAACAAAAACTTGTTGTCCCATGTTTGGTGCAATATTAGACTGGGACAAGACAACACTGAGTGGGACAAAATGCATTCTTTTTGTCCCATCAAAATAGGTGGAACAAAATTAACGTAGACGTGTCAGCTAAACATGCAAATAAAGGTTAGGCCTCAGGGTTTCTCCCATTAGGTATCAGTTTTAAGGGGATGTTTGGTTGGTTTTCCATTAAGTCATGTATGGATAAAGCTGTCTGTGTGGATTAATCTGTCTATATAGATTGAGAAGGTTTTTGTTTGAAATGGTTTTTTTTTCCATAGATGGAAGAAGTGTCTTTTTTTTTAATTAGGAGGGATAGGTTTGGAAAAACTTGGCTTTTTGCATAAAGTTGCCTCCTAGAAGCTTACTGAATAAACCACTTTCTATATCATTAAGCCATTACCAAACAGTCATATATAGCTGGCCGAATAAGCTGAGTGTCCTATTAAGATCATTAAGCTGCTAACAAACAAGCTCTTAAATCTTTTCAGGGCCACTGTGGATTTTCCTCGCTGTTATCTTTAAGGCCCCAGCTGATTAGTCAATGAGCATAAGCTGGCCCAAACACCCACAGTTACCATAAAAACTTTAGGGAGATGAGACAAGATTGGTAAATTACTAAACTACCCATGTCAAATTAAAACCATAAAACCTTCTACAATTCTTTCACCAGCCTATCTCAGGGGTTGTTTGGTTGGTTTTCCATTAAGTATTGTACGGATAAAGTTGTCTGTGTGAATTAATTTGTCTGTATATGTTGAGAAGATTTTATGTGGGAGGGTTTTTCATAGATGGAAGGAGCGTGTTTTTTAATTGGGAGGGGGGCGGGTTTGGAAAAACTTGGCTTTCTATATAAAGCTCCCCCCTAAAGCTTACTGAATAAGCCACTTTCTATATCATTAAGCCGGTACCAAACAATCAAGTATAGCTTACCTAATAAGCCGTGAGTCCTATTAAGCTCATTAAGCTGCGAACAGACAGGCTCTTCTTAGGGATCTGCGGATTTTTCTGGCTGTTATGTTTAGGGCCTCTGTGGATTTTTATCTTTAGGTCCCCATGTATTAGTCATAAGTTGACCCAAACACCCAAAGTTTTCATAATTTTTTTTTGGAGATGGGACAAGATTGGCAAATTACTAAACTACCCTTGTCAAATTAAAACCCCCAAAACCTTCCACAATTCTTTCACCAGCCTATCCTACTCTTGCATGTCTAATCCGTCCTGTTCAGTCTCGTCGTGTACCAAACGCACCCATGATCAATCAAGAAATCCGGCATCTTATATTATATTTGCTCCAATTTTAGGATTCAGCGTCCCAGATTGAAGATTTGTTGGATAAATTGACAGTGTGTTTGACTGGTGAAGAGCTTCAGTTTGTGGAAAACATCTATCAGAAAGCCATGAAGCTTCAAGTAGAATTTTTTTCAGCTCAGCCGATCATCCAGAATACTATTGTACCCTTATATAGAGCTCATGGCAGCGATGAACACAATTTTGTTATATTTAGCGGTTTTGACATGACTTGCAGTGCCGTTGATTCATGTGCCCTTTTGGCTGATATCGCTATCATAAAATCATCAAAAGCTATAAAGTTGAATGGATATGAATCCCTCGATGATGGAGCGTCCTCGGATGATCTTCGGGATATTTGGAGCAGTCTTCATGGCCAGTATGTTGAAGAATATGAACAGTGTATTGATAGCATCATGCTTAGTGACAGAGGTATATTGTGGTAGCGGTTTTCTAGCACTTTCTGATTCGTGTAGTTCCAGGGCTCACTCCATATATATGTATATATAGAGATAGAGAGAGGTAGGTTCATATGAGAATGGTACCTAAATAAGAAAATAAGAAAAATGGCTAAATTACGTACACAATCACATGTGATTTTACATTAACGGTCAAAAAAGGGTGTGCAGGCGGCTTTGGCCGGGACTTGGGAAATCTCGTGTGAATCACATTTGATTTTATACGTGATTTTAGTGTAAAATCACATGTGATTCGACCGTTTTCTTATTTTGGTACCATTCTCGTATGAATCCGATTCTCTCTCTCTCTCTCTCTCTCTTATATACACATATATTTTGTGATTAGGACTCGTAGAGAAAGTTCAAGTGAGAAAATGGGAACCAACTATTTCATGAGTTATTCATGATAAATAACCCTAAAAATATTACGAGTATCATGATTTTCATTATTCATGATATTCATCATGGATAATTCTTAAAATAGTTGGCTCGAGAGCTGAATCCACATATATTTGTGAGTAGAATTGGCGGAGAAAGCTCAAATGAGAACCGTAAATGTTTTGAACACCTGGTACCAACTATTTATAAGTTATTCATGATGAATAAGAATAGCCCTAAAATATTCATTATTCATGAATAATTCATAAATGGTTGGCTCCAGAACTGAATCCACATATATTTGTGATTAGGACTAACTAAGAAAGTTCAAATGAGAATCATAAATATTTTGAACACATGGGGACAAACTATGTCATGAGTTATTCGTGACGAATAACCCTAAAATATTAATGAATATCTATCGTGATATTCATCATGAATAGTTGGTTCTTACCTTCTCAAAATATTTACAGTTCTCATTTGAACCTGCTATACTGGATTATACATTCCTCAGTAGTTTGATTCTATTTTTGAAAGGTCCTCGATAGAATCTTAAAATTATGTTTTATCTTTTTATCGTGCAGTCACACAATTCAACTTCGAAAGTCTTTGCAACGCACTCGGGCAGCTGTCCGAGCTGGAGAAGGCGGCAAATTTGAGAGTGGCGAACTCCGGTGTTTTGAAAGGATTGCATATGGATGAGATTAAGTGGGCGGGGGAACACCTTGTTTTCCAAGATGGTTGTCTAGAGTTCTTTAGAGAGATTGAAAAGAGCAAAGACATTGCAATCGATGTTCATATACTTTCATATTGTTGGTCCGGTGATCTCATCAGGTCTGCCTTCCGTTCAGGTGCGTTTTTGCTCAACCGTGCTTATATTTTATTCTGATAAATGCATGGGGCAAGTTCAAATCAGAACCGTAAATATTTTGAGAACCCAGGAACCAACTATGCATGCTTTATTCATGATTTTCGGCATCCTAACTAGTTTTTTTAAGATAGTTTTGAAATAAAGTGTCTTAGCAGCTTATTTTACATATACGACACTTGTTTCTATAAGACACATTTTCAAATAATGTCCTATAAAAATACTAATAGAATGATTTATTTTATAAGTGTCCTAAAAAAACACTTCCTATTAACTTATTATAACATCTTTACATAGGATGCACAATTGTTTGGTCCTATAAAGCAGTCTATTACGGTATTTTAGACATGTTTGGCGTCCCATAAAGATGATTCTCTTAGTGACACTAGAGGCACATTACGGTAAAATATATAAAAGATATAAACAACTCATTAGGGTAAATTGGTCATTTTATTTGTTCTGTCTTATCAAACACTGAACAATTGGTATTGCCTTGTTTTGTTATGTTCTGCTTGGATACCAAATACACCCTTAATGATCTTTTGCATAGCTATTAGATTCACGACATTTGCATACTGATTAGATCGATTTATATTCAACAGCTTCGGGATTTCCCAATGTCCATTCAAACGAGCTACTCTTCGATGAATCTATATCAACCGGAGAGATCTTGAAACGGGTCCAAAATCCCACCGAAAAGCTTCAAACTTTCAACGAAATCTGCAAGATGTCAAGCAACAATGGCAGGAACTTGTCTGTATACATCGGAGGTTCTGTGGAAGACTTGCTTTGCCTGTTGAAAGCCGATATAGGTGTCGTAATCTCTCCAAGTGCTAATCTAACGAGACTTGCAGGTTTGTTCGGGTTTTCTTTCGTCCCATTATTTTCCGGTTTGGTCAAGAAACAAAGAGAGTTAATCGAAGGCGGATGTCCTTGTTGGAGTGGTCTTTCCGGTACCCTTTACACTGTTTCTAGTTGGGCCGAGATTCATGCTTTCATTTTGGGCACATAATCATTCCTTTGGTTATTTAGCAGAATAACCTTCTGACATATTGTTTTTTAAATGCATAACTTTCTAACAGATTCTGAGGCATTATTCTGTCAGGTAGATATGTTCTTAAATTTGTCAAATTGTGAAACATTTAAGAAAACTGTCGGAAGGTTAATAACCTTTTGACATATATTTCTTAAATGCACGACTTTTTGATAGATTTTGAGGCATTATTCTGTTAGATAGATGCGTTCATAAATCTGTTAGATTGTGAAACATTCAAGGAAACTGTCAGAAGGTCAAATAACCTTCTGACAGATTCTTATTAAATGCATGACTTTCTGGCAGATTCTGAGGCATATTCTGTTAGGCAGATGCGTCCTTAAATCTGTTAAATTGTGAAACATTATAAAAAAGAACTGTCAGAAGGTCATTTTAGCCCTATACGAATACATAAGACAGACAAAGTAGTACATATTTTCCTAATAGAGAATAACAATAATTGGTAATTTATAGGGTTTATAGCCGGATATTAGTAATGGCTAGGGTTGAGCCTTTGAGTATTTCGAAAGGGCCACCACCGCCCTTTTTACGTTCTTCGGTTATCTTACGGTTTCGGTTTGTGAGATTTGAAGATTTGTATGTAATTTTTCCAACAATGCTGGGAAATTATTGGATATGTCATTTGTAAGTTTCTTGAATTGTACAAACATTGTTCTATTCAATAATCAATGAATCCATTTTTATAACATGTTTGTTCTCAGCATTTTTAACGTTTTACAGATATATAACCTTAAATGAGATTTTAATTAAATTCATGACTTTTAAATGACCACGAAGCCATTTTTCGTTTTAATTGGTCATGAGGTCATGAAATTATTTAAAATCTTATTTAATATTATATACCTAAATGGTTTTTGTTTGGCAGTCATAAGTTATCTTATTTTTTGAGTTCATTAAAAAGGTCTTATCTATTAAGCCATAAGCTAGTCTTTCCAAAGGTTGCTTCAGATGGCTTATTGGGGTTCTTTTTCCACTTTTTTCAGTTATGCCCTTTATATTTTATCAAATGTAATTAGTTTTTCAGCTAACAACTAGTTTTTCATCCAACAGTTAACTTCATAACCTAGTTTGCCAAACATAGCATTTCATTAACTACATTTTGATTGCAGATATGCAGTTAAGTTCGAATAGTTACACAAATACACATTGCTAGAGATGCACAAGGCCCGGACTTCTTACCAAACCCATTCTCTGTGGAAAAAAAAGGGTCCTTGTTTTTCAGGTTTGACCAGGCTTTGGGGTTGAAAAAAGTGTCCAGTCAGGCTTTTAAGCCAGGTTAACCAGGCTTTTCCAGACTTAACCAGCTTTTCCCATGTCGGGCTTTTGGGCCGAACATAGACTCAAGCTTCCCCAAAAAACTTAGGTCCGGCCCACCCAAACTGGGCTTCGGGCTCATTTGTTTTGGGCTTTTCCAGGTTGGGCTTGTACATTCAATTTCTCCAATACCTTGTGGTTTTTGATGTTCATTTAAATGATCTTTGTAGCATATTGTGAAATGGTGATGGCCAAACCCGGCCCGGGACCGTCGGAGGACCGGGACCGGTTTTTGGCCATCACTACTGTGAAAGAACTGAAGTACCAATAACACCAACATATAACACAATCTTAAAAACCCCTAATTCATTCGAGAGTAAATCCATAATTACAATATCATAGAACTCAAATTTATCAGTGATGCATGCATTGTGTAACCTTACTAAATATGCTTCCCCCAATCACTAGATGCTTATAGCAATAAGCATCTAGACAAAACCGAAAACCGGGTCTCAACCCGAGACCCTGTTGTCACGAAAATTGTAGGATTTTTAAAACCACCCAGAAAACCAAACGCATCGATCAACCGATTTCTCTCCTTTTTACCCTTTGACCAAGAAGAAATTGGTTGACTTCATCGAACCACAAAAAAACGTAGTTTATATATGTATATCATTAAGCAGCATCAGTTCGGTTTCGATCTTTGTTTTCTTGAAAGCTCGTTAGACTCGGAATTTCTCATGATCCTAAGCCTCTTTACCGAACTAAGAAACATCCTGAAATCAGAAAACCAGATTAGATGTCGAAAGATAAGAAATTGTGGTTTAAAATTTTGGGCAAATTGCATGAAAAGCAACGGACTTTTGGGATGATTCCTATTTTGGCAAACGTACTTTCAAAACCTTCATTTTTGTACATCAGATGTGACATCTCAAACATTAAGGTATCTGGTTTACATCTGAGAATTCATGAAAATGCAGCATAATTTGATCAAATTCCTATTTCGGGTAACATAAGAGCGAAATAGGTTGCATTTTGATGCAATTTGCCGATTATTTTTTAAGAAATGAGAGATAAGAAACCGTACTGCCAAGGAACATCTCCGACAAGCATACAATCTCCGTCTTTGTCTTGATAAGTGAGAATAAACTCGGATGTTCCGTCTAACAATCTTGAAGAACCCGTCGCTTCTGTGCTCGACCCTAAACATTTGGAGAACAAACCAAACATATGTTTAGTTGATAAGCTAGTTGTTAGCTGATAAACTAGTCATGTTTGGTAAAACTTGCAGATAAGCTAAATAACAATGTAAAATGACGATCTTACGTCTTTGCCAAAACATTTCTTCTAAGGTTTGTGCCAACATCTCGTAGGAACTGTAAGCATTGAGATCGACTTTCCGTCCAATTAGAGTTCCATCCATGTTCACTTTCACGGACTGATATTTCTTGACGGAAACCCCTTTTCTCTCGTTACAATAACCCTTGCCTCCATTCGTTCGATTGTTTTTCTTGTTTTGTTCTGCTATTGAGACGAGTTCTTCGCCTGGCGATTTGGTTTGGTTGGCCAAACTCGGCATCCGGTGAGCTTTGCTTACCGGAGGCCATCCAACAACGCTTCAATTACACAATTTTATAACACAAATCAGTATCACTAGAAAAAACCAAACGAAACTAATATATCTGGTTCGGGGTAAGATGTAGGCAGACCTGATATGTTCCATAAAAGATATTACAACATTGAATCATTCCATTCCATTCATTATGAAGATAATAAAAGGTTCCATTACCAATTCAATCTTAAGAATATGATTCTTCAAGATTCAAACACCGAGTAAAACCCCCATTTGGGAATGTGGTTGGATCAAGGGTCTGTTTGTTAGCAGTTTGATGAGCTTAATGGGACTTACAGCTTTTCGTCGGTCAGCTATATATGACTGTTTGGTAGAGGCTTAATAAGTCTTTTTCCACCCCTCTATGAGGAACCCTCCCGAACAACAATCTTCTCGGTCTACTTCAATCTATACAGACAAATTAAGCCGTTCTCTATAACCAAACAGCCCAAAGTATAGGGTTCCAACAAACAAGATCAAGTTGACAAGGCTGTGGTCTAACAATATGGTATATTACTAAATCACCCCAGAGAAATCCAGAAAGTCTTTAGAAACAAATCAAGAACACTACTACTATGCAAGAAACCCAAAAGGGTATTATGGGTACAATCCAAAATCAATGAAAAAAAATGGAAAAATTGCATACCCATTTGGAGGAGAAACAGAATCAGTGGCAGTTCTTTTGGTACCAGAAGAAGATGAGGAACAAGAATTAGGTTTAGAAACCAAAGAATGGAAATCTTTAGCTGTCAAGATTCTGGCATACTGACTCCAACAAGGAGCTGCCACCGCCACCGCCGCCGCCGCCGCTGCCACCACCGTCTTTGACTTCAAACCACCACCACCACCAATACTCAACCCAAGACCCAACTCAAGATGATCTAAATTTTCATCAAGAATTGGGTAAGATGAAGAAACTTCAGTAGACATAACCAAGGCTGTATTCTTGTTGTCTTCCTGTGAAACTGTCAAGATTGACCTCCCAGTGGTTGACCCACCAGACGGCACTCCACCACCATCGCCACCACCACCGCCGCCGCCGGCGGCGGCGAGAGAATTACCTGATAACCCAAGAGTAACATCCATTTCCTTTTTTCAAGAAAGTTGGGAATTAGAAATCAAGATTGAAGCTTTTTCTCTAGAGAAAGAAGGGGGAAGTGATCTTGGTGCCAAAGAAAACATCGGAAATGAAGGAGGAGGGGGGTTGGGGGTGGTGGAGGGTGGGACCCACGTGTCGGCTTTGTGCGCCTCACAAATCCATCATCAATTTCTCCTAACTTTGTCCCCACCCAAACACACACACACACACTTCTCTGTTTCCATTTGTATTAAAAGACTCTGTCCCCACCATTTAATAGAAAAAGGAAATCCATCACCGTTAGTTTTTCTTAACCATTCAGTCATACACAGACATTGAATAGTAACGATAAAGCTGAATGGTTCAGCCAATTTCTTTAAAGAAAAAGAAAACCCTCGTGGATTACCCATAAAAACAAGAGTAATTATGACTGTTTGTTATGCCTCAGAAATCTTGTTGAAAAGTAGAAGCATTTGTGCTGAACAAGTATGATTGGGTACAACACAATTCAGCTGGCTTTTTGAGAGCTTGTTGTATTTCTTTCTGTGAAAGTTGCTTTCATAAAAGCAAAGGTTTTCTTTTATTAGGGTTTTGCTGCTCATAGAATCCTATGCACCCAGAAACAAATTAAAGAAAAAACAAGAATCTAAATTACACTTTTTTGGGTAAATTCCAAGTTAAAACAACTTTCAGAATACCTTTTCCCTTTTTCTTTTTTAATAAATTATTCACATGTATTTTTTTTATTTTTTATTTTGATAAATTGTATGAAAAAGTAATGTATTTTAACTTGATTTTTATTTTTAGGTAATGTATTTTCAGAACTTTCATTTTGGTACCTAAGATTTGAAGTTCTACTGAGTTGGATACCACATTAGCATGATAACTGGTTAATGCTTCAACCAGTTACCCGAGTACTTAAATGTTTAAAACTTTACAACTTAGTTACCACAATGGAGGTACTGAAAGTATGTTGTCAAAATAGGAATCAAGTTAAAGTATGTTACTTTTTCATGCAATTTACCCATTTTTTTTATTCAATTTATCGGTCTTTTATTATAAAAGAAAAAGAAGAAGCTAGAATGAAAGCATTTTGATACTCAAGGGAGAATTTGGGGGGGGGGGGGGGGGGGGGGGGGGGGTTTGACTCGTAACTCTTATTTAAAACGGTCTTAAAAACAAATCGTTCGAGATTTAGGGGCTGTTTACCTAAATTCTTACTCGGTAAGTGCTTACTATTAGAAGTCAACACTATAATTTAATTTTTGGGTAAGATTGTAGTATATCAAAATGGTATCGTATGCAACAATATATCTAGTAAGCGATTACCCGGCTAAGAACCGTCAGCCTCACTTAGCGGGTAAAACTCTCTGTCCTTATCATTGCTCTTACCAGGTAAGATTCTTGGGTCTTGCCATGTTCGTCCGGTGAGGAAAATTGTTCAGTAAGCACCTATCGGGTAAGCGTTTAGTAAGCAGCTCCTTAGTCATGGTTTTTCTATGCTTTAGGTTGATAAAGACCCTAAAAAATGATTTAACCTTGTAATTGCATTATCGTATCAGATATAACAACATAAAGAAAACTAGTTCATTCTGAAATTGAAACCAAGAAACGTTTTCAGCAACATGTGTTCGGAGATTTGATCAGTTTGACAAATACCCTTTTATTTACTTTCAAGCAAACATCAAGTGTATTATCCATAATTTACACATAAAATCAGTAAGTGGA